CAGACGGACACCAAAAGGCCTGCAGCTTCTCCCCAGGTTCGCTTGGGTGCTCGCGGCTCGCGGCTCGCGGTTAAGGGCTCGCGGCTCGCTTCGCTCGCGGGTCACGACCCGCGCCCGCGCCGGGACAGGTGGGGGGGGCCTTTTGAAGCCTTCCCCCCCCGGAAGAGGCCTCAAAAAGGGGTGGGGGGGGGGGGCGTCGCCCCGCGCCCTGGAACATATATAGTTATACTTTTAAGCCATACCATTGCCACCATTCTTGGGGATAATATCCAGATGCTGAACGGTGGAAACTGGCAAATAACTCGGGTAAAAATTTGAGTTCATCATTCTATGCGTTTGTTGTACCTCAATCGGCAGCCACTTCATGTAATGTTCTCCCTCCTTCGTGTGTTGCATTTTCAGTACCGCGAGTCGTACACCCGGCATGAAGATGTGGTTGCAACGAAGATTCCCAATGCGGCAGAGCAGCACTCGCTGTCCGTTTCGGGTAGTCACTAGCGCGCTTTTCGCGAAGACAATAGCTGCGCTGGGGTTCTGAATTTTCGTCACCATAAGTGAGAAGAGAAGCACGTTAACGCATATGCCCACGAATTGCTGCAGCGTGGCGAGAAAGAACAAGCCGATATCGGGATGCTGCTCACGAAAGTTGTAGGGATCGAACATGCCGTAGCCCATAGTAATAACATGGGTTACAGACCACACCAATGCAACAGCAAAACCATTTCCGGCGTTTTGGCCATTTACCGTGATTCGATCCGACACTGTCCACGTGATAAACGCGAAGACGAAACAGACCTGCATTGTCAGGACACAAGCAAAAACAAGATATTACACTTTTTACAACCAGTTCTGGATCCAAGCAAGAATAAATCTCTACTTCACAATGACTAACAAATATCACGGGAGGAGACTGAAGAAGATGAGCGTACAACTAGTGGTCGAAGCTACAATCAAGTCATAAGAGATCATATGCAGAAATAACACTCCATACATCGCGACTCTAAAATTACGTGATAAGGGATCATGTGCAAAAATACCACTCCATACATCGCGACCGCGCGTACCACTAGCTGGCCATAATCCATATCCAACGTCCGGAAATAGAAGGAATCGCCTTTGCCGAGAAAACGCGGATCCATGAGTGGGGATTTGTGCTTGGCGGGACGCACAAAGTTCATTTTCGGCTTTTCACGACCGCTACGCAAGCCGAGTTCGCGCAGAATGACATCAAATACCCGGCCAGCACCGCCGAAGCGGCCCGTCCCATCAACAGGTGATAAGTCCGGCATGATTTCTTGTGTTGACCGTGTGGTGGTCTTGCCGACGGATTACAGTAATGTACCTAAATCCAGTTTTGTTCTACGTGACCGAAGTCCTTTTACTTGCAAGATTTGAAACCAAGCAAGTGCCCGACGTCTTCTATTTTCAATTTTGGGTGGACCATGAAAACTTGAAAAACTTTTTGCTGTAGCGCTACGAAAATCAGCAAAGAGCCTCCTCTTCTATTGTGGCAAATTGATACTCCACTATAGTGGTCATATCGAGGAACAATTTTGACTAGCCAAGCCCTTGTCGTTCATTGTCTTACTAGCCATGACAATGACTTGAATCTGCGGAAATGGACACCTTGTACGTATCAAGGGGAAGCGCTCTTCGTGATGCCCCCCCTGTCCTTTGCAGCACTGAAACGTGAATAGCGTACCTGCTTCATCAAAGAGTCTATTTCATCCTGGCCACACTTACTTTTGCTGCTTCAACGGTTTGGTCGTCAGATTTGTAACACTTTACAGTGATGCATCATCCAACAGGCGCTCGCGGCTTCGTTATTTTCTTCCCGTACCAAGCCGCTTTCGCTTTCCATGCTATGTAACCAGCTTTGCTCTCGTGGTCCACGGGTTGTTCTGGATGACTCGACATTTTCCCGAGTTTCTTGTACTCTGCTGACTTGCGTGCCTCGAATTCTCTCCGTTTACGTGCCGCATCCTCCTCTGGTGTGATCTTTTTGCCAAAGAACCTTTGAAAGGCCAGTTTGTAGTTCTGGACCCGATACATGGTTTCGCCCACGCGTATCATGCGCTTAGGTGCACTTCGTCTAACGTTGGCAGCATGGATCTTTTTGCCATAACCCAACCATGCCCCGAACGAAAGAGGCAGGCTCACACGAAACATTTTTCGTTTGAGGGAAGTAATGCAGGAACGTAGCTTGTGAAATGTATTATTTCTTCGAAAAAAAAATACAACAGGAAGGAGAATGGACTAAATTAGCGAGGAACCTTCAGTGATCATCTTCATTAAATACAAATACCTCTACTTGTATTGCTGATGACACCCGAGTACTTCGTGAAATGATAGATAATCGGAAGAAAAGTTTGTCTGCGAAGCGGCAAAGTGAAGATCTGACCTTTTATACTGATCTTGAACATTAAGAAGACACCTAGGCATTGCTCGGTCTGGCCGCCACGACGAGTTGAGTCCGCTTCACCCGCTTGTATAGTTTTTCAATTCCATCTGGAATCCCCACAGGGAGCCAATAGAAAACGTTAGACATAATGGCGTCTTCCACTACCTTGTCATGACAAGGATAATCCAAGTTTGACATGCTTGTTGATGTGGAGTGTAGCAGTACAGGTTGCTGCAGTCTAAACGGAATCAAGTTCACGGATAGCTTGTTCAAGGCGGGGCTGTCCTGGAAATCAATCTTGAAATTGATCAAGCGTTTTCCTTACTGTACAACGCCATTCGTTTCGGAAGATATCATCACTTGGATTTCGTGGTCTAGGCAGCCGTCTAATTCCTCTACGACCAAGAGAATAGTGTCCCGGACGATGTCATCCGCAAGTGAAGCCCACAATTCCCAACTTGTTCCCTTGTGCTGTAATGGCATTTCCCTTGCAATCTGCATATGCCGTTTGAAGTTGTAGCGGTAATTCTCCAGCTCTCGGTACACTGCATCTGAAATCATCGGGAGCTGGCGCAACACCACATAGGCGTCTCGCAGTGGCCTTTCCCGCTGCTGCAGGCCAGCTTTGCTCAGAGAACTCGTGCCGCACAGCTGCTGCTCGTCGGAGAAGACGTCCTGAAGCTTGTCCTTGCCGAAGTTGTTCATCGTATCCTCGTCCGCACCTCCTTCATCGCGCATTGTCACGTCGCCGCGCTGCGAAGGCGACAAAAGCGCGAGTTCTTGCATGCTAAGCGCAGCGGAAGTGGGTGCCCGTAAATCTCGTAGAACGTAGCCGGGAGGCAAATCGCTGAACCGCTCCTCGGGTCCCTCCGCGTCCAATTTCTGCCGAGCCTCCTCTTTCACTTCAGCAAAGCACAAAATGAAAGATGTGGTGGACACGCGATTCCACTTCTTAATCTTGAAACTAAAATCTAGCTGGCAAGTGTAAGTCCACATCAAAATCCTCGTCTTTTCCAGATAATCTAAATCACATCACCTTCTCAAAAATCCTCCATATGATGGAAAATCACCGGTACACCTTAGATGAAATTGCCAAGTCTTTTGTTTCCTCATGATCATGATTCTAGGACAACCGCATGGTTACAATCGCATCGTAATCTTCACTGGTGCTCGCAGAAGCTCCTGCGCGGCCTGGTACTTCCGCGCCTGAGGATCAAGTGCTCCCCCAGTAAGGTGATACTTCCTGTGCAAATCCCTCTCGAGCCGATCCAGCCTTGTTTCGTGCTGCACGCGCTCTCGCATCACGCGGTCTTCCTCAGCTTGCGTAGATTTCAAAACCTGGAAATAATCTGCCGATGCGCTGGTCTTCTTGGCAGCCGCTTCGTTCTCCTGCTCTATCTTTCCCATCATCTTCGGAATTCGCACATCCTCTTCGTCGAGGATCTTGTTCAGCTCTTTGCGCATGGCGCGTTCGGAAGGAGTGTTGCCAGTCGGCGAGGCTTTTCGCTTCGATGCTGCACCAGTCTGACCGCTCCACCCCTTCCCCTTCTTGGACTCAGCCGCGACACCACACCCTGCGGAGCCCTTGTTGTCCTTGCTGGTCCGTCGCGACGCTGCGGAGGAGCGGGCTCTCGCTAAGGAAGACATTAGCGCGGTATCATCGGCCCGCGGAGACGTCGGACTGGTCTTACTCGAAGAGGGTCCACCAAGACGACTTCCACGAAATACAGAGGCGATTTTCGAACTGAGAAGACCACCTGGACCACCTGGCGGACCGTCCGAGCGCAACGGCGGGTGAGTCAAGAGCACTCCGTCAGGCAGCGGCCGACCAGCGTGCTCGGACTGGATACGCGCTTGCACTTCGTTCAGGCGCCGCTGTGCCGGAGTCACGGCAGCTACGGCAGCCTCCTTCGCGTCGCCGAAAGCGCGTGACGCATCCGATAGCTCACGCTCCAGCCCCGCATTGAACATTTTCTGAAGGTTTCGGTTGCGCTCCTGTAACCGGTCGAGCTCCAAGTTGTGAGAACGCACCGCAACCTCCTTGCGAAGTTCCGCCAACGAAGTCACAGTCGGTTCAACTGGCGCTACGGACTGCGCAGCAAATCGTTGCTCGTCGCTTGCACCCGCCATCGCCAGGTGAGCTTCTTGTGCACGCCGTCGTACCTCTGACAAGTCGATTACATCTGGGTGTTCTCCTAGCGCACGCTGAATATCGTGCACATTAAGTCCACCAGTTGTGGCGCTGCTTCCTGCGGAAGCGCCTAGGGGCGACGCACTCCGCTCTCGCGGCGTGCTCGCACCCCCGACACTACCTTGACCGACGAAAACCAGAGGACCTCGCTCTACGTGCAGCGTCGCGGCTGCCGGGCCTCGTTGCGACTGCCCGCCCTCGGAGGATGAAGCTGCTACAGCTGCTGCGCGTTGCGCTCTTTCGATTTCGTGGCACTCCTCAACAGAAGGTGTTTCTCCTCCCAGCACCGAACGAAAATTCCGCGAGGAGTAGCGTGGCGACGCTGGCGAAGCGCTTGTCATCGCCTGCAACCCAATCGGTTTACCAATACCTGACGAAGCTTGCTTCTCCATGGCCGCCAGGATTCTCTTCCCTGAAGCAATAAGCTTTTCGCGATCCATGGGTTCACCGCCTTCCATCGACGACTTGCTGGAAGTGGTTGTCGGAGCTACACCTCCCACAATGTTAGCGTCAAGACCGGCAGTCTTGAGCGCACGAGTTGTGGAGTCCGTTGGATCTGCTTCAGCGCTTTCTGGGTTGCGGTTGTCTGCATGCCGCTTCTTCAGTGCATTCTTCAGTATGCCCCGCGCTTGCCCTAGTGCACTTTTCAAAATTCTTGCAGATGTTGTAGTATTGCCACCCGCAGCCGACATGCTGCGCAGCTTGTCCACCGACGTGCGGCCGCTGCGTTGCGGCGGCTGATACTGAAGTGAAAACGACGACGACGACGACGTGCTGTCTTTAGATAAGCGGCTGTTCCTTCCCGAAGTTGTCTTCCCAACTGCCTTTGACGCGGCCCCAGCACCATCGGTTCCTGGCTCGGGGCTGCCGCCTCGAGGCTGCAGGAAAAAGTCAAGTGGCTTTCCGGCCACCGTGATTCCACCCAGTGCGCTGTGAGGTCTACCTTCTTGCGACGAACTCCCTGAGTTGTTCTTTGTCTTCGCGGCAGTTTTCGCAGGCGGGCTTCCCACGCCGTCCACCTTTCGCAATAGGCGCAATTTTTCGTCCACGCTGCTCTGGAAGCGCTCAGGTGCCGAACGGCCGGGTTTGTGAATCCGTCGATCCGCGGAATCAAACAGAGATGTTGCGCCGAAGTCGGCATTCCACTCGGGCCGCGTGAGAACCGCAACCCGCGGAGACTTCTGTTTACTGGCTTTTCCAGTCCCTCCGCCCGACCCGACACCAGATAAGCTCCTGAACCGATTCTTCTGCTTGAACGACGCTGCCGATCCCGGAGGCGCGTCCGCTCTTGTCTGCAGCTTCTGCCGACTGCGGGAAAGGCTTGCAGAAATGGCGGGACCGAGTGACGGACTGCGCGCTCTTCGTTCGAAGGAGGATGCCGAAAGTGACGCCTTGCGGCCAGTCATCTCTGCAGGCTTAGTGCTCACGCGCTTGATATTCACGCTCGAAGATCCAGAACGCTCGCGTAGGGTACCCGGTCGCAGATCCGTGGGCGAAGCAGGGGACATTTTGCAGGCGATGGACTTCACTGAGTTACAAATCTCTGCATGGAATGCAGCAGAAACACCACACTACCCAACTGAGGACACGCTTAGTCATAGTACATAGAATGGCTTACTATTTTTCAGTCTCCACTGAATTAATCAATAGCAAATTGATGCTTATCTTCTGCTGCTCTTGAGCGCGATGTCGGATAGTCTAGATATACACTCGGGTTATATGTCAATCTAAGATGACCTGTTTTGCGAGTCACACGTGTTCAAGAACCACGTCAACACACGGCGAACCTCATTTACGTCTCTATTTCTCTCATACCTCCGTTGGCAATTTTCACGCAACTTTCACTATCACAAGTGCCAAGAGCAGGTTTCATTTTATCTATACAGCAGTCTTCCACAACATGAAACAACGTCGCAGCTATTCTCTATTTCAGCGAGAAACCGCGGCGCCCTTTTTAGAGTGCGCTTTTCTGTATTCGAACACATCGCTGGCGGCAGCGAAGACTACTTTGAACGCGCAGTCGCAATCCTATTCTTTTTATCTACGATGGTCACTAGGGATCGCTCCCGGCTAGGCGAGGTGATAAGCCTTCCAGGTACTCGGAGGCAAATTGAGGAAACATTTTTGAGTTGATGTACAAAGGTAGAGTTCAAATCTTGCAACAACAACCGAACCCCACCCGTTTGTTACCACTTGAGGGTCGGCCCTGCTTTACCCCTATCCGTTGCCGCAGTCGCGTCCTCGTCTACTGTGCGCAAACTTCGATAATGAACAGAGCCTGGATCATCCAGATTGGAGGCTGCGGTTGTGCTCCCTACGTCGCGAAGAGGAAGGTCACGCCAAAAAGCTTGCATCTGTTCCAAACCATTCTTTCCTAGCGGAAACTGGCCGCCGCCGTTGAGGCAACCACCAGGACACGCCGCGACGTCCATGAAGTCGTAAGCGGAAGTTGCAGAGCTTTTGTTAGCTTTCTGGCTAGGTAAAGAAGTCTGTCGGGAGGTGCCAACGCTCTTTTGGCCGGCGTTTACTGATGGTTTCATGGCCTCCGTCTTAGCGCCGTCGCTCTTATGCAGCGCCACCAGCTTCGCTACGACATTCTGGATGTTCTTGAAGCCCGACGCACGGAGGAGCGTGCCATCTGCGGCTTGGGCCAGATTTCGATCCAGGCGCACCGGCAGATAATCCTCAGAATCGCGGGAATACGCCATGGCCTCATCCACGTTCAGATGACGCTCCACCGCATGCATTCGGTTCCCAAGAGCGTCGCAGATGTCGCTGTCGGCCGGAAGCGCCCGAAAAAAAGCGCGTGCGAGCCGCTCATCCTCTTGCATCTCCTCCCATTCGGCTGCCCGCGCACTCCTCCGGAGCGCTGCAGCACGCGCCTTGTCTGTTTCGCCAAACAGCGATTCTCGACCTTGCTCCACGTACGATTTCGTGGTCGAAGAAACCCATGAAAAAAAGTCGACATAACGGTCTCCACCTACACCATGGCTGTTCTCCTGTATTCGCTGCTCCGCACGTCTTCTTGTGCGACTGTCCGAAGATGCTATGTCAGCTAGGTCTTGCAGTTTTCGCGCATACACGACTGAGTCACCAACAGTCTCGTCGTCGTTATTGAAATCCTCGCACCACAATGAAGCAACGGCCACTGGATCCGCGGCAGTGGCAGCTCGATATTTTTCTACAAATGCTAGTGGCAGCTGAGTTTCGTGCAGCAGTTGCTCCAACTCCCGCGTTGCTAAAACCAAATCTAGCGTTTTGCCGAACTCGGGACGCATAGTTTCGATCTTTCGGTCAAAACACGGCGCTACAAGAATGTGCGACACTGACATTGATTGCGCATCTCCTGACATAATGTCCTCGGTTCCTGGCTGGATGAAACTAGTAGAAGCCGTATCCTGATGGGGTGCAAGTGACAGCGAGGGAAAGTGTGTTCGGTACCATGTCAAAAAAGCACGCTGTCGGAAGGTCGTTGCTAGACGTGTTTTCACCAGGTGGCCCTGAATCACAAGTGGATTACGCACTGAAGAAAGGTGAGGCGCCACGGCTGGCGGAGCCACTTTCTCAGCATAGCACGTCCATCCTGGACAGTAACTCGCAACAAGTGGTGGCTTGGCTCGTTCCTTGGCTCTGTCCGCAGCATTGTTGTAAGACAGGCCTTCGTCAAGATTCTGAACCTTTTTCACGAAATCCTGCAACGACTCCCCAGGCGCACTAGTTTTTGTGGTACCAGAAGCTCCAGCACTAAGAACTGTCACCGCATCCGAAGATGCGGGAGCAGTGATATCCACGACTCTGTCCCGACAAGCTTGGGTCTTGGAATCCTGAATAACGTGGTCGACTTCGGCAAGAATTTTCCGGACGTATATGGCGTGTGCTACTCCTGTATCTGTGACCACGACCCCCTTCGCAGATCCTGCGTGCATACGCAGCAACCTCTGCAATTTCCCTAGGGTCTCTATTGGCAGTCCATCTGGATTCCAGCGTAAATGCAGGTTCACCAACGATTCAGGCGATACTGACATAACGACTAAATCCTTCTGACCATGCCGAAGGTTCGGTCTTGACGCAGGCCTATGAAGATGGTGGGCAGCTGTTGAAGACAGCGAATCCGTACCTCGATGCTCTTGTGCAATCTGTTCGGCGTCGAATAATGAAAGGTACTGCCATGACGAGAGAAGGCCCAAACCGCACGCCGCAGACTCAGACACAACCTCTTGTCGGGAGGTAGGAGTCGATGCGTTTTCCTTTGGCAGCAATGCATCTCTTGGCTGAACGGATGATGGTCTTACCTGAGCACCAAACAGAAGTTCATCGATATCAGTTGCGCTAAGCCCGTGCGCTGCGCAAGTCCCGCCATTCAGTACCTTCAGGAATTGATCAAAGCTCTGCGTCTCGAGCAGCACCGCCTCCGCAGATGTTACACATCCTGAGCAGGCTAAACAGTCACTAAGCGCTACCACCGCTTTCTCCTTTTTTGTCAAAGGCGCGGCAGTAGTTCCTGCTTGGTTCGCATTATCTGCTCCACTTCCACCCGTACCGGAAGTTGATCCGCGCTTCGTTATGCTCTCCGCTTTTGCTTTTTTGATGAGGTCCGGCCGCTCGGTGGACATGCCCCTCGACAGGTCGTAGACACGGCCATCCTGCTTCTCATTCTTGATCTTTCCACCCGACAACAAGGGCTGGATGCACTCCTGATTGCTGTCCAGGTAGTCAGACAACTGCCCGAGCTTCACTGCAGAACCGAACATGTCATGGAGTAGTCAATGTTCATATCAGAGATGGAGAGGAGCAAATTAATTGAATAAAAAAACATGATCGGCGACGAATTTTGCCATCAAAGATTCATTAGACTAATTAGCCAAAGACAGTGCAATAGTTTTGCAGGTTAACTTGTGACTATGCAGGGTTACTGGTGGCGACTCGATGATATGGAGGTAAGCGGCAAAGGGCATTGCAGCGGTATTGGGTCAGTTAAAACTAACTGAGCAAAAATAACTGTATCATTTAGCACACCCCACCCTATTTCGCCCTGGAGGAGAATAGCATGTATAAAAAAGTGTGTCGTGTGGTCAACGTGGAGGAAAGAATGCATCAATCATACGTTTTGTGATGCTCTGCTATGGTTTAAAGAAAAATCAAGGGTTGCTTGCGTGACATGGGGCACAAATAATATTGGCAAAGGCGAGCTCTGGTGTCCTTAGTGTCACGTAATAGTCGAAGTCGATCAAGAGACTTAGATCCTTCACGTCCGTTCTGGCCCTCGTAGACTCTGACTCGGATCTCAGTTGTGACCGTGGTTTTCTCAACATACTGATCTCGTCATCTTGTAGCTTTCGTATATTCATCTAGAACAAAATTGATTCTTCTGTGTTGATCCAGCCTCTCTTTCATGAAACTCGAGATTGAACAAATTGCCACTGAAGAACGATATAATCTTTCAAAACCAAACCAAGAACAGGAAGACCAAGAGATGAATCTCTCTGATGTTGATACGCTCGCCCAACGTGTCCTGTCTGTCTCTCAGCCTCATCCGCGTTGCTTTGGCAGTGCGCATAGAATCATGCTGAAATGGATTTCTACGGAGACATTGTTGCAACAGGCAGAATTTTGCTTGCAGCCTTCTCTCCTTTATTTTTCTCTAAGTTCCTAGGGACTACATTCATTCTTCAAGGCTCCCTCTTTGTTTCGCTGCTAGTGATTGCTTTCCTTCTCAGGTTTTTGAAAGCCGGTGCATATCTTTGTCACGCTTGCACAAGTTGACAATGTGGATGTCATGCGAGTGGCTCTGATGATGCTGTTCCTAGCATCCGTAGAGACTAGCTCTGATAGTGAACTGGAATCACATGGGTTCCTGGAAAGAAAAACTGTTGCTTGAGATTACATTCATCCATTTCCCCTTATTTGAGCAATCGACACAATCCCACACAAACACATACAACGAGTACCACTCCTTCTATCCGTGAATGCACAAACAATACCTCTAAGACCCTCGTACTCCTACACTCCAGTGCTCACGTCTTGTTCTACGATTGAAAATTCCTGTCTCTTGTTACCTGCCATACATCTCTGCAGTTTCAGAAAGCGGTTGTTCGGGTCATCATTGCTGGCCTCCAGATAACATTAGAAGTGTGTACAATCCCTCTTGTGGCAGCGCCTCAAAGTTGCACAGCCTTGCGGGAATGATGACCCTACGACACTTGTTTTAGCTCACGAGTCTCAGACGAATATCAGTGAAGGAGACGAGATGCTTCTACTCATTGGAAATGATCTAAACGCTAGTACGGACGAATCTTTGTATGTAAGGCCTTAACAGTAGGATCCCCACATGAGCTTCTTGCCGAGGAATTGCCATTCCTGGTTGCGGTTTACCTTCATGCAGCTGTAAGCGATTGGCAGATGCCCCTCTCTCGATGGAAAAGCGCCGTCAAGGCACTTTCTATGTTGAGCATTTCGGACCCCGTTGCCGTAGAACCAAAAGAGTTAGAGATCGCTTAATATAAGTATTCCAATCTTCAAAATCAAATTCGTTGTATCAATGTTTTTCATCAACATCTATTCTTCTCAAACACATGTTGGGGTACTTTCCTTAGCCATACTAGAAGAGGAATTCCGGGCGATTTGTATCGCAAGGAGCGACGCGCCAGTCTGGACTGCCACCGAGTGACGCATGCATACAGCAATTGTCGCATGCGCCGTTTTCTATTCGATATCTTCGTGGCTCTAACAAGCCTTGGTTCACGAATTCATCCGTGAAGTAGTCCAAGTAGCTCGTAAAACTTTTCAACTCTAAGGACGCGCCGTTTCCTCCTGCAGGAGCATGGCCATCCCCAACATTGTGCGCGAGGTTTACTGTGGCTTGCGACCTGGCAACAGGTTTGGCAAATAAGAGTAGATCTATCAACAATGAAGTAGGTTTCAAGTTTTTTACATGAGCAAAAAAAATGTCTTCTTTTGCCTAGTACAAGAAGTGATTCGTGTTCGCAATTCGTCTATCATTCAATTATCTGCATAGGGAATAGAAAGGCAGGCTTCACGACCTTGGAACGCGTGCGCCATTGACAAGAACGACTCGCTCTTCTGCATCATCCTCTAAAATCCTGCGGCTTTGGGGCATTAAGCCTTCCAAGCGCTCAAATTTGCTTTCAGTATCCGTTGAGGTAGACAAGGCGACGGCGTTTTTCGCCACAATGGCATGTGAATTACCCGCCTCGACTATCTTTAGAAAGTGAAAGAACAAGCCAAGATGGCACACTTATAAATATACGTACCAGGGAGGGAGGCCCGTCCCTGTGGATGGAGCGACGGCGGCGTCGGCGCGCCCTTATTTCCGCGGTGGTGACGTGTAAGGATTCCCGGGAGCAAAGGCCCCAGAAGGCGGAGCCGGTGCCCCCTTGCGGCTCTCCGCGTGTACCCCACCGGCGTCCCGACTCGAAGACCCTATCAGGGGGGCGGCCTCCGGGGGCAGACAGCCGCCGAAGGTGGCCACGGTCGCGAGGCCTGGCCCCTTTGGCCCTCATTCCCCCAATTGGTGGCAGCGTCAGCCGCCACCAAACGCCTGGGAGGTTGAGGACCAAAGGCGAGGAGGTGTGGGGGCGAGGCGTGCCCACCTGGGTTCTGTCAGATACATGCAGCACGGCGAAAGGAGTCAAGCCTTGCCACCTGCTGCCCTCAGAGGCCTTCCACCCGCCAAGGTACTCAGTTACTCCCCAAGTGAGGAGCCCCCACGCGGGAGGTCTGTCAGGTACATGCAACACGGCAAGGGTGTCAAGCCTCGCCACCTTTGCCGCCTTCCACCCCCGGCCGTCGGTGCTGGAGAGGCCTCAGGGGCTTGGGTTCTGTAGGGTACAGGCAAGAAGCCGCGAGGGCGCGAAGGTGGGCGCGGCTTGGAGGCCTTCCCGCCCGGCAGTTCCTCGAGAAAAAGGGCCCGGGGCTGGAGGCCTCCCCCCCTCAAAAATCTAGATCGGGGGCGGGCCTTCAGCCCTGAGCCCTGGAACGTATATGCATACAGAGGGACTATGTGATCAAAAGACTGTTCATTGCTGTAAGCGATTTCACCAATTGATTCCTCTACGGACTCAATCATGTGGTCGGTTTCGGTAAAAATCAATTCTTCTGCATGGAAGGTCACAGCGCAGATTTCTGATTGTATCCTATCCCTATGCACTGCACAGGAAGCATAACTTGAATTGATATTTCAGCTTGTATTTTTCCTCGGCACCGGGACTGGCTTTGTAAAAAGCGTCGCGCGCGTTTTTGTTGAACAACTTTTCAACTAGCTGTACACGATACTCCTGTGCATGTGCGTTCGACTCTCGGTAGTCCTTTGTTTGTCCGAGTACCGAATCGCGCGCTACCTGATGAAACACATCAATAAAAAAATCAGTTAACATCGAAAAAGATCTGACGACAACCACAGATATATTTATAAGAACGAAAGAAGTATTAAACAGTACACAGCCACCCAGGACAAATACGCAAAAAATTATATTACAAGGAATAACCTGAAGCTCACCCCCGGCTAGCCAGCTACGCAAGCTGTATTCGCTGCACGCTGATTCATAATGTGGCATTTCCTCCATCTTTCCGACTTCGTTCCACCACTGACGCGTCAATGCGAAGACCGTTCCACGCATGACAGGCACTGCATTCGTCATATCGTCGACCCAGGCGAGGTCCAATTTCCATGAGGAAAATGCCAGCTTAAAATTCCTAATTTCCGCACGCTGTGTTATAGTTTGCAATTAGTACAAGTAAAAAAAAGCTGTTAGTGCTACAATGATAGATTGGAAAGTGGTATTGGTAGTCACAATACCTTCTTGTAGTCTACTAATTCGCATCGTCCTTCTTAAAGAGGCAGGTCACTAGAAACGACGGTCAAAGTTCTAGTCGAAGAACCGAGACAAAAATTGCCAAGAAACGCGAAGTACCGGATCTGCGACTTTTTGGTCTGGCGCAATGTCGTACAAAACTGGTGCTACGACTCGTTTGTAGTTGATGTTGATGTTGCGGACAATCGGCACCATCCAGTTCTTGGAAGCGCGCAGGTGCGCATCCGCAAATACTAGAATCGCACCCCGCGTCAATCGCGCACCGAGATTCCGCGCGGCCGATGCTGATATGGCTTCCTGCGAATTCTCTAATCGGATCATCGAAGCTGTAGAGGATTTGTTTGGCATAGGAGAGCAATCTTTCTTGTTGAGCTGACTTAGTCCGAATCACTTCATCTACTTTGTCATTTCTTTGGCATTCGAAGTTACTAGAACGAAGAGTCGAACGACCTCGAGAAGAATAATGCGGCATGACACTGATTCAATTGCCGCACCTCAGGTACCAGGCGCTTGCAACATGCAGTTAGAAGTACCCTTTGCTCCCAGCGACTCCATCCCCTTGATGCCGGCTGTGCGGATTTGCTCCTCGTTGTAGTGTTTCTTCCCGCTGGGATCAACAACCACCACTTCTGCGATACTGGTGAGCGGATCTGTCTGATTGATAAATGAATAGACTGTCTGCCCAACGTCGTCCTGGCTGTCGTCTGGAGTAGCAACGAGCACTTCCGATTAGAATTTTTGATTACGGTCAATCATGCCCTTTAGTCGAATTTAGTTTCGTTTTCGATGAAAAGTGAGTTCTTTTCTCGAACAGCCAACTATCTAAGTGAAATTGAAACATCGGGATCGAACCACTGGCTATATAAGCGCCAGGGGACATAAATGGAGATAACGTTTTTGGTCGTTTTGTCTGAGATACCGCCGAGATGAGCGTTTTCTTCTTCCTGCGTCGAAACATGGTACAATATTGGCGTGTCCGTGTCTTGTGTCTGGGAGTGGCCGAGGTTCTCTATGAATGTGGTTTTCTTCATCTTTGCACCAAAGCATAACATACTGTAGAATATCAGTGGTCAAAGCGTGAAGAGAGAAATACCTACGAGTGAGTATCAAATTTCTTGTTTTTATCAAAAGCAACAGACTTCAGAGATCTAGAGAGTGTACGCTTTTGACTCTACCTAAGTAGCACAAGAGACGCTGAAAACTGGTTGCTCAGTTGGAAGGGAATTCTATTCATATTTTGTCCTTATCATCTAGCAAAAAAACGCCTTATTCAAGTTCACGGCTTGTGATCCGGCTTTCGACTTCTGCTTGTCTACTCGCAGAAGCTCTGCGAAAGGACGGTGAAACTTCTCCTCGTCGTCGGGTATCACATCGTCGCGATCTGCCTCAGTTGGTTTGTCGTTCACCGCATGATGTCGCTCTCCCGATCCAACTGCCAACAAGTTCAACGCGGCTGCGGAAGACGCGGCAGAGGGAGCCTCCTGGCGAAGATGCATTAGAAGACGAAATGTGATAGTCCTGAGTAAGAGTTACATCGAGTACATGCCTCATGTCACATTCACAAGGTATTACGAAAAGCTAGACATGGTAGTGTCTGTTCCCGCTTCAGCTGTGAAATGTTGGCCATGAATCACGTGAAGTCGATTCATCTTTTTGTCGATTTTGCTTGGGCCATAAGGATGACAAGCTGAGGCCACTATCTACGTTCGCTCCTGGAAGGTTGTCTCGCTCCTTTCGATGCACCTCCGCGACCATCCAGTGCAATGCTAAAAGAATACACTGTAGCGAGAGGCACACCCATAGAAGGGTTCCCCGTCGATTATCGGCTACGAAGCCAAGCGGATGCAGGAAGAAAAGCACAACTGCAACTGTCGCGAGATGGCTCCTTGCTAGCTCGTCGGATCGCGCAAGTACCGGGAGTAGAAAAAACAAACCGACGCGCAGCAGTCCCCAGGTACGCTCTCGCACGGCCTCCGGCACGCGACCGAGCTTGTCCATGGGCGTTGTTGATGTCGACAACATGATTTTCCACGAGTCAGAGTCCTACGGCTGAAAATCAACGCAGAGGTTGAAGCTGCGCTGCAACGATCATGCACGACAAGTACGACAACATCACTGAACTCAATCCTTCCTCCTTCTTCGTTGCAATTTCAGTATAGATGAAGCCTTCTTCTATGATGTTGGTGGAGCAGTCCTAACTGGAATCAACAAGAACCGAAAAAAGAAAGCTCAGGCAAGTACTTATCTACAACTTCTAACTAAGCGCCGGCGCTGTCCCAGAGAAAACCTTCTTGTATGACAATAATCTATCTCGTGACGTCTTTGGTGTGGCCAAATCAAATTTCCTGCAAATCCCAGATTTCTATTTTCGGAAATTATATCGACGTGAACAAGCTAGAAACCATTTTATGCAAAGCACCCACACACTTCTCGCAATCATTTCTAGTCTACACACGACACGAGAACCAGTACGTAGCTGCATTTCGCAAAGTTGTTATATATCATGCTTCTGCTGCTCCTTTTTACTTTTAGGCGAAAGAAAGTTTTTTGGAGCTCAGCTATAAAATTTCTGTGGCTCCCGTTTCCTTGTAGCGCTTACTCTCCAGTATAGCCTCTGCTCACGTCGCTCCACTTCTAATATGATTACGTTCATTCTACGCAGCTCTTCTCTTGTAGTTTTCTGGCTTACACGATACCTGGAAGCATTTAGACTCCGGCTATAGCTTAAAAGCATTTTGGTGGGTTACCAGGCTTGCCCTTTTTGTGTCCACACAGTAGAACGCAAATTAATGGCGTCTTTAATATCACATTTTGTTTTGTTTCAAATGCATCTTCTAGCGGTTGCGAGAGATCAACATATCGACTCACTGCATCACGAAACCCAAGAAGTTAGTTTAGTTCGCTCTCAAAAACCACACGTAATTGGAAAATCCACCCCTTAGGCCACGTGAGTGGCATTGGTAGGCACCAAGTCTGAGGACCTAGGCAGTGCAAACACATACCTGCTAGTTAACTGCAAATTAACGCACAGGAATCGACCATCTACCAATATTTTTAGGTGCTTAGATCCCTCTCGGGGTGCCACGCCAGAAGAAAACCGTGGCTGTCGTGGCATACGAGGGACTGACCGTACACTAGCATAGAAATTGTTGACCTTCTTTCTTCGAAAGCTCAATTTAGCATCAATTATGCAGAATTGAAAAGTGATTTTCCAGAGGAGCAGCTGGGAGATATGAGTGATTGAGAGAGAAGGAAAATTCTAATGATGCTTGCGAGTAGTACTGATCTTACGTTGTCAAGACAAAGATGCAAAGAGAATTGACAAAACCATCATCAAATACCACCTGCAAGAGTGTACTTACAACTAAAAGTACTAGAGATATTAGAGAAAGAGGTATACTGTTCCACCGGGGGCAGTCATAAAAATGAAAATCCGTCGAAGCTGACGGTAAGGTATGCTTTCCTACACAAGGTATCTTGGTGCGAATGCCAGAATTTGCGCGAAGCGGAGTAGACTTTCAATATCCTTCTGAGAGGTGCAGGCAACTTCTGAGACACCGCATGCCGCTTTTATGAATCCTTCGAGCTGCAACCAGAGACTCTGCTCTCGTGCCGCCAGGTCCTCGCCCATCGAAGCGTAGTCTGTCGCAGGCTTGGAACCTTCGCTCCCAACATTACTAGAATTGTTGGCAAAAAGTTTTCGCTTCCACGAATCACTCTCTTTTTGCTCCGCCGTTTTTCTATCCATGGCTGTTTTCTTAGTGCTGGCAGAAAAAGAGGTCTTCCTTTGTTCTATGTCTACAAAAGTCTTCCCTTGTTCTCGTAGAAGTGCTGGCAGTGCTGCTCGACCCGTCAATCGCCGGTGTAAAGATGCTGCCAATCTAAACCGCCATTTCTTCTCGTGCTCTAGGTCACCGGCAACCGTTCGTATTCTCGAGATGTAATCTTCTTTGATTTTCTTTCGATATGAACGCCCGCAGTTCTCATTATCTCATTATCTCAGTTTCACTTCCTTTTACCGCTCGTCATGGGGCACCCTGTCTCCTCGTGCCCTCTGCTTGTGCGTCTTCTGATTCTGCGGATAGGTCAACGAAAGGCCGATTACCCCTTACTGACAGTGCAGAGGAGCCAGCTTTTGCTTTCATCTTGCGTAGGTGTCTCGACGGAGAAGACGACGCGGTCGAAGATGGTGCGGCAGATCTCTTTGCCCGAGACATTCTCGAACTAGGTGTGAGAAGTGTGCAGCTGCTAGAACTCGATGAAGGTGTTGTTTGCGCGCCAAAACATCTAGAACCGGAACACCCAGATGAAGAACCCTGGCAAATAGGTGGATCGTTGATGACATCAGAGGAAGAAATGGGCGAACCCGATGGAACAGAAAACACAGAAGGCACAGGTTCAAAATCTGCAAAAGGCTTCAAACTTCCAAGATCAAGATACACAAGGGAAGCGAAATCTCCGCAATCTGGTTCCAGTCGATTTACGCCCAAATTTAGAACAGATGGCTTCTTACTATACGTGCTTGAGTGTTTTCTTAAGGCGTAGCCCCCATAGTTTCTACTCGGATCAGGGGATCCCACTCGAGATAGTGCCTCACGCGGGATAATGAAATGCTTCTGTTGCCCGTAAGATATTCAACCACGAAGCATCCTGGTGCTCGAATCCTAGGCTTTGCAAGTTCTTTGCTAAATCCGCAAGTGGCAGTTGGGTCCTGGCATCATGCGCCACCACTCGTTTCTAACTTGTAGAGAGCGCTTTCACGAATGCGATCGCTTTTTCCAGAATGTCGGAGTGAAAAGTGATGCTTTCCTCCTGTGCCGCGTCAACCTCATGTAGTTGGACAATTGCTGTTTCGTCGTCTTGAACCACATCCATGCGGGCTAGACTCCAAGGATCATTCGATTTCGAAAGAGGAACTCCGTCGGAACGCAAAGAAGATAATCGTGCTTCTAAAAATTGCAACTAGCGATTCTTGAGTGCGCCAATCCAAGAACGTGCAAACGCTGATGCTTGATTTTGAACGGATCGTCTGAGTATTTCACGAGTTTGTGGCTGCAACCCTAAAAAGGCCTTCCCTTCGTATAGCCATGGCGCCCAATTCCATAAGCTCTTGGAGGCACCGTGCTGATCCAATTCCCCGAAAAATTAGAAGTGTCAAAGACAAAGTTTTTCACTTTGAATTTCATTTTCTTTCGTTAAGATTGCAAAACAGAAAGACGAAATGCTTTTTAGCATACTTATGTGCACCTTGTACGTTGGTTCTTAAAAGAAGGAGAGGCTGAAAGCCTTAAGCAACTTTCCACCCTTGTTCGCAGGGTTTGTTAGAAAGTCTTGGACCAATACTTTGTTTTGAACGAATAGTCTTCAATTCCCGAAGCCGATATTGCTCCATGCGTTGGTTGTCACTTCTCTTTGCAACAATCATGATCAGATTTTATCGCCAATTGGTGCATGATCCGTCATCTCCTCTTCCGTAGAATGTTCTCCCCGCCAGTGCCGTCGTGCCTCGGCCGCGCCAAAAAAAGTCGCGCACACCGCTTCAAACAGAAGCTCTCTTTCATGTTCATCTTGCTTCCTCTCACTTTGGTTCAGCTCAGAAAATGTTATCAGCTAGGGCCTGGAAAGCCGCGTTCCTGATTTGCGAAGAATTGAAGATGCCACGCCCTTCGTACCAACTACCGTGTTCTTTCTGGTAGGCTAAATTGAAGATTGCTTGCCAGCTCCATGCCGCTTCGTGCTTGATTTCCTTCTCCGGCTTTTTCTTGTGCACCTTCGTTCTGTAAGTTTCGTCCTCCCTCTCCTCCGCACTGATTACAACTACCACATCACATCCATGCTGCTGGGGAGATGAAGGTGCGGGTACCGCACTACTCGCATTTTCGTCCATCACGAAAATCAACGGCAAGGAAGAAGATGCAGACGATAACGAAAGAGGACGTTCCTCAACATGTAGAGGCTGCTCTGCTTTGCCGTGATCAGCTACTACGTGCGCACTCTCCCAGATTTAAAAAGTTGCCGCATCAACGTGATGATGCTCGTCTGGCGATGGAACCACTCTTATTTGCTGCTGTAATAAATCTTCTACAGCTTCTTTGATATGCTCATCCTTCACAATTTGCATAACCAGCAAGTAGGGACTCGGAATATATGTGCTGGCCCATTTGGAAGCATTACGATCCGACTTCTCCATCTCATAGCACAGCTGCAGTGCAATTTAGAGGTTGCGAGATTCCGTCCCTCTGGTGGACCTTCCTCGAAGATTTTCCTGTTACAATAACCCCGTGGATGGTGCCACCACCTTTGGAATTGAATGCTGCAAGGCTTAGTCTGTCTCTGGTTTGCATCCTGGATGGGGATTATCCTGCTTGATCGAAGAGGACGAAGATTCTCCAGCTGTTAACAATGGTTTTGTAGTTCCGCTTTCCTTTCTAGCACATCTTGACTCTGTGACTATGTCGCGCCAGGGCCATCTCGTAACTTCGGGAAGAGTCTTCCTTTTCTTTTCCGTTGCCGAGACGAAGTTGATATACTCTGCATAGAGAAGAGTCGCATAGCTTTCTCTCAGGTGATACATGTCCCACGTTTTCGCGCTATGCCACTCTTTCCGCTTTAGCTCCAGCTCCATCTTCCGTAGTTGCTTCTCTTCGATGGCAGAAAGGAACAACCGATCGCTATCTAGTGCTGGTCGCTCCTCAGCAGCATCCGCGCCTGCTTTAAATTCCTCCTGGCCAGGGGACCGTTTAGAGTCCACACGGGCATCGTGCGTTCCTGCTTCCAGATAATTCCTGCCTGACGATAAATCGGAACTGGTCCCCAGCTGTCGCTTTCCTCTATCTCCAGCACTTCCAGATGAAGTATCTTCAGTTGGAAGTAGACTAAGTACCATTTCCAGAAGTACCAGCCGCGCTAGCTCTTCTCGCAGCTTCGTCATGAATGCTAAATCCGTATGGCTCATGACGACGCAAGACCCTCATAAAGGGTTACCGTTTTCATCTAGAGTCGACTTTTCGGCTTTTTCCATTTCCAAGCTCGCAGCGCATTTCAACGCTTTCTTTCCAGACCGGGATAACCAGATCCCGACGTTGTTCGCGCAAATCACGGAGCTATCCTGAAAATATCCTACCTTCCCGCTTCAAAAGTCGCTCATGATTTGTTCTGTAATCATCCTCTTCAGTCTCATGAAGATCGCCGACTTCCATCGCAGACAACTTCCACTAGTTCTCTTTTTCGATTTTTCTGTATTCCGGTTCCACCCCCTAGTAGAAGGATTCGCATGGCCAGCTTTCCTCGTTCTGATTTCTTTGGCATCTAGGCTTTTTTGTATTTGCGTTTATTTTTCCAACTCTTGCCGCAACCACTCTGGTATGCCGTCTCGCAATATGCGCCCACTATGTGCACTTCGGGCTGTCGCGGGTGTTGTCATTGTTGATGAGAATGCTGCAGAGCTGAATGCAGTCCATACACACACCGAGGCGAAGAATCGTAGCGAAAATTTCTCGAAGAAAACGGAAAATACCGAGCTCGTCACTTTTGGTTCTACGGTACTGGTGTGGTCAGTAGCGAGTTCCTGCAACTGAAGCGCGTGAGAGCCCCTGTGTCATAATGGACGAAAGAATGGGAAAAGTATTATCGCTGCAGCAAACGAAAGTGGAAAATATCAACACTACCGCAAAAAGCCTCGCTGGGATAGAAGAGGAAGACTATGGAGTAACGCCATGCGCTGGCCATGATCTGAATCCCTGAAATTGCACAAAGGTCCACAAAGCTCCAAAGGACGAAGCCGAAGGCCATCAAAATGACCAAGATCACCAGGCGAATAAGGTAACCCATCAGCACCGTCCTCAGTCTCAGCGCGTTGGCCCTAGTTGGCGCGGGTGTCGGTGGTTCTCAGACATCTAGCAAACCCAACCGGGGCACCATCCAAACGCCTGACGGGTTTACCGTTGCGCGGGTGCCTCTGGCTTCTCCTCTCTCTCGTTCGTTGTTCTAAGTCTCTCAGTTCAGTCCAAGACAAAGCACCACCGGAAAGACCTTAAGGAAGCCTATAGCTGCAAGACGAGACCGCCAGCCAAGACCTTGCCGAAAGGTTCCGGAAGTTCTTTCCAGGAACGAATCTCTTCCAAAAGGACCGCCTTCCGAAAACTTCCGAAATACTTGCGGAAGAAGGCGGACACCCTCGGAAACTTTCGGCAACTTTCTGAAATTTTCAGCAGGCGTTATTTTTTTTGGATGAGATTCATCGAAAAACTTTCGGAAACTTTCGGCCAGCGATCCATTTCATGGGCCTCACCTCTTGCAACTATAGACCGAAGAGCATACGTCTCCAAAGCCAACGAGCAACAGGCAACGGACCTCCAACGTTTTCAGATACTAGAAGACATAGCGCGCGCCCTTCTATGGCTGGGGCCCGATCCATATCATCTTGTAAGTTCTGATCAGTTTAAAGCGCACGAAGCGCCGCCGCTGTGTATTCTCGTGATAGGTTCCACACGGTCTGACGCATCCCCTTCCAGTAAGTCCAGCCAGATCCAGACCAGAGGGGTATCAACATAGGCGACCACATGAAGCTCATGACGATAGCACAAAGGCCCCCACTTGTTTGAGCACGTGAGACCTCCCCCATCATGATACCCCAGGAAGGAGTAAAGACTTCCGCGCCAACCCAATAAATATCCACAAGGATCAAGCCAGCCAGAGGCCATTTGCCTCAAGCTGCGGGCCCAAATCCAATTGCATCAAGCAAGAGCCCCGCCCGACGTTTGTTTCTCCACAAGAAATCTGCCAAGGCTTCGCAGTCTGTGTTCTTGTGGTCCAACACTATACCAAAAGCGAGCGTAGCAAAGTGGTTTTTTAGCCAAAAAACATACAGAAAGTCCAGGGATCAGTTGGGCAGTATTCATCTCAAAATGAACAAATTTGAAATTTCCATTCTGAGACGAATAATGTACAAAAAAGCGCTTTTTTTGGACTTAATGAATATTGGAACTAATCTCCTACGGTAATCGAAATAGATCCATCTGGTCGAGGACTAGCAAGCTCAATTGATCCAGTCATACGCCAGATGGATCATTGTGGGCGGACTATGTCTAGAGAAGCAACTCCTTCTTCAGAGATATAAAATAGTAAGTCGACTAGTCATATCAGTACACACCCTTGTGGACAATCTTACGGCAATGCCGTGTCGAGAGTTTGCGAGTCTGCTCAGATGTGAGTGCCAAACTGTGACGGCCGTCCTCGCTTGTTTCCTGATCCTTCTGCATGAGTGACTACTTTCATGTCGATCGGAAGCCTTCTCGCGCCACGTCGTAGACACGTTGTATGTGTAACAAGTGCAAGAATGTTAATACAGCGGCGTTTCTATTTTCAAGACAGAACCACATCAGGAGTGGTTTGCCTCTTCTTCGTCCAAAGTCGTCACCTTGTCACAAACATCACGCTGAATACGAGTTCTCTTTTTGCTTACTTCTGCATTTTGCTCCTCCGAACGACAACATTCAACTTGTTAAAGAACGAGAAAAAGTGCTTGCTGTTGTTCGCTAGATAATGCAGCTACTACAAGCTATAGAAGTAAGTAGAGGATGGCTATTGTACAGCGTCAATTTCTAAGTTTTTCATTCCCTGTAGCCCAAAAACCGAAGGGAATAGAAGAAAGTTACAGGTTGGGGCTCAGAACGTGAGCAGGCATGCCTTAACGGATGTGACGTGATACAGATTGATGCCGATGAATTTCACATCTTCACCAGCAGAGTGTGATCGTCGTCCGTTTGAAAAATAGAAATCCCTCAGGTTCTCTTGGTGCCTTTTGTTCTGGGCCGCGTTGGAACACAGGTAGTACATGATATCCTCAATCACCGCTCAGTCGAGTACGCACTTGCATGGGCTACAATAGAGAAACACATTAACTCACGGACGTGTGTCATTTTATAGCGATTAGAACGCTAAGTTTCTAGTATAAATGTGCAGACCCGAGGAGGTCGACTGCAAAATAGTGGTCGGCTAGGGCGTGCGTGTCCCATGGTTCAACTGCCTGTGCCTTACTCCGTGCCTAGAAGTAGAACCTGCACGCGACGCAGGGAGGTGAGTTGTAACAGAAAAATAAGTAGGCGCGGAGAGATAGACTTGCACCAAGAAATCTTCATTGATTTGCTGGCGCGGTCAATACCGTGATACGACATTTGCCGGCGCTGAGAGAATTGTAACAGAAAAATACGCAGGCCATCAGCGTATTTTGACTAACCCGTATTTTTTTAGCATGTTAATACTAATTGACTGGCTTTCTCTTTATATGTGTGTGGTGTAAGAAGAAAGCACTACGATCGCGAAGCGTGTATCTATGAGTTCTCGCTTTTCGTCTTTCGTTTCTTCTTCTCACCACCGCCAGCACTTTTCCTCTCTCTCCACGACGTTGCTGCCCTTGAAAGCCGAAAGCGAAATCTATTGACTTGAAAGCTGTGACCTTAGGGCGATCTAGAAAGCGCCTACTTTATCCAGCAAAGACCAGCAGGAATAAGGTGGCACCGTAACAAGGCGCCGCCACTCCTCACAAGATTTTTCTGTTCGTGCTTAACGTTGAAGATTTCAATTTTTATGACGTGAAAACTGTAAGCGTGGCATTATCCAGCGGCCTTTTTGTTGGGTCTTCTTCTCTCGACAAGATCCTTGCGCATCTTCATCTTCTTCTTTATACCCGCAAGAACACCCGGGAAGTTTTAGGCTGCTGCTTCTCCTTGTTGATCTAGTTGACGATTGGAAACGCGCGAGTTAATTACTTTGCTGCAGTAAGGCGCTCGATGCTTTGTCTTTCATTTGTTTCTTCTCCACCTCTTGAAAATACTATTATGGAGAAGCCTAGCAATGGCGTCGGTTCTTGAGCATCATGCTGACCTTTTATATCTCTATATTTTTCTCTTCTTTGAAGATTGCCAACGCAGCGGCAATCTTGCACGTCAAGCTCTCGCGAGCGCCTCAGACCGACGGCAAAAACGGCTCATGGGGTCCCATAGCTTTCAGAATCTGGAAACAGTTAGCCCGTTCAGCCTGAGTCATTTCCGTCTGCCTTCGCATCACTTCCCTCTGCAAACTTTCGTGTAGATTTCGCGCCACGGCGTATCGCCTTCTTCAGGTTAGACCTAAGTATTCATGCTTCATGATGGTTCTTGGCGTATCCATTAAGAATAAGGCTGCATAGATCTCTTATATATGTTTTCGGGCTGCGCAGTCCCTCCCCCTGTGGTATGGTCTGTGGTGTAGTCTTTTCCGCGCTGATTTTCGCGGGTGCTAGCGGTGAGAGGCGTCAAAACTGGGCGCGGGCGTCCCCTTGCGCCTCTCTGCATGTTCCTCAGGGCCCTCCTGGCCTCTGCTGACCCTCGCAGGCTGGAGGCCTCCGGGGTAAAAGGCCGCCGAAGGCGGCCACGGTCTCAAGAGCAGGCAAGCAGATGACCAAGGGCCCGGAGGGTACAGGCCGCACGGCTCAGGGGGTCCAGCCCCTCGCCTTTTTCCGCCTTCGGAGGCCTTCCACAGCCGGCGCACTGCAGCGGCGGCGAAGCATATAGGAGGCATGTAAGGCACAGGCAGGCAGCTGGAGGGGAGCGGGGGCGGCCCCTTGGGCCCGTTTTGAGGCCTTCCGCCTACATCGGAGGCCTGCAGAGGAAGGGAGCGGAGAAGGTCCATCGGGCCCCTTTTGAGGCCTTCCACCCCTGGCAGACGCCTTCAAAAGGGGTCCAGGGCTGCACGATGCCCCCCCGCGCTAGGGGGGGTACCGTAGGCCCGAGCCCTGGATCATATAAAGGTTCGCAGTAGGGAATGGGAATAAATCTTATATATGTCATAGAATCAATAAAAACAGAGAGACGAACACTTACTTCATGATGATATTGCTCGTCGTGTCCACCTCCCTGTCTCTGTCACCATGTGCAAGTAATTATTTGTATGCTTCGAGGATCCGCATTTAAGATTCCGCATTGATATGTATCTATTACTCTACTGAGCCTTAACATCATAGCAGATCCGTTGCCATCTGCAGGAACGCTAGTTCTAGTCGATGAATTCGGTGTTGAAGTGCCTCTGGTGTCAGCTGCTGGAACGCCCCCCGTAGTTCTACTCGATCTTGTTGGGGTACATGTCAACGCGGACACTAGACGCTTCACGTCGCCGGTGCTAAAATACCGACTCTTAACGGCCAACTGCTTCATCAGATACGTCAATGTTTCTGCGAACAGTGGCACTGCAGCAGCAGACGTCTCCTCTACCTCGAAGTTTGGAAGATCAAGGCTTTTCCATCCTCCAGACAGTCCCGGCTATACTTTTCACTCCCTTTTATTCTAGTATGCCCTTGTCACTACGAAGTGAGTATGAATCTCTTACATTGTAGTTGGTCATTATCGTGATACACTTTTTCATTGTTATGAATTGTTCTTTTATTTATACATGCTGATTTACATTGATGACGTAAAAAGGGCGTCGCCTGGGTCCGGTTTTTACGGATGGAAAAAAAGTACGTAGACCCATACAACTGGAGCTAGAGAAGACCACCCTGGTTGTGCCGTCGCAGTTCGCCATCGCACCAAACTATGGAAAACGGATACCAAGTAAGCAGGCGGAAAGAGGTAGCTGCTTTCCAGAATCCTTTGACATAAGCTTTGTCTTCGACCTTGTTGCTTTCCTGCACTCGGTTCTAACTCTAACGTTATGTTAGAATGATTGACCAAGCGGGCTAGGAGCATGTCATAGTTGTTGTTGTAGCGCTAATGGTATGATATACCCATTCTTCACGTAGTTGTGCTAACGATAATATCCCTTACCGTCCCGTCGAAGAAAAAATATTCGCTGGCAGAGTAGCAACAGCCGTAGCACAGAAGGTCAATACATTCGATAAAGAGGATATTGGTGATCTCATCCGTGAGGTATGCTGCACTTCCACTTCCACCACATCCTCTGAGCATGAGTTCGAATAAACTCTTTGTGGACATCATAATATTTATATGTACTTTCACTTTATTAAATTCTCTGCTGGTTTCATCTTTCGAGTTATTAGGATCAGAATAAATATATTTTTGGCCTTATATGAAGCAAGGTGCGTGATTTCGTGGTAGGACAGCTCTTCGAGTCGCTCGAAGAGCTTCTCTTCGATGAAGGTTCGGAGATCCTTCACCACTACCTCGGTTGCCTCGCTACCTTCTTTCAACGCTAAGACCAGATCGGGATCCTCTTCGTTCACGATACGGCTATTTGTAGACCATGAAGTGGTGGCCTCGTCCTTAGGAGGCGCCAATGCGGACAGCAGCGTGCCTAAAGAGCGAATAGGGAACTGAGTCGCGCGGCGCCTCACTTCCACCGAGATGCAAGTCCAAAACGAAGCGTCGTCCCAGCGGGCCAGCCGACATGCGAAGGCCAGCACCGAGAGGTGCGCGTACTCGAACGCCCCAAGAGCAGATGTTGCCGTGTCATCGGTGTCCGACAGAGGCTTCACAAGCACATGGAACAACCTCCGGAGGCGTGAAACCTGAGGCTCGAACCCAGCTTGTGACATCACCTGCGCGTAACTGTGCAGTATGTAAGGCACGTGATGTTGTAGAGTCAATGGAAGCAACTCCGACGGCAATTCTTGTTCGTCATCTAGTGTAGACGAAGATGCACGACCGCAGCTCCTAGTCCTTCTTGTAGCTGCACGCCGCGCGTCAACTTGTGATACAAATTGCCCTCTTCGTGTGACGATCCTGTCGTGACCGACATGCTTGCCCTGCAGTTGCAGTGGCACGCCTTCCGACTCCAGACGGTTCATCCTCTCTTAGCGATTTACAGTACTCTCAGGATCCATGGTAGAGTGATAGCCTGAGCATTCCCCTTACGCATCCGTACTTCATGTCTAACCCTCCCTGGTCAAGTTTGAATCAGGAGAAATCCAGTCAGGCTACCCCTACCAGAAGATGATGGACAGCGATCCATAAAATTTGTCTCGTTGTAATGGTGTCGGAGGGTTGTCGATTAGAACCTGGGCCACATCCACGAAGACCTGGCCATAGCGCGCAAAGACCGGCTCCACCACTCGACGACTCGCGAAACACGGCAGCAACACAGAAAATTCCTGCCGGGGGATGCTGTCCCGGTGTCGCCGTATCCAAAGCCCAACATTCTCGAACACCTCCTGCGCAATCCCCTCGACCTCCACCGCCACAGGAAGCCGCATTTCTAGCTGACTTTTTAGATGTAGTTTTTCGTTACAGCAGTAGTAGTACTCTTACCAGTAGTCAAGTAGCCTCCGAACCGCGAGTAATCAAGATTCTGAGCGCTTTTCATTTCTGTGCCCACGTACGTTCCTATTCAGTGTTCCCCTTGCAAAGTTTGAGGCGAGTTTGGATAGGATACTCCTGCTCCACAAAGGAGAATGACGAAAAGCGAGCCCTACCTTTTGATTATGCGTCAGGATGAAGCACCGGAGCAATTGCGACACGAGCTTGGGTCGCAGGATCGTTGGCTTGCCGTCCAAAGTCTTCATCCTGCATGCGCCGTCGGCCAACAAGAAAGCTTTCTTCGTCTCTCGGCCACCATATCCTTCGCCGCGAATACTCCGCAACTCTGCAGGCACCAGCTCCCTCGCAAGCGCCTGGAGAACGCGACTGAAGCCTAGCATTAGCGAATTGCATCATTTTATCCAGCTATATATTGCATCCTCTACTGAACTTTCCCGCGTGAAAAACTGGTGAATATGATTGAAAGAAAGTCCTTAAAAGCAGTACGTCGTCATCCAAACTACCAGCCGATCCGACCAGTGACTTGCACAACCAATAGTACAGGTCAACCAACTCCAAGTCCTCCTCGGTCGAAGGCCCATGCCGCTCGGCCAGCAGGGCTCTCGCTTGTTCCTGAAAGTGCAGGAAGTCTCCGCTTCGCAATGCCGCTACTGACAAAAATTTAACGTTAAAGCCAATAACGAGAAATATCATCTTGTAGTACTTACATTTGTAAGATAGAAGCCTGAATTCATTGCATGGCGCCAGAATTGACACACTCACTGAAAGGTACACATCGAAAGGGATGAGAAGTTCTCATCTGCTCCTAGTTCATCTTGCATCTTGTACACTCCCTGAGTCTGGTCAGAAGATCTACTACTACGTCAAATTCAGAGTCATCATGTAGCAAATTATGAAGACATCGAATGACGCATCTCAAGATTGGATCCCACACCCTCTCGAGCGGAGACAATCCGACGGACTGACGCCTCATTAGTTCATGGCTCATCTTACATTCGCAGTAACTTTTTAGTAAGAAGGATGCACGAGGACATAGTCAAAGAACATTGGCGACAGAAACTTACGCAAGAGGTACTTGAGAAACAACCATAACAGAGTCACGCTGTAGAGATGATCGGATCCTTTGCGCTAGAATCCGTGCCCTGCCGGTACAGCTTTGTGAGAGGCTGCATTCGTTAGAAGCATAGCGATTGCAACCAATATCTACCTTCCACCGCGGCAAAATTTCAAGTCATTTCAAGTAAATTAGAATTTGCTCACAAATATCAAATCGGAGGTAGATAAATCAAATCGGTAGGAGGTGGAGCACTTCCGTGACTATAAGCAAAAAATCCGAATAAGAATCATAGGTGGGCGAGTTTGCCTATTTCTACTACGATTTCTCGATGTCACTGCGCAACGCGTTGCACCAGAAAAAAGATTCGATTTCACAAGGGCCGGCGCGCCAGCTGTGGTGGGCCCAGACAAGTCTGAAATTTCACGTCACCGTGGACAATCGGGAAAATAGATAGCTGCAAACTACTGCAATGTACTCACGACTTCATCTAGTCCAAACGCTTAATCTCTGGAGTTTTGCCTTTCCTTTTGAGCTGCTCCCCTGCAGGGCGCTCGATCCCTGCTGAGCTGATGCTCCGGTGCAGCACTGCAGAAGAAGGACGAGAAGGAGCCGTGATGTTCTGGTGTGTGTGCCTCCACCATGCTCTACCATTTTGGACGAGAGCTGGCAACCGGCAGCCCATCGCAGTTCAGGCTTCCTTGGTTATCCACTCAAAAAATGAAAGGTTTCAATTTCTTCCGTATGAATCCTGCGCACCAATTCTTCAACATACGGAGCGCCGCTCCCGACGGACCTTGAGTAGCTTGACACTTCCTCCTGGGTCGTCCGTGTGGTGGCGACCTTCGCCCTAATTTCGCTAGTTCATGTAGGTCAGGCAATTCCACTTCTGATCAGTGAGTCACATCCAAACAGCACGTCGTAATAGATCACGATCTAGCATGCTTGTCTAGCTTTTCGAAATAACTTCTACCTTGTTGGAAAGATTGAGTCATTATTTCTAGGGTAATTATCGATCAGATCGAGCTTTTTGAAATTCGTTTCACAGATCCTTCGTCTCTCCATATAGGAAGCGTCCTTCGTGGCCTTCACGCCCACACCGCCCAACACGTAGAACTCGCGTGGCAAAGAATGTGGATCACACATTTTGGCTCAACTACAACTAATTAGACACATAGTATATGCATGATCCCTCCAGATCCCGACTCCACCAATGCGCGACCATGTAGGAGGACTCCAAGTACAAACGTGCCTCGCGGCTTGCCATGAGATCATGATCCGGGAATTCTACTACACCAAAGAAACGAGGAGGAAGGGAGCAGTAGAAGTAACAATAGCGGCAGTGAATGTAATTACCCTGCCTTTGGTAGCAAACCGAATGAATCCATAGATACGGCAAGCAATGTACGCGTCCGTGTCACTCAAGTCGTGCTTGAGAGCAGGGAAGTGGTCGTATTTTCAGTTACGTAAAACGTCAAAAAATTCAGAGTGAGGTATACGTGCTCACTCATTCAAGCGAACACCAATCAATAATATCCGTGCGCTGCGCGGTCGCTCTACGAATCCTCGATCCTTCGCAGAAACAAAATCAGCACCCACATCATATTACGGAACGGTCCTTCACATTCGAATGTTGTAAACATAGTCTAAATCTCTTTGCTGGATTCGTTTGCATCTTCATCTAGTTCTAGTCAATCTTCTATTTCTTGATAGATAGAAAAAAGATCGCAAGTTCTGTATTTGTCAGATGGCGGAGCATCCTCCTCGACTCAATACGCACGAAGCCGATACTGGCGTCGATGTATCGGTATAATCTCCTTTGTCTTTCTGGGATCTGGATCACCGGTGGTAATAACTTCTGTTTGGCAGGCTGCGAAGACTAATGTTGAATCAAGGTGGAAGGTGCCGCCGAAGAACATTGCGCGCCAGTCCCAAAGAGATCCCGCTTATAACTCATACCATTCGAATATCTACTTACTCATATGCTGACCTTATCTACTTGTCCCCGGTACCGGTTTTTGTTGCTCAAGTTTCCCGAATCTTTATGTCGTACTTATTACAACGATTGAAGATCTTCTGATTGTTGTGACTATGATTGATTTGAAATTGTACATATGATATCTTGGTCGTTCAATTGTTTCGTTGAATCCATTGTTCCCTTGGTTCTTATCGTTTTTCAATGTGTACGTAGACGGATGTAGTATGGATCAATTTCTTTTTAGCTTGAGAATGTTGTTGAAGAGTAGCGTCTTTACGTCATTCGTGGTTGATCATGTTGATAGATTGATCTAATTACTTAATCACTCTATACGTTATCGAAGCCAGATGGATTTTAAATTCAGAAGTGATATTTTGACGATTTTGTATTTGGTCATGGTCAATGCTCTGAATGATAATAATATGAATGATAATCATGGTGATAGTCACGTGGTCCTGCGTTTATGAAATGATAATAAGATTGATAGAGCATTGAATAAGACTGTGAACAACCATAAGCCTTTTGTATGTTTGATAGCATGCATTGTGATCGAATTCTTAGTGATAGTCGTATGTCCTTTTTCTTGCTGAATGCCTCTAACTCTAATCCTTAATGTTGGAAAGATAATAAATACATCTAGTTCATTTTAAATCCACATCTTTCTTCAAACTAGTAACAAACTCTTGTGTTGTAGTAATACATCCTGGCTCATTAGCGTGTGAATCCTATTTCATCCCGGCCTGGTAATCTCAATACCCGCTGCCCTTTCTTTCCGTTGGATGCGGCTATCGAGAGTCATCTCGAGGACAGGATGAAAAATATTCTCACTAGTGTAAGTCACGGACAGACCCTGCCATAAGTTTAGATAGATCATGAAAGCTCCATGGTATTAGAGCGCAAAAGCATTCATTTCCTGGGTTCATTCATTCAGTATCCGGAGAAGGACACAGTGAAAAGCGACATGCTGTCGAAATGAATTACATCAAGCCGTAATGGTACTTTCTTTACTCGGCATTGCGCACAGCCACTTTGTTACGTCATTGGAATCGCGATTCCACAAACATTTTCTTGCTAGAGCTCCAGCTATGTATCCTGCTTAGAGAGTTGACCTGTGCGATCGATGAGCAGTTCAAGAAAAAGTAACACAAAGAAGTAACTCTTAAAATATAACAAAGAACTCCGGAAATATTAGACCGCGAGTACTTCTAGACTATTTTTGATTTTCGAGCAGGAATCGACCGTCAAGCAATGAATCAGAGTCTCTGTAAATGAAGAAGCAATCAGAATCCTCGCAGGATTTGTTTTGTTCATAACGGCAGCCTGTGATCCAACTTCATGCACATACGACTACAAGAAAGACAGCCTGATCTTAAGGATCTGTTTGCTCCTAGTTCTTCGTGAAGCTTCTCTGTCTCACCTCCGCAGCATAACTCATCTCCAACTCCGCAGCATATCCCACCTCCACACCATAGCCTACTTCCGCAGCATATCCCATCTCCATACCATCCGCGTTCGTCGCTAACCTCTCCGATCCACCACCGAAGTAGGACGACGACATCCACGACCCCATAATTTTCTACCACTCAACGAGTTAGAGTGAGGAGTTCTTTTGCGTTCGGTTGTTTGTTACAGTCTTTCGTGGTGCGTGCGTCCGAGCAAAAACAACACTACATCTAATACCCCCAGCATCGCATTGTTGACTAATCAGTATCATTCCCATAATATAGCATCTTCTGGCAAACTTACAAGGGAGTCTGCTCAACAATTTGCGCAGTTCCATAAGATCTCCATTCCGTAAATAACGTACCTAGACAGTTGCTTTCGACTACTTAGAATATGTAAAGACCTGCAAGTAATTATCACGCAGTTGCTAAGACATTGACAACTAGTACTTACTTATCTTACTAAAGGCACGTGTCCTCTAGCAGCTTACTGATTTCACATCCTTTCGGCAAGGGCAAAGACGGAGAAACTAATAAAGTACATCTATAATGCAGCATATGCAGGTGTAGAACGCCGAAACTTTACTGACAGCATAACTGCAGTGTTCCGACCTAGGCGAGGGCGCTTAGCAGCACCCCTTCGTGCCTTTGGAGTCCGTGTCCAGGGCCGCACTAGCTTCGTCTTCGTCTCCCTTCTCTGCATTGCCGGTGGATCCATCGGCGCCAGAAGTCGAAGTGTTTTTAGAGCTCTTGGTATTTTCAAACGAACTTCGCCTGGCGCATTAATATTGTGTAATCAATGTAGCGATATTGAGTTTATCATTAGGAATGAACCAAGAAAGTGAAAGAAAGCGTGCAGAAGAAACAAAGAAACGTGGTATCGCGAAAGCAATGCATAGCCTTAATTTCTATTGCTTCTCCTTCGGAATCGGGTCTGCAGCGAAGAATTTTGCAAGCACTATCCTCGTCCCCCGATCTAGTCTGGTACGTTTCTGCGACGCACTTTCCATCGCGATCTCCCTTGAGCTTGCACTTTGTGTTTACCGGTTTGAGAGCATAAAACGTAAACACGTGTTTGTTTTTGCGGTCGCGCAACTCAGCGTTTAGCGTCATTGTTCTCTGCAGAAGAATGTAAGATGTTGTAAGAATGTCGCAAAATGTCCAGGAGAATGAAGAGAATCTAATATTCTGGGATAACTCTACTAAATCTAAAGACTCCATCGTCAATGCCACGAATGTATGATCACTCATCCCTAAGGCTAAGAAGTACTTGCATATTAAACCTTGATGCAGGCATAGCCTAGTGATGACAAAAAGAAAAATACTCCACAATTTATGACTTAGGCGCACTCGACAAACAGATGTCGACGAGAGTCCTTCATAGAAATCATCTCACTCCCTCCTTGCCTCGGGGTCAGAAAAAGCAAGGAAACCCGCCACAGACAGGAGGGAGAATCACTCGCGGCCTCGACGGCAGTGACCCCAACTAGCCTCGTGCTGACATTCATCACGACTAAGCAAACGGCTGGCGGCTGGCGGATCGCGAGGGCGCAGCTGGCGGATGGCGCGCAGCTGCGCCCGCCTAGCGGCGCACGGCAGTCGCCGGCCGCAGTATCGCCAACGCGCCCACTCCGCCCACGGCGGCACCCAGCGTTTCTCCCACGCACTTCAGAAAAGCCACAGACACCAGACTGAAGAGGCGCCGGAACGTCCCGAACCTTGGCCCAAGGTCCAAAAAGCTGCCCGTTTTTGCAGCCTGCACGAAAACCATCAAGAAAGGCGCCGCCGCACTCCGTAGCCTACAAGCAAACGACCCATGGAAACCAACAAAAACTTTCGGGAACGAAGTTAAACCAAAAAGGCCGGGGCCGGAAAAAAGTCCAAGAACACAGAGTCGAGCGGGCAAGCACGAGCCACACGCACCCACCGGAGGAACAACCCGACCAACGCGGACAGAAAGACTTGCACGAAAGCCATGTACTAAACGAAGCGGGCGCCTCTGTCTGTAGCTGTTGAACTTAGTTCCAAGAAAACCCTACGCACCAAAGCGGTGCCGCACCGTCACAGATAAATATTTTGAAGCAAAAACACGAAGCGAAAAGCCCCATGCGGGAACCCCATGCGCCAAGAGCAGGTGGGCAGACACACACCACCGGACCACGCGAGCGCCGTCCGCGCCGCTGTGGTTCATAAGCAATAAAAGCGCTGCCGGGGTGCCATGCACTACAAGAGCAAACAGACAAACACACGCCGGCGAAGCGGGTCAGCGCCGTGCCGTCGGTCACGATCCATAGAAAGAAGCCACCCAAGTAAACCGAAAAATCTGGCACCCGAAACACCATGCGGCAGAGGCAGACAAAAACAGCCAAGCCTAAAGCCAAAGCGAAAACACGAAAACAGAGCAGGCGCCCACCACGCGGGGCAAGAGCGGCCGACGGTGAAGACGCGACCCCCTGCAGCAAAAACCCAACGAAACAACCCGGCGCAGCCCAAGTTTTTCTGCGGTGTTTGGCCGCATCTGGGCGGCGACGTCTCCTCCAGGTTCGTTTTGTTTCGAGCTCCTTCCACCGAAAGCCCGCCCTTTTGGCAAGCTTTTTCCGCGGTTCCCCCGCGCGCGTGGCGGCCTCCCTTAGTAATGACACAGCTGCTACGCTGGGAACAAAATGAAAACGAAAAGCCAAGGCTTTTGACGCTCGAAATTTACAAAATAAACCCCCCGGAAAAAAACAGCCGACAGCCTACACCCCGAAAGCCTCCTTACTCCCCGACAGCATACGCCCCGACGGCCTTCGCTACACCCCCGCAGGCTACAGTTGCAGCCCGACGGCCTATCATATGCCGAAGGCTCAGGCCCCGGCACATGTCTTACTTAGACCCCAGCAGCCTAGGCCCCGACGCCTTCGGTCCCAAAGGCTTAGCTTTAGATCCCGAAAGCCTCAGTCCCGGAGGTTTAGGTCCGGGCCGATGGCCTAGACGCCGCCGGCTTCGGTCCAGGCAGTCTTGCTCTACTTAGGAAGGCCCCGAGCCCGACGCCCCGCGTATGATCTGAGAGAGACAAGCCAAGGAACCGCCGTAAGATCTGAGAAAAGCAAGAACCCGCGGGCGGCCATATGTGTGAGACAAGCCCGCGGGCGGCCGTGTGATCTTCTGCGACAAGCCCGCGGACGCCCGTACGGTCTGAGACAAGCCCAAGGACAGCCGCGCCATGATCTGAGGCAAGCGCGTGGGCAGCCGTATGATCTGAGACAAGCCCGCGGGCAGCCGTATGACGTGAGACGAGCCCGCGGGCAGCCGTATGATCGGAGACAAGTCCCGCGGGCGGGCGTGTGAGTGATCCATCTGAGACAAGCCCGCGAGCGGTCATGTGTCTGACCTGAGAGAGACAAGCCCACGGGCGGGCGTATGAATTATCTGAGACAAGCCCGCAGGCGGTCCTACGATCTGAGAGAGACAAGCCCGCAGACAGCTATACGACCTGAGACAAACCCGCGGCAAAGCGAAAGGATGATCTGAGGCAAGCCCACGGCCGAACGGATGACCCGAAACGAGCCCGCGGACGACCATACGACCGGAGGGAGGCAAGCCCGTGGTAGGTCAGCCATATGATCTGGGGCAAGCCCCTGGGCGGCCGTATGATCGAAGGCAACGGCAACAGCAAGCCCTTAGGCGGGCGGCCGCATAATCTGACGCAAAGAAACCCATGAGAAGTCGCATAATCTGAGACAAGCCTGTGGGCAGCCGTATGACATGAGACAAGCCCGCCGGCGGCTGCGCCCAGTATGATATGAGACAAGCCCGCCGGCGCCGCGGCGGCATGATCTAAGGCAAGCCCATCGATCGGCGGCCGTGTGATTGGTCTGAAGAGTGAGGCGCAAGCCCGTGGGCGGCCGTATGATCTGAGACAAGCCCGCGAACAGCCTACCACGGTCCCTACGATCTAAGAGAAGCCCGTGGGCAGCCGTATGATCTGACACAAGCCGCCCCAACAAAGGAGGAAAGCTACCACGAAAGCGCCAGGGGCGAGGCAAATACCGAAACACAACTGACAGCCAAACAAGCCACCCAAGAGGGCAACGCGTGGCAGCCCATCCATGGGCACCGAGACACATGCACGCCACACCCTCGCAGACCCCTCACCCACCGCATAGACAACACACCACCAAACCCACACACCGCCCCACGCCACGCCGTCACGCGTCACGCCGTCACAGGTGACAAGTCACATGTCACGCCGTCACAAGTCACGCCGTCACAAGTCACGCCGTCACAAGTCACGCCGTCACAAGTCACGCCGTCACAAGTCACGCCGTCACAAGTCACGCCGCCACAGGTCACGCCGTCACAAGTCACGCCGTCACAAGTCACGCCGCCACAAGTCACGCCGTCACAAGTCACGCCCGCCCAAATCACGCCCTCACAAGTCACGCCGTCACAAGTTACGCCGCCACATGTCACGCCGCCGCATGTCACGCAGTAAGAGAGCGGCTTGCCCACACAATGAGCACAGCGCAAATAAGTAAGCACATCCACCGTAGAGGTGGTAGGAGGAAAATACCCATGGCACAAAAGGCGCTACGCCATTTGGGAGGAAGCAGCTGATACGACGAAGGTGGTGCTACTAATTTGTTCATTTGCTTAGCGGTCGATCGCCACAGAAAAACACCAAAGAAGCACGCTCGCCTTCGTCCTTTTGATCCCTTGGGCCTCTTGCTTTTGCCGTGCAAATTTGAGCACTTTGAAGAGAATCCCTCGCCAAGTTCTTGCGTCTTCAGTTTCAGGGCGGGGGACAAAGATAACAGGCTTACCGAGTGAGCGAAAGACAGACGACTGCGTAGAAGCAGGCGCACGCCACAATATCCCTGCCTTTAGTTCAAAGCTTACTAGTATGCAGTTTGGCCAATCACACGCAGCCACATGCCACGCCGTCACCATGTCGCTTCGTCACCATGTCACGCCGTCACCATGTCACGCCGCTACATGCCACGCCGCTGCAGGTCACGACGCTACAGGCCACGCCGCCACATGTAAGAGCCGAGCGGGCTAGATCCTCAGGCGCAGAGGCCACGTTGCCAATGACATCCCCACAGACCTGGCCAACGCCATGCCGTCGTGATTCATGAGAAAAACTAACACACAGACACGAACAGAACAAACGGGCAGCCAGATCCCCAGGCGCTGAGGCCAGAACGTCAGCGACACTTACTTACACAGACCTGGCCAGGCAACGCCGTCTGATCAGTGATCCGCGGACTGATCAGTGACCCGCGGATTGGTCAGTGATCCGCGGATTGATCAGCGATCCGCTGTTTGATCAGTGATCCGCGGATTGGTCAGTGATCCGCAGACTGATCAAAGACCCGCGGATTGATCAGTGATCCGTGGATTGATCAAAGGCCCACGGATCGGCCGGTGATCCGTGGATCGATTGATCGGTGGCCCGTGGGTTGATCAGTGGCCCGGGGGTTGATCAGTGACCCACGCACGCATCGGCCAAGGATTCCCGGATCGATCAAGGGCCCGCGAATGGATCAAGGGCCCACGGATCAGCCAAGGGTCCACGGATCGACCAAGGACTCATGGATCGATCGCCCAAGGGTCCACGGATCAGCCAAGAATCCGTGGACCGATCACGGGGCCGTGGATCGATCAAGGGCCCGCAGATCGATGAAAGGCCCACGGATCGACCAAAAGTCCGCGGGTCGATCAAATGCCCGCGGCTCCGTGAAAGGTCCGCGGATCGATGAAAGACCCGCGGACCGTTCAAAGACCCCCGGATCGCTCAAAGATCCACGGACCACGCGCCGGCCGCCGCGTGACACGGGAAGCACATCGCGCGAGTTCGTTGCGTGCTGCGTCACGCTTGAAATTGAGCCCAGGCGCCTCGCCTCCCCCCCGAAGCTCTCGGAGCCACGCGGTGGGCGTCACGCGTCACGAACAGCTCTGCGGCGTTCCGTAAGTCCCACGCCAGACCCCCGGGCGCCAAGGGCAAGCGGACAAGCACAAACCACGCAAACGAACCACCCGACTGCCGCCAGGGAAGAGAGACACGACAAGCACGCAAAAAGCGGAGCCGCCGGCGGTGAATACACGAACACCATGAAAAGCCAACCGAAACACCCAGACGCGCCTGCGGTTTTCTTGCAGTTTTTGGCAGCTTTTGCGCGGTGGCGTCTTTTGCAACTTTTTCGACTCCTTCCACCCTATTGCGGTGGCGATTTTCTTGCACTTTTTTCGGGCATGTCAATGCAGTAAATAGGAAGACCCTTCCCCGCACGCGCGTGACAGGTTTCCTTAATTATCGCAGCACCGAAAGACGCGCAAAAGAGCCCCCCAGCAACAGGAAGGACAGTCTCCCGCTGGGCATTGCTACGCATATAGGGGAAAAGGTTCACCGTAAAACAAAAGTCGCCCCGTTTGTCGTAGAGCATCGTCTGTCTCCAGATTCCTCCTAACACCCGCAGACAAGCTCAGGCCAATCGATCCACCGAGCGCGCATCTGCCCGCCTTGACGCTCAGACACGCGCTCCCCGTAGATAGCAGCAGGATCAAAGTCCCTATTGTCAACGTCAAGAGCTAAAAGATCACGAATCAAACGATAGACCTGCCGAAAGCCCCGAGCTGAGTCAAGGTCTTTGCGCTTAATCCACTCACCTGAGGGAACCACAAATACCAAGTAGCACACGCCCACACCACACTCCAGCAGGTCGACCCCGCTAGGGAGGCGCTGCTTAAGTGGAGGAACAAAAGGAGGAGATCTATACTCCATCGACAAATCGTGAGTAAGACGACTATGTTGTCACAAGCTACAACGCCAAAGAGTAGGTACTATAATACAAAAACAGCGCCAGCCGCATTCTGAGCCGCTTTCGTCCAGGTTTTGCCCGCCTTTGCTTGGTCCCAGATGGTAAAGCGAACGATGTCCTTATCGCTGATTGTACCAGTCTTTTTGCCGTCCTTGCCCGGAGCATTCTTTACCAGCTCATCTGGTAGAAATTTCGTATCTTTCGCTGGCTTGTCCAACCCCTGCTGCAGATGTGACTCCAGGTCACGCGCCTGAAGATCAAGGATTTGCAACAAAATTTGGGATCATGGTTCACGTTGCTAGTTCAGTGGTCGGTACTCCCTCTACAGTTGTATTGCTGTCCTCTGCGACTGTTGGTGCTTCTCGAGACATGTATTCTGTGCCAGCTTCATAACTGCCTAGCTGATAATTGGAATGTTTCTAGTGAGTACAATTTGTATCTGTGTATATTTCACGAAATATGAGAGCCCCGCCATGCTTTCCTAGGAGACGTTAACGAAGAGAAACCGGCAGCAGCAAATGAAGCGCCGTCAGGCTGAGGCGATGACCACTTACAAGAAACAGGACTCTGCGCGGTGAACCATCCGAACAAAAAAGCTACTCAGTTCTCCTATTCTTCTTATAGTTCCATATATGCTTATGCTAATGATTTCCTGAACAAGCAGCAAAATTCGGTAAGCGTACCGTAATGAGTGTCACGCACGCGTCGAAAAGCTTCGGTCTGTCGTACTTCATATCACTCCCCTTTTCATCAACCCCCTGGAAGTTCTTATCCTTGTTGTAGTAGATGTGCTCATTTGCATCCGTCCCCTGCTGAACATATCCACTCTCCGGATAGGACAGAGTCCAGTAGTTGTGCGACCTCCAGCCACTGCTCATCGTATACTTGACTTGCAATGGCGCCTGGTGATTCACACAAAACTTCTCTTCATTGGTCGTTCCCGCGTTAACTCGATTTTGTACGATAAGATTCGCCAAATCATCGTCAACAAGGTTGGTTCCGGTCATATCATGCGCTGCTTCCAAAAAAGATTGGTTTCTGGGGACGTCAATCAGATTCGTGGCTCCGGAATTACTCAGGTGAGCAAAACCACATGATTAGAATTACAATGAGATGTTGAACAAATGCTCTTGCTCGCCCTACACGGACGCAATATTCCGGCTCGGAAAATTAAGTACACTATAGATGGATTCATGTTTTCAAAATAGAGGCTTCTAACAAGAAACGCGACTAGACAACGCAATAAGCTGTCTGCCTTAACGTATATTTCCGTATTTGATGCGGATGCCAAGTTCATCCGTATCATAGGCAAAGGCGGATATGGTGCTAAACCACAGAGCGACACAGCCACATAATGCGAGGCGCACACCCGACTTTCCACAGCGTAAAGCCGGAGCAATCATTTTCCAGGTGTTGTATCTACTGCGTGATTGAATAGCGATTTGCAGTTCAAACCAGACTACGATGCCTTATATGGGTCCTCTTAGACGTGGTGGGTGTGTGTACACTTGCTTGAGTCTACGTTTAACAAACACCTGATATGCTACACTTCCAACTATGATTCTGTGGAGTGTGGACAATTGCATAGGCGTGATGTTTCCCGACTCCTCGGTGAGCTTGAGTCAACGTACTCGCGCAGAAATACGCAGAAATGAAATACAGAACTACCATATTCCCGTAGGTAAATCTACTTACCTACTCAGAGGGGTTGATTTGGAGAGGCGTGGAAATCGGGCTACGATTGAGCGGGGACCATGCTGTCGCTCCATACGGACATCACCGATGTAAACTCGATCCGACACCAGATACCAAGATAAAACGCTTACAACCGATGCTTTCTTGGAACTAACGATTGCATTTTTGACAAAGAAGATCTACTTTGTGCCGCCAAGCAATCACCAATTGCTGAAAAGATTTTAACTCGACCTACGTCTTAAACCGACTTTTCAAAAAGAAAAACGATTCGTTGGCGCCGATACAGTTCAATCGAGATGCAGATACCCACTAGGAAGCCTGTGGTCTGAACACACACCGTATGTGGTATACGCGTTGGTCCGAAACTATTCCAATCAATATCTTTTTCCTATTCCTTCGAATCCTCTGCGAAACTTGACTTTCCACGAGGCTCCTGCAACTTTCAGGTCAGTCAGCTGACTGACCATGGGAAAGCCGCGTGGACCTTTTATTCCTCTTCGTGTGAGTCCCTACACTATGAATCTCTTTCACGGTCTTTAGAGTAGCACACAAGCATCTAAATTGCTAGTCAGACTTCTACTTCCCTTTAGAAGTACAGCGAGCAGCCTTTTTCCGGTGTCGCCGCGGCGATGCACCCCCTAGGCACCGGTATGCGTGCAGACTCTTCAGCTCGTCTGTCCCTTGACTACACAGAAATACTGCTTCTGTTTATGGTATCATCAGTCGCTGCGCTGCTACGATGTAAGTCTACTATGTCTGAGTCATCAGTACGAACTACCGTCCAGATCTACTAGACTTCGTGAAACCATGTATATATTCCCGCATCTATTTGAATTGAATCTAACCCGACATAAGCTGTAGTACTCTCCTCCTGCAGCATTCTCTTCGCTGTAGTAACAAGTGTAACGAATATGATATTTACTAGAAAATCTGTAACGACTGCTGTTCTTGTAATAATCAATCATTGTCGATGTTGAGCTAATGTCCCGAAACTGATCACTCTACATCCCGAAAAGCCTCGCGTTTAGCCTTCGTTCTTGGCGTTGCAGTGGTACCCACGAGAACTCGTTTCGGCACGAGTTAGGTACATCCCCATTGCGCTACCAGGTGCTTACTTGTCCGTGACGGCGGCGCCCCAGATGCAGAGACCTGGACGAGTGATTAATGACAGTATGAGTGTAGGAGCTTGCCGATTGCTGCTCACGACTGGAGTACTAGTCGCTCTACATGTGACGCAGTTTCCAGGGATCGTCCTTCTATACCAACCACACAAGCGCCCTAGGAAAATGTTATGAAACCCTATCAGGAAAGACTAGACACCCCCAAAGGTGATCCTCGGGCCTGCTCTTTTTATCTAAATTGTAGGTCTTAACACAATATTTTGTACTCAATTGAGGAAAACTAAAAATACGTGCGAACAAGCGAATGAACAATCAATAATTTCCATAGGGACGATCCTAAATGTATATAGTACCGAAGGCGAGCTTGTTGACCAAATCCGCAATGTTGTAGATGATGTTGAGCAAGCTCTGTTCGTGGTAGGTGGCGGTCGGTCCGAGGAGGGTCAAATAGTAACCCAACGGGTAGATGGCCCAGCCCGCGGTGATAATCAGACGCATGGTGTTGAAGGCGCTGGAGCATGCCTTGTTGCCGCAGTTCTGAGCGAGCTGTCCAGCTTCGCCGGAGAACATTTCGTAGATCAAAGCGAACCAGCAGAGCATACCTGCAGATTTGCGGGTGAGACGAAAGTAGACCAGATTCTCCTCGCATGCCGGAGTCCTACTATACCAGTACGGAAAAAGACACTTGGTTTTAGTGGAGCCATTATATGTGCTTCACACAGTATCTAAATCATCCTCTTCCTCACAGTATATTAAACTAGAGCAGTACTCCTTCTCCCCATTCATGAAATAAGTTTAGAGATACACAAATTATCCAAAGACAAAAAACGAAATGAGTCAGCAACTGCACTGTGGTATAGGAAAATACCCGGAACGAAGCCCGCGAGGACGCTGACGATGCCAGTCTCGCCAGCCCATCCGAAGAGAAGCATCAACAAGGACTCCGCCATAAGTCGGTAGAAGAGACCGTTCGAAATGTTCGGAAGGACGGCCTTTAGGATCAGAAAGAATTCGATGATCTGGAGAGGGACCGTGATGAGCCAGTCTGTGTATCGGTACACCGTTGGGCTGGTCTGTGTCTGGACCCACGAGTCTCGCATAAAACAATAGTTCCTAGATAGAGTAGGTGTCAGAGTTGTTCAGTAAGAAACTAATACACTGAATTTTCTTCCGAGATATTCAGATTAGCGGCTTTATCCACGGAAATGTTGCGTGCACACAAAGTAGTGAGAGAGACTAAATGAAAAAAGGATCTACTTTCAGGAAAAAGTTATTACTTCCTGGCCTCTGGGATAAATGTTCTTTATACCAGAAAGCGATTCCCGTCACGAGGCCGGCAACCGTGACCGAGGTCTGCCACTTTGGGGCCACATTTTGTCTTTCCGAGAAAAAGAACACGCTGCCTGCCAACATAGATGCGCATGCGATCCAGAAGGTAACACCAACAACGTCATGGCTTCCTAGCACGAAGTCGTCGCTCATACCCTGCACAATCGGGATTCCTGTAGGTTTTTTGGGGATTTTCCATCATATCCAAAAATTCGAAGATTACGTAGACGTAGGTGACCTATAATTTTTTCGTTGCCTTTTCTTTTAATTCGCCGATCAAGGCACAAAAGAGATATTCAAGCTTCTTTCACAGAAAATACCGGTCGAAGAGAGCGGGAATCCATACGGGTTGGCTGCGGCAGAACGTTCTGCACGAGCAAGAGCACCGAATGCCTTCACCTTATCCTCGAGGGGCAACTTCTCAAAGTAGCCCTCCGCAGCGGAGATCTCCGCCGCAGTGTACGTCATCTTTTTGGTTTTCCTTCTAGACTTTTTAAAGTCGATCAAGTACCAACGTATCCGTTTCCTAAAAAATTGGATTCATTAGAAACCTTTTTGATACAACAGAAAGGAGAAAGATGTAAACACCAAAACAAATATATCGTTAGTTACTCCAAGGCCTTCTTCTACTGCTCACCGTAGCGACCTTTTCTACACCCTAGTAGATACGGTTGAAAGACTACTATCAAACCACGAGGTTCTGATAGCGCCTTCAGTCAATGTGAATGAAAAAACACACGAGACACACAAGCGCCACTGCGCTCTGTGAATTAAAAAAAAGCGTCAGCTTTCGGGGAAAGGAATGACTCATGTGAAGAAATAGAAACGCGCACTCACTTTTCGAGCAGTGTTCAGAGTTTTTATGCGGACAGACTTCCCTCATCCCTCACATGCAATTGAACAAAAATGTGGTTCTGTCGTACAATATATTGGCTCTCACGATGACAGATGCCTTCAACTCTAATCAAGATCTGACCTGTGACCTGCTTCCTATTTTTAAAGTTCATGTGTTACTTCCGTTTGCGTCCTCTCGTCGCTTGCTCGCTGAAGCTTGTGACGAACATAAAAAGAAAACCAGTGGAGAAATATGCACAGGGGCGCTTTATTTATGCCGTCTCGAGTGATAAGCTTATATTTCCCTCTTTTTTCTTCCTCTCCGGACAAGCGATGCAACCGTCGTTAGCTTCTCAGTTAGAGCCACAACGTTTGCTCGTGTCCAGCCAACTCCGGTGTTCGTCCACACGTTGTCGATGAAACAGAAGCTGTGATGTGCTGCATCCTATCCAATATGATGACTTTTGCAACCTGAGAATCTTAAAGCGGAGTCTGGACCTCTAAATCTCTACTGCTGTACCCAACCGATAATCAACTTGTATATTCAATCTTCTACTATTTGCTACTAGAACTGCAGTGCTAATTCGACTTTTACTGCGCTGTAGCCTAGCGCGCGACTACCGCCTATACTAAATCGTGACGTGAAGAGCTAACTACATGGTACCAAACTGTTGTTGAAGTCTCTTGATCATGATTCTTCATCCCTCTTGCTATACCCTAGTATTCGCGCAGGAAGGCTACAGTAGACAGGGTGACCGCTGCATATCCTACCAACACTAAACGAATCATTTGCGCGTTCTATGTTGAGACTGTGTGTGTATGGTCGTCGCGCTTGCGGTCCTGTTGTACAACTGCTTAAGCCTGACCACTAGTTCACGCAGCTCTGGTCATTCGCCCTCCCCATTCTGAGCAGCCTCGATGGATGCGATATCCATAGAGGCGCTCTTACATCATGCGATTGAGCAACAAGGATGAGAAATCTGATCAATTTTGTCTCTGTGAAGTAGTATTTCTAAATCGAACAATACCTCAAATATCTGTTCTGTGTTGTGTCTGTACCCCACCAGAAGTAATGCTCTGCCAAAATGGAATCATCAACCTGACCTAAATAATGAACATGTCTCTCAAAAGGCGACCCGATGTCTGAACTTATCTATCGCCTGCAATTACTGCAACAGTCCCTTTTTCACGTCGCTCTTGGCTGCGGCCCAGATGGCAATTCCGAATGCTCCCTTGTTCACGAGATCTGAAGTTTAATTTGTCAAAGTGCTCACGTTCAATGAAAAGAGATTTCCTACCAAAAGAATCTAAACGCCATTTCTGCCATACACATTCACCACGGAATCCTACCTGGATTCTGTTCCTTGGAAAAAGCAAAAGCAAGAAAGTAGCTATACCTGCCAAGTTGTAGATGATGTTCACAACGGAATCGGCGTGGTAAGAGAAGGTCGGGCCAAGGTAGACCATATAGTATCCGATCGGGTAGATGCACCAGCCGGCAGACACGATCAAGCGCAAAGTGTTAAATGCGGATGCACACGCCTTGCTGTTACTATTGCCGGCAACTGCGCCTGCCTCACCGCAGAAGATTTCGAAGAGGATGTACAACCAGCCGAGCATACCAACGACGAATCCGACGAGGACGGAGCATGCGCCGACCTCACCCATGAAACCACCGATGAGCATGACGAGAGATCCGATCAGAAGTCGCCAGAACAGCATAATCGAAACGTTTGTGGTCGCCTTTTTAGGTGTAAGCAATCGTTCTGAAAATCTAAAAAAAGGTTCGATTACAGGAATGTATAGAAGACTTCTGAGTTCCCGCAGAACTATACCACCTGGTTCAAAACGTCAAAGTATTACCTGCAAGATGAGGTAGAATTCGACGATCTGCAACGGCACGGTGATAAGCCAGTCAGTGTATCGGTAGACCGTAGGGCTTTGCTGCGTAATAACCCAGGCGGAGCGCATGTAAAAGTAATTCCAGAATCTGAAAAATATGAGTTCCCAATTTTTCTAAATCATTCCGTACTTACTGATCTAAAGATGGCCATGAGTTGCCGAACAGCCGAATCTCGTCCGCGACTCCATCTTAGACGGAAAGAGACTTGAACTTCACTTCTAAATTTACTGGTCAATTAATCATCATCACCTAGAAACACAAACATCTGCCGTTGCAATTGCAGAGAGAGACTCAGTTTCCAATTTAAGAAGTACGCAATTCCGGTGACGAGCATTGCGACAGTGACCGATCGCTTCCACTGAACTGGGACAGTATTGCGCTCCAAGAGAAAGAAGACAGTGAACGCCAACATCATGTTCATCGCGATGAAGAAGGTAGACCCAACAATGTCGTGCGCACCGAGGGTCACGCCGTTCTCAGTTGACCTAATTGGTAATTATGCTTTGAGAGCTCAAGCAAACTCACTACCACTGCCAACTTCTTGACACACGAACAGAGAGAAAAACTTTCAGGTTATTGTTTTTTCTAAAAAATCTAAAGACAACACATGGAAATGACCATATGCAAATCATGTCCCATGCAGGGGTAGCATTCTTCTGAAGCTACATACGCAACGAGGAGGAACTGTACATGAACGGATGTTCCGGCGGGTTTAAAGTGCGATCGACGTACTGCACAATGCCTACTTGATCCTCCTTCGGGAGAGACTTAAACCCAATCTCGATGGCCTGGACGGCCTCCTGCGGGTGGCGCTCCAGAAGTGGCGCATTGTCAACCAACAAACGGGAGAACGCGCGGATTTGATCCGCGTGGATCGCGGACGGCGCGGTCATGTAACCCATTTTTGATCTTTTTTTCCGTTGACTAAAAATTTGAGAAGTCTACCCTCTACTGTCGCGCTGTGTAAGAATCTTGCAGAATCAGGGTTCCCCGCGATGTTTTTTCCGTGCTGTAAAGGAACTTCGATGTAACACACTGCCAACCTCAACAGGAAAGCTTGAAAAAACGCGTTGATTTTCTCTCAATGTACAATTAAGATTCGAACAATTTAGCGCAACGCTAGCTGTAGATGTAAAGATTGTGTCGGCATAACAATCATAGCAATCCCACTTCTCCAAGAACGAAACACAGAAAAAGCGAGCACTTACTCTTTGTATAACGAAAGAGTGGGCTGTTTTTTTTTCAACAGAGTGGGTCTTCGGACTGCTCTTCGCAAATCCCTGTCCTGGGAGGAGAAAAACACGAAAAAAAAGAGAACTTCTGAAAATGCTCTTTTTTGTAAGAGACCTCGTCTGAAAACATGAGTCTTTCACTCGACAGATTGCTACGCTACTCTACTCCCTCAACATGACGCGGCCCATCTAGAATAACAACCGCCCGTTTAATCCAGGGACCATATTTGCAATCATTCCCTTCTTCATTCCCTCAAATAGCGGCAAAGCGCTATCTTAAAAAACAGATTTTGGTCGTCTCTGTAAAATATTATTCCGACTTTTGCAAATCGACTCTGTCGTCAGTGAACACATTGCACACATGCAAGTAGATGTTGCAGCTCTAACACCATAATCCATTTTCATTCTTAGAAATGAATCAACGCAAAAAAAAGTTCCACTTCTTGTATAAATGCTGCAAACTGGTGGTGACTCAACTTGTCACCTCCACGGACGAACTTCTACAGATCAAGAACTTTTATACTGTTAAACTTGCAACACACACTAGATATCATTCAAGACGGAACCCTTTATGCACCCAAAGTCACCTTCATAGAGAAATGGCACACAACGAAAGTCGGCGCAACGAGTATCACGTAGTTGTTGCTTCAAGATCATCAAACATAATAACATTCATAGTCTTTATCTCTAGCAAATCAAAATTACTCGGCTTATCTTGTTGCCTGCAGTCCATTCTCGCTCGCTAACGGGATCTCTAATGGCTGCTCGTTTAGGTGTTGAACCAAGTGTCTTGCTTCTGTTTGGGGACACGATTCCGAATCAGCTGCTTTTCATCGACGGTTTTTATCATCCAGCGTGACATGAGATTTAGAATTTTTAAGTAGATCAATGATACCCTTCAACAGGGTCTCTGTGTGGCGCGCTGCTCATGAATCCCGCCAACTCACCCTTTGTACTAGGAGCCGTTGCATCGACGCTATCCTTTGCCGAAAAGCGGCCCCGCTCCCATTCTGCATCCTGCTTAGACGCATCGGTACCACGACCAGTATTTTCGTGATATATTTCGCCTGTTGCACCACTCTCCTCATCAGAGCTGGTGCTCTCACCAGGCCCTTGTGGCTTCCACTCGCGAAAGAGTGGCTCAACCTGGTACACAAGAAGTGTTCGCTCATCAGCTGTTTTGTTAGAGCCTGTCGCAATGGATTCGACCATGACTGCATGATAAGAAAAAAGTAGTAATAGTTTTATTTGTTGTTCATATTCTTTAGTAGCGTGTCTGAAGAGGAAGGTTTCTGACAAACGTAAGACACAAGTAAAGATAGTCTACTTCTACTTTACGGGTTCCGACAAGCAACTAAATGCTGCTTCATCGACGATTTGTGAGTCAGAACATTCAAAGTAATGCAAGGCCTAATGCAAATTTTTAAGACGCTGCTCGATGGCACTTGTCTGTGAGAAAGATCAATTCATTAACAAAACCCACCAGTGATCATTTATCTGTAAATTAGGCATAAGTCCGATCCATCATGTTGGCTAGTGGAAGGGCCATAATTTTCATCTCATCAGTCTGCTGTGCCTCTCCCTGCAAAGCTGAAAGCAAAAATCCTTTGCCGGCCTGAAGCTTTCGGTACATGCCGTCGTGCATATTCTGGAGCAGGTTGAGCCGTCGATAATGTTCACTCCTAAGATTAGACTCGATCATCAAAATCACAAATTCGATGACCAATGAAAATATTCAAAAGACAATGTAAAACGAGACCGCCGCGATAAGTAAGTGGGTGGCAAACCTCCCACCCTGGGAGTATGTAAAGTTGTAAGAGGTTCATAATTGTGATTTATATGATTTTGATTTCCCTTGTCTTAAGCAAATCGTCTCTCTGCCGAATGTGGTCCGCAACATGACCCGCGACGTGCCGTCGGGGCGGCCGCATATACATCGGCACCCAAACGTGGTGTCGCGCAACCATATACTCCAGCGAAAAACCACAGAAATACATCGTGTAGATGAACAGTCCCAGTGCCTGGTGGACGGTGGTGAAAACTGACTGTCTGTGACCAAATACATTGAGAGTGTCAGCCCTGGAATGAGCTGAGGAGCGAGCGTCGGCTTAAGTCCTCGAATACAAAAATGCTAGCCTTTCTGAAATACGATATTGGATAAGGTGACCGATTGAAGTATAATAAATTTAAATTAATGTTCAGTACCAAAATCATCAGAAGTTGTCCAGTGGGGCTCGCATTGCGGAAGGGACTCGAAACGAAAACCATCGGAAACGTTATTGTCTGAATCAGTGTCTTTGGGTTTGCCAGCGATGTAAGACCCAGCAGTATTTTCGCTAGAACGGATTTTACCTGCAAGTTCGTTGGTATTGATCGAGGGGCGCCAACGCGAGAAAGGCCAGCCCACTCGGCAAGCGTTTGGCGCTGTTACTTCTAAGCCCTGGGAGTTGTGACGAGTTGCGTCCGGGTTGTGGGGGTTGTGGCCGTTCCTGTGACTAGTCTCGAACTTCCTGTCTGTGGCTCGTCCCAGTTTCCAACTTACTGGGACGACTTTCACGCTTGCCGTGACTAGTCTCGAAATTGCTGCGACTAGTCTCGCGTCCACTGTGACGAGTCTCAGCCTTGCCGTGACTAGTCTCGCGCTCGCTGTGACTAGTTTCCGCCTTTCTGCGGCCAGTCTCTGGCTGAGTTTGTCGGGCTGTTCGAATCTTAACACTATCAGAATACACAGGCGCCTGCTAGTTGATCTCAGGAAAAAAGTGACCACTGAAACACTTCTTAACTTCTTTCTTCGAGCTAGCAATGGCATTTTTTGTACATTGACACAAATACCCTTGCGCCCAACCCGCAAGTTATTTTGTCGCGTCTAGGACGGGAGCCTGACAGAAAAAAAGCCCCACATGTTCCTTCATTTCATTTTGTCTGTCAGAAGATGCGGTGTCTAGATGTCGTTCTGTCTATCAACAGGATGCAGCGTTCAGAAAGACGAGCTCATAAACCAATTTCAATCAAAGGACGCAGAACGCAGTCGAAGACCGCTGCATTTTTTTGACTAGAGGATTATGAAATAAAGCATCTCTGTACCGCCTTCACCATCGCAGCGAGCCCGTTGTAGAAAAACGACTGCACGTCTGCGATCAGCCCATCAACGTTAAAAAGAGACCCGAACAGCGTGTTTTAGAGTCAAATATTTTGTGTCTTGGCACTCACTGCTTATGTTATGAAACTGACGACGCGGAGCTGAGCATCCCCGATCCCGGTTTTGGAGATGAAATAGCCAGGAAGCAGCTTGTCGAGTATGTGGTTACAGTGGCCTTAAGTCTCCTCTCCGGGTAACAGCTTCAGTCCCGTCTGCACTTCTTGCTTTTGCAGAGCCGCCTCCTGCTTTGAAATTTCAGCCGCTTTCGCAAGGAAAAAGTTTTCCAATGACGAATCACTAACTTCTGGATCGCTACTTCCACCGGCAAGATTAGATCGCTACTGCCTTCGGGCAAGACCTCCCTAAAATATTAAAGAGCTAAAAAAAAATTCTACCACAACCCCTCCAAACTCTCACACTCCCACTTCCAAACTCAAACCCATGAACCCACGAACTTATACTTATGAACTTGCGAATTTCTGAATTTAAGAGTTTAGGAATTTAAGAATTTAGGAGTTTAGGAATTTAGGAGTTTAGGAATTTAAGAACTTAGGAATTTAAGAACTTAGGAATTTAAGAACTTAGGAATTTCTGCATTTATGTATTTGCGTATTTATGAATTTAGGAATTCAAATTCCAAGGAAAGCGCTTAAAATCAAAAGTTTTGGGATATTGCCCCTTCGTGCTCGCAGAATTCAATCCCAAAGCGACGAAAAAAGGCAAAAAATTTCCGAAATTTGAAAAACGCGAACGCAAGAATATGAATTTGAGGGAAAGGGCTTAAAATCAAAAGTTTTGGGATCTTGGCAGTTCACAATCGCAGAACCCAATCCCAAAACTACGCAAAAAAAACGTGGAAAATTTTCGAAATTTGAAAAACGCGAAGCCAAGAGATTGAAGCTCAGGCCTAAGGGCTTAAAGTGAAAAGCTTTGGGGCTTTGTAGCACTTCAAACGCACAGAATTCAACCCCAAAACGGCGACAAAATGTGGAAAATTTTCGAAATTTGAAAAATGCAAACCCAAGGTATTGAATCGCAGAGAAAGGGCCTAAAGTCAAAAGCTTTGGGATCTTAGCACTTCAAACGCACGAGATTCAATCCCCAAACGAAGACAAAACGTGGAAAATTTTCGAAATTTGTAAAACACATATCAGCTACATCTTTGCCGTGCTTGGTTTCTTATTTTGGAGAGGAGGGGGATCCTAGTGGGGGGGATGTTATCGGACGCTCCAAGCTAGTACCAAAAATAAAAAAATAAGAGCTATTATCAAAGGATATATCACACCCCCTACGTACAGGAAAAGCTGAAACCAAACATCCTGTCACCAAAAATTGAGGGAACTGAACACGTGTTGGATCGAAATGACGCGACGATACTGGTGATATTCATTCGGGTCATTATGCTGATGCCAGTCAACTACAAGAAATCAACAAATGGATCTCGGTCGCTCTCTTTTACTGTAGGGAAAGAGCAACACGAGTATGCATCATCCAATCTACTAGGGGTGGATCGAGAAGGGCCTTAAATATGTACTCGGTAGCTGCGCCAGCTCCACTGTCTGATAATTGGTGATACCCGGGCAAACGCGCCGAACCTGGAAAATACCAAAAGGAACCGATCTTAAGGGGGACATGCTAGAACTTTCAAGAATTAGTCTGCTCTGGGTCCAATGAAAAGCACCCATAGAACCATCTCATAGATACATCCCAATGAAAGATACTAGTGCTCGAATAGGATACAACCTCCGCTGCAGAAATTTTTTTCCTTTCAACGATAGTGAATTTCTAGATCTCAATGTTGTTGGGGCCAGTGACTGAAGTAGTTTTCAGATGCGTCGAGTCATGAGACAAAGATGCTAGTGAAGAGAAGAACGCATAAGATTTGCCTGTCGACTAAAACCAAGAGCCGTAAGCTGAAAAGAGATACCGTCTAAGGGCTCGTCATAGCCAGGTTTCGGTCCTAAGAATTCTCCTGCTACCAGTTCCTGACCACTTTGGGCTAGTAGATCGTTCTCAAAGTACTCGTTCGCTCGGCGCCTCTCACCATCAGGTGAATCGCGCACCACCTGAGCAAGGGACGATACAACTGCCGATACTGTTTCTCTCCCATCTTCACTTTCCCTACTCACCGCTGTCTTCTGTACTAGACTTGTACCCGCATGTTCACGACGCAGTGACTTCTTACTGGCTCCACTCGCTGCAGATAGGGACGACCGTTCTCTTGGAGAAACTTCGTCTAAACGTTGATGTCTACTTCTTAAACCTTGCTTAGTACGCGAAGCTTTTGCCCCTTCTTCCTCCATAGGTAAAAGCGAGGCATGTTCTTCGCGGGCATCATCAGGCCCTTTATTGTCATCCGCTAAGCTGTCGCGTTCATGCAAAAAGATGCTGTCTGCAGGTCGGAGACGATCTTGCGCCGAAGTATGGTAAACCGCGGTTGCGTTGCCAGCAAGACCGATGCATAGTGACAAAAGGCGCCGCCCGATGGTCTCGCGGATGATGGTGCCCGTGCTCCATCGAGGGCGTGCTTCCGACGCGTGCACCATAGCACGTCGAGACATATCTTGGCCTCAACTTCGAGAGTAGTTTCCCATGTGGAGGAAGGACGGCTTTGCATCCGACGAACTACATCATTTGGAACGGATCAAATCAGTCCTGATGTAAGACCTACAAGTGCTCAGACCGTTTGCCAATATCTTCATGGACCTGTTCTTGATATGCAGCTAAGATTCTTGGTGTCACGTTATAAGGACGTTGAATCAGTACACTAACGACCATAATTTTGGCTGGAACTTCGCGGTCACATGAGTCACTACTGAGTCGAGGTTCTAGGCTACACTATCATCTTCTGTGCGAGGCTCAACCGTCATGGATCATGATGTGCACTACGAAACAACTTTGGTAGTTCTCTTTCGATACGAAAATTACAAAGCAATGAATCGAGCACATAGGGAACGTCTAGAAACGATGGACACGACAGATACAAAACGACCGTGCTCTGGCGATGCAATGGGGAGAGGGGAACTGCTCTTTCTCTAGCTGCGACACACTTCTTGCACGCAAATCTCAAAAACCGATTCTTACTGAACGAGATATCATTGATTCATATTTTCCGACACCAGCTCTCTTTCACTTCTGCTACCGATAATTTAACATCACCCTTCTCAGCTCGCGGCCGAAGATGCTTTTGATAGACTACTGAGGGCACAGTTCTAAGTCATAAAAATGGATGCAGATTAAGTATTCAACATACTACATCGTCTTTAGATTTATTGCATGATGACGGACTGCCATCTTCAGTTCCTTATTCGCAAAATTCAAAATTAGATCACACCAAGCGGTGTTGTAATGTGGGTCCGAACAGGAGTGAAAAATCTCCAGACGGCGGGTGAAACAAGTGAAAAATACACTGAAAACAGCACACATTGACGATTGAGAAAATTGAGAGAGAAGGAGCAACCAACGAACTTCTATCTTGCGCGAAAATCTATACCAGCGATTAAAAATCGAAGTCAAGAAAGCCAAACACAGACACACAGAGAACGGGGCAGTCATCTCCACCACATCCCACTTGACTCCGAACAAGCAAGAAGACTTGTTCTCCCCATCACATCAAAACCTAGGGTCTCATGTATCATCAAAGCCCAGGGTCGTAGAGTGCCTGAAAGGGTGGAAAAGGTGGCCGTCTGCCTTGTAAAATTTGGACTGAAATTCCACCCAGTGGAGCCGCAAGGTATGCAGAAAGCATTCGAGCGAATCCATGCCCATCAACACCGCGCAAGTTATGCCGAACCATGCCGCGAACGCTATCTTAGAGCAGAGACTATAGGGATCAGATTATTGGAATCAGTATCAGATACGGGTAATCTTAGAGCAGAGACTATACAGGAGGGGAAAAGTCTTTTCAACGACCCAGATGACAGCTGTCCTTTCCTGCTCGTTCATCCTCATTCCCCCTTTGCTTCTAGAGGGATCTTACCGGAAAAACGGATAATATAGACTTTGGCAACGAGGCACCATCAGAAGCCTTAACAAAAAAACAGACCACTGGGCGCAACCATTCGGACTCCACTACAAACGCAGATAATAGCGAATACTCGATGAACACCTTTCAGTGATATATTTCGTGCGAGTTTAATAACCAAACCGATCGTCAGACACTTACCAATATCTCTACCACCTAATTGTCTTCGCGAACTGCTACTGATCAGCGGAATCTACTCCCTCGCTGGAACGAGTTGTAGGTTGAGAAGGGCCTGCAGCAAACGCTTCGGCTTAATATTAAGAGCAACAAAATTCAGCAAACGCTTCCTCCCCGAAACCTCAACCCCCAAACCCTGAACCCCCGACACAAAAACCACCAAACCCCAAACCCATAAACTCATAAACTCGAACGCAGGAAGTCAGGAACCCAAGAACCCATGAACTTACGAACTCAAAAACCCATGAACTCACGAGCCAGGAAATTGAATTGCAGAAAAAATGCGTAAAGTTAAAAATTTTGGGATTTGAGAAATTCAAATCCAGCGAGTTTAATCCCAAAGCGGCAAAATAGTGTGGACGGCTTCGAAATCTGAGAAATTCAAAACCGAGACATAATTGAATCTCAGCGAAACTGCCTAAAATCGAAAATTTTGGGATTTGGGGAATTCAAATCCAGCGAACTCAACGAACCCCAGACAAAATAATGCGGAAGGCTTCGAAGTTTGAGGATGAAACTCGAAGCCAGGAAATTGAATCCCAGCGAAACTGCTTAAAACTAAAAATTTTGGGATTGGAGAAATTGTTTGACCAATAGCCCACCTAGTGCGAACGCAGATTAGATGCAACGCCAAACCGCACTAGTAACTTGCTGATTATGAACTTCCATGGGGATTAGCCCGGTACTCTACATAACCTGCACGCAGTTAGGTTATGCCGTGGCTGTTGTTGTTGTTGCTTGTTCTGCTGCTTACTGAGTACCTAGCTACTTCCTGAACCTTCTCACTCTTGACCTTTCTCCTGGGCCGTGCTATTCGGTTGAACTTCCTCACGATGTGACTCCTATCGTGTTGACCTTCTTCATCCTGATCATCCTGGTGGTGATCTCCCTGTTCTTCCTTATCCTTGTGGTGATCCTGGTCTTGACCCTCAGAGGCGGAACGCGGGGAGGATCTCGATCACGTTAGTACTCAGTATATCACAAGATCCATGATCCCTACAGAAATTCAAATCCAGCGAATTTAATCCGTCCCAAAGCGATAGAATAACGTGGAAAGCTTCGAAATTTGAGAAATTCGAAGCCAAGAAGTTGAATTTCAGAAAAATTTTTAAAGTTAAAAACTTTGGCATTTGAGAAATTCAAATCCAGCGAATTTAATCCCAAGGCGACAAAATAACGCGGAAAGCTTCGAAATTCTCAAATTTCGAAGCCAAGAGATTGAGCCTCGGCGAAGCTGTTTAAAATCGAAAGCTTTGGGGCTTGAGGAATTCCAATCCAGTGAATTCAATCCCAGAGCGCAAAAGCCGCACAGTGCTGACTTTGTCAACCAAGATTAAGCTGCAAACTTCTCAAAATTTTTCAAGATCAAGAACTCAAGTCCAAAAACTCCAGCCCAAAGCCTCAAGCCCCAAACTTCAAGCCCAAAACTTCGGGCCCAAGGCTTTAGGCCCAAAACTTCAAAGCCAAGACTTCAAGCCAAACGCTTGAAGCCCAACACTTCCAACCAAAGGCCTCAGACCCAAGATCTTAAGTCCAAAACTTCAGACCCAAGACTTCAGGCCAAACCCTTCAAGCCCAGCACTTCCCTCGGGTCCAACGCTTCAGCTTGCAAGTCCAAAGCTTCAAATTCAAAGCGCCAAGCCCGAAGCCCTACGCCTCGAGCTTTGCTGGAGCTCAAATCTTCACACTGAAAGCGGCCCCGGGCTTCAAGCTGCAAGCCAAAAGCTTCCAGCAATCTCGCCCCAAGTCTCCACCTCAAAGACTTACGCGCTCAAGGCTCCCAATCCGAAGCCCTGCAGTAAATTCAAAAGCAGGCAAACCTTGAGACATCTCAAAAACCTCAGAGACAGAAGCGGCCTCCTTTGTTAAATTCCGCGGCGCCTCTGTTCCGACTCCTCTGGCGCGGACCACTTCGCCAGGAAAGCGTCGCGAGCTGGCGGAAGAGGAGCGGGGGAGGCACGTCGCGGCGAAGAAAATGCTCGAAGGAGGTGGAGGATTCTAGCGGAGGGAGAGCTATCGGGCGCTGAAGTCTAGTATCCGTGGAAACTTTAGAAATGTATGGGTAGTGAAACCTCGCTGAGCTGGGCGTGCGCGAGGCTCAACGCCCATTGTCGTAGATATGACGCTGTGTGGCTAACCGTGCCCAGAACAAACTCGATTGTTTCAATGATTTGGTGAATCACGACTTCTCCAAGCTCAAACTCTTCTTCTGGAGTTTCGAAGTCCGGGCCCTCCTCTACATCTTCAGACCGCATCTCCTGCAGTGACCTAAGGGTTTAGAAGGCTTCTGTCTTTGAAACTTTCTTAGGGATAGGAGCAACCGTCTTGATATAAGCCGTTTTGATATATGAAACTAACTGTCTATCCTTTTGTCTGGCGACAGTTCTCTAACGGACCACACTTGTTGCATAGAGCTTGACACAACTAACCTCAGAACAAGGGAGTAGACCTTACAGCAGTAGTTGGTTATCAAAAGTAGTGTCAAAAATACAATCGCTTCTGCTCCTCCTGTCTGTGTTGCAGATACAGTACGACAGGCTTTGGAATCAGCAAAAGGGGCACGCAGAGAAGGCAAATAAGCATGAGAATCCCTTCATGCGCATAAAAAACGCCTTTGTTGTCTCCGCCCATGCCCATATTTATCATGCAGTTATTAGAGCTAGAGCGATGCCATCCCTGCGTGCATCCTTGGCCCCTTTTTCAAGTGGAAAAGGGACCAAGGATTATGCCGAAGATGCTTGCGCGGTAGCCTTACAGTTAATGATTGATGGTGGCTCAGCCATCGGATGCGTCCACTTATACAAGATCATGTAGTCCATGTATCTGGTAGAAGTAGGGTGGTTCGTGGAATTCCAGATCGTGATGGCGCCAAAATTACACAAAAACCCCAATTTTTTTCATGAGGTATCGCACAAGAAGTTAATCATGTCTGCTTCGTAAGTAAGTTGTAGTGCAATAGATTATTCGCAATTTAACAATACTCGATCCTGAATGGATACTGGTATAAATGGATAAATGTGTAAGTACCCGAAAAAACATATGAGGAATGTGAGCATCGGCACGCATTCGCACAAAAAGTCCACCAAACTGCCGTCGTGGTACGCGTTTGCCCAGCGCAAGAAGACCCCGACTGCCATCTGTATTAGAACAATCCACATTAGTCTTGAGTCCCTGCCCCTTCTCCATTACCAACGTCAAGGCGCTGTCGTTGTATTCCCAGCGTCAACAGACGATGGACCCGACGACGTACTAGGAAAGAGATAGTTATATTATGCAAGCACTATTAGCTGCAACAGCCGAAGAATTCTGTGATGCACAGCTTACAAAAATGATCCTTAATTGCACTACGCCAAATAGAACGGATATTTTCATCTTCATGGAATTCAGGAAGAGTAGCTTATTCGAAGCAATTGACCACGCAGGATCCATGCCGAATGGATACGGGCCGTCCCCTTCCCCGCCGTTCCCAGCGTCGTAGAGAGGGAGCCACGTCTTGTCTCGTCCGGGCGTGCTTCGCATCCTCGGGCCTTGCCTCTTTGAAGTAGTCTCCTTCACCACGACCTCCGAGGACGCCCTGCTGAGTCGATGCGCTGCCTCCCTCGCAAAGGATTGCCCTGCGCCGAGTATGTCTGCACTTGCAACGACGTCGTGGCTCACTGCCTCAACCGCATCAGCTCGCACGCGTGAAGAAAACTGCTGGACACCGTTCAGCAAGAATTGCTCTGAGTCAACCTCTAACTCAACCGGTGTCTTGGAAAAGCGCTGTGCCGAAGTTGCCGGAGCACCCACGCCCAACGAATGTGTTCTAGGGCGTATCAAGGGTAATGTAGTAAGTAACTGATTCCAGCCACCCAATCATGATCAAATAATCCTCCTCGTGAATTCTCAATTCCACAATTCGTGTGTGAGATCAGGACCACGTATAGTGTTAGATTTAGATGACATGAAAGTAAACCACAATTCATTCTTAGATGCAGTTAGTACCGGAACTAGAAGATGAAATATAACTAAAATAAAGCTTCAAGATTACTGAATCTATCGGCTCCGATGTACAATTGCAAGTACATTCCTCCATGCGGCAAGTCATCCCCGGCGTGCTTTCGTTCCGCTTTGCGTCGGACGACGTCTTCGTGGAGCTGGAAAAGGCTCACGGCCCCTGTCCCCCGATGGTCGTCAGCTATAATGCCATCATCGCTTTGTGGAAAGATTGCAGCTTCCGCTTCTACCGCTTCCTCTGTTCGAGTCGGCTCTTCCTCTGTCCGAGGAGTGCTCAGATTCTTCAACCTACTGGCGCCGCCGAGGGGCTGCTGTCCATCAATCCGCTTCCCCGTATCAGATATCGTCCTTTCGCTTTCCAGTACCGCGGTCGCAGCGGCGCCGTCAAATGGCGGGTCTTGCATCAGCACCGGCTCCTTGGACTTGTCATGTATGCCTGCACCGAAAGCGACCAAATCAGCGCTGTCGACTATGCCACGTCTCCCGGAGAGTGCAGCGCCGGCTTTCTGAAGTACTCCTGCGCCCTCATCCGTTTCCGCGTCTGCTCCCTCGGCTGAAAACTTTCCTGGATTACTTCTTCTTGCATGCGTCGGATCCACAATTTCGCGCGCCACGTCGCCCACCAAATGTAGGTGCCTGGGCAATTCGAATTTCTCGTCACTGCCGGGAGACCACCGGCTCCCAAACACATTGGTGCCCGTTGCGAAAAAATCGTTGTACATCCATCCAGCATAAAATGCGAAGAACCCCATTAGCAGGATCATGTATCGCGCTGACCGCAGAGGCGTCGGCACAAGACATTAGACAGAGGCATCAAATTTAGTATGCTTGCTCAACACAAACATGCATCATTCCTCCGTGGTACTCCCTAGAAAACTACACGCGTTACTATCTCTGCTGAGAGCTACTAGAAGATATCCTGCAGACCAATATGTTTCAGCATCCTTTCCAAGAAAATGTACTGCGAAAACCGTCGTGTCATGTGGCTCCATAATCAAGCATGTTTCCCGGGGAATTCGCGTCACATTTGTCCGGCGTTGAAAGCGGTGTCCTACTTTGCGTTCGCACGCCTGGTGGCCCGTCTGTCTCAGCACCAGTACCGCTGCCATTCAGAAGTGACTCAGCACTTGCTAAACCGTTCCCTTGGTTTCTCGGTTCCGCACTTTGCGACGGGATCCGCGATCCCGCGCTCGACGGAGTGCTCAAGCACAGATAAATGCCAATTAGCAAAAGCAGGCCTCCGTGTCCGATATCTCCGAACATCACACCGAAGAGAAACGGAAAACTCACGATTGTGAACAACACAGGCGAAACTTCTTGATACCGCGGCACCCCGTAGGTGAAGACAAGCTCTTGGAAGGGTTTCGTTAACGCATTCGCGCGAAAAAAAGTAGGCGGAACGCATTTCCCACGTCGCAGCTCGGCCAGGCCATCAGCCGTTCTAGGGTCGGAATGAAGGGTGCAGGCTCGATCTTAGGTTCTAGTGTCGATAGGCTACTTCTCGTATAAGGAGTAAAATCATTCTGAAACTTTTTACATAGGACTGATCCAGAGGCGATATTGGACCAGACAACAATAATCAATGATCGCAGAAAACTATTCTTAGTCCTCAAATTCAATTGTGTGGTACGGTGATTAAGTACAACCAGTTAATATTGCCTCTCATACTCTACATCACCCCTTGGCTTCTTTCCGTGATAAGCGTGGTCGATGTAATCGTTTGCCAATCGATCCGACACCAACATTGAAGAGACCTGAGATGCGTTCGAGTGCTTAATGAGCAGCCGGCGAATCTGGTCCTCTTCGGACGCGGGATACCACACGTCGCACCGCAAGAGCGCTCCCTCACCTTGAAACATGTTCATCGTCGCGTACAGGCTCTTTTCCTTCAAGAGAAATAGCCGGTAGTCCTCAATCAAGGGGTTCCCTGTCAGCGGATGGACCTATTTTCGTTGTCGTTGGTGCTAGAAAAAAGGATCTAGTATCCATTGAAATTGATGACGATTGCTAGTAGGGGACCCTCTAAAGGAGTCGTCAACGAGACAGCCACAGACACAGTAGGTAACAACTGCGCACAAACTGAAAAATGGCTGTACGAGACGCATTTGATCTAACGATGCTCAAAACGACCCTTCGTGAGCTGAGGTGTTACACACGCCTCGTGAGAAGAATAATTTGGTTCTTTATCTTTACCGCCAGCATGCTCTTTAAATCCTCCTGCACGAAGACTGAGCCCGCTTGAAAGGCGTGCGTGCGATCGAGTATTTCTCGCTCTAACTGCTGAATGCGTGCGCCGGAACGTCGTTCGTCGTCGGGAACGTCGTAGACATTTGCGCCAAATTGCGTGCATAGTCGGCGGAGTTTCGCGTGCATATAACTTCCTCCACTATTGTCGCCAGTAGAAGATGGGCGACCACCACGCGCACTTGGCTGGTGATCCTGGAAATAAACAAGGAACACGCTTTTGCGTACAACAGTGCTACCTGTGGTGGTCGTGTCGGCCGGTACGCTTGCACTCGCGGCTTGCTGCATTTGAAACGTGCTTAGCGCACCACCTTTGGGCAGCTGCTCCAGTTCCTCTGGTATGTCTTCGATATACGGAGACTTAGCGTTTTCAACTGATTCTTGAATATATCTCTATAGGCCTCACAAGTAGTAGGCTGTTGCTGGTAGTTGCTTAAGAACCAGCCAAAAACTACAGCTATGAAGGTTCCTGAGCGTGCAGAGCCTTAACATATGCATTGCCGTAGGTGGCTCGGAAAAGAAAGCGCTGGAATCGGAGTCGGTCTTTTTGGTGTAGGGTCCCGCATAGCCGCGTAAGTACAACTGGCCGTCCTTGCACGACAATCGCCTGCTCTGCTCCCTCGTCATCCGCCCCGATTCCCAGTCCGTCCGAAGCTTAGCGGTTTTTTATCAGACTTTCATCAAGGGCATCCAAACGGGACCACCCCCCAAAGTCACCCCTTCCTAGATAACGAATGAAAGACTAAGTCCCTCCCCATAAGTCGCGCTAGCTAGCGGCAACGACGACCGCGTGGTAGATGAGGAGGAAGAGGAGGACGAAGGCGAGGTTGGCGCAGACGAACCACGCAAACTGCTTCCGGCGGAAGTATGCGAATGGCCTAGGACTACCCGGATGACGAAGATCTCCTCTTTTGCCGTCAGTTTCGCCTGCAGAAACTTCAGATTGTTCTGCTGGAAAGAGCAAAAGTCCTGGTACACCTTTGTGAGCGTTCCCTCTACGCTATCCAGAGAGCAAATCTCGCTCTCCATCTCTCGCGCATGATCCAGATACGACGAAACTGGAAGCGAAAATATTTAGACAATGATCGCTATTATAATCAAGGGTCATCTTTCGGTCTAGGTAGATTCATTCAAATTAGTGGACGAAGAGAAAAACATTCAACCGTTAGCCTTCGCACCACGACCACGCATATATGCTTTCATGTTGAATTCTTGACATCAGATTGAATATACCAGATTTGCTTCTCGTAGTGCTGAGATCCACGCCTCGCAGTGCTATTTCTTCTTGTAAGTAGCGGACGATGCGCTCGAGCTCTTCTATTCTCTGGGTGAACCGCTTGTACGGTCGCGCCGATGGCAGCTTTCCCGCCTGTTGGTGATCTCGGAACTGCAAACTCACCTCGAACCCGATCGCGTCCACGATGCGCCTCGCACCCTCTACAGGCAGGACGAGCGTCCCCGCTCGCATTTTCTCACTTCGCCACACCATGGTTCCTATTTTCTTCGTACCTTGTCTCGAATTTATCCAAAAGGTACTCGAAAGTCAGGGATGGATTGCGGACGAGATTCAAGGGCGACGCTTAAGGAGTGCGAGCGTCCCGACTCCTATTTCCTCTTCAGTTCGCCACGACGCCATGTCTTTTCTGGTGTCAACTACTTAGCCAAATCGCATTTCAGCATCATGTTCAAAGTATTTACAACATTATTCGTCGTCTGTTCTCGGGTTGCATTAGTGCTGTAGGTACATCCTTGTCAAGGACTTTCTCATTTTTTCCAGCATGTTCATTTTGGAGTAGTCAAGGCTGACGCCCAAACCGAAGGACAGACAGCGAGAAATTTTATGGACTTGTAGGACTCGGTCCATGCTGTTGTAATCAGATCCTATCCTTTTCAATACAATAATACTCAACATCGGTCTGTTGAGAAACCTAAATTACCTCTTTTGAAATCCTGTTTTTTTACTTTCGTTTCAGTTTCCGTCAACTTCCGCGAGTTCTTTTGTCGAGTTCATTGCACAAAACCAAAGACATCGTCTCTCGTCGTGTCTCATTTTTTAGCTCGAGGTTGATTTCTAAGAGTGGATAACAACCTCATATCTACTTTTCTTCATGCATAATCACAGTTCTCAGATACTATAACTCAGACACTCAACTACACTTGGATTAGGAGGGTGACTGCCGACGCCAGTCGTCTCTAGCATGTGCACGACATCGCGCGATCAAATCAGATCGAGAGGTTCCCCCCGGGGCTTGCCGCACGCGGAATGAAGTGGCTTCGGGTTTTTTCCCCGTCTCACGATGCAGATCTTCTGAGAGGACAAAGAAGTAGGGAACCAGGGAACCTCCTGACTGCGTGATACTACTTTTCAAAGTCTTTACTCAGTTCCGAGTTTTTTAAGTTAGTTCGCCTCCCAGTGTTTTTTTTACAGAAATGTACAACTTTGATACTTCCAGGGAACGCAGTGGAGTTTTCGTGACGTAGACGTTTCACTGTCTCTTACTAGAGTGCAAAGCCTATAAAGGAAGAAATACTCACATGAGCAAAACCACTGTATTCATCATACCACCACGCTTGTTTTATGTTAGTTTCTAGACAAGCCCTCTGCAAGGCCTTGTGTCAGTTCCGCCAACAAAAGAGATCTCTGGGTAACACGTTAATCGCTACATGTACAGCTTTGTTATCTTGATGTCTAGCCATACCACTTACTAGGACATTATCCGATGCGCTATTGTCTTTGTTTCTAGTACCGTAATGTGATGTACTCAGAAAGTCTACTTTTACATCATCGATAGATTTAAACCAACGGGGAAGCGGAGGTGGAGCCGAACCAGCCTGATTGTACACTTATAACAGAGCGAGCCTAAACTTTTTCTTCGGATGATGTCCCCGCCACGTGATTAAGCAGACCCACACCATGACAGAGAACTAGTACATTCGTAGTTCTATTCTGATCTATTATTTCAGTGCCACCATATTTTCATGGACCTCTTAGAATTATTCAGCTGCATCTAATACGATGTCGTCTTCTAGTACTTTTTGTCGAAGAGATAGCTGATAGCATTCTCATGATAAAAGTTGAAAAAAAAGTACATCACTGAAAAAGTTGGCATGGGAAGTAGAGACATGATGGGTCAACAATAATTCTGAAAAGATCCCCCACCTCCCTAGTTCTCGAAAGCCATATCATATTAACAAACGTGCTCGTATCTATAAGTATGTTTCAGAGCTCCTACACAGCCCCAGTAGGACGAGGCTGCGTTAGAGAAGGAACATGAGAGCGGCAGTCATCTGAGTTAGTTGAAAGAAATCGCGAACTTTTGGCTGGTCTGGGCACTGCCGCAAAGTCGCTATGAGTCGCATGAAATTTTCCATCTGCGTGTGGCGCACTGGCTTAGTGTGAATGCGGGAACCGCAAAGCACGCCATGGCCGTCGTAGTCTACCTCCTCTACCGTCTCGCCCCCATCTACAGCCCAGTGGCCACCCCTATCTGCTGTCGCTCTTTTATCTTCTGTCCGCCCGTCTGCATGTACAGCTTCGCCTGCGTCTACTACTGTCTCTCGTATATTATTTTCTGTCCTCTCGCCTTTCACACGCATAAAACGCCGACCTTCCACAATAGTAGGAAAATGGTCGCGCATCGTCTTTTCTGCAACCTCATGTGGAAGATATATTTCATCGACAATATTCAACCTTTGGCTTCCTTTATCGTCACTGCTGCTGCAGGTTTCATCTTCATCAAGAAAACCAAAACTGAAACTCTGACTAGCATTTGTATTACTAAACTCTTCTCCGTTACCAGCGGAACTCGTACCGCTACTACGTTCGGGTTTACTCCCATCATTCCCAAAACTACTACGAGTGCTTCGTATTTGTTCACTCCGAGATAGGAACCCCCGCCAATTACCAGAATTACTCGTTCTCGGGACATGACAAAGACTAGAACCACCTGAGACAGAGGACGCAGCGGCGAGACAGTTAAGTGTTGTATCAGTAGCAGCGCAGCCTCCACTTGATGATAAAGTCGATGGCCGTCGAGGTGAAGCCACCCGCGAGAATGAGGAGAGGCGCGGCATCGCGGACGCGGGTTGTAGTGTTTGAGTTTCAATCGGCGATTCAGACCGTCTAGCTTGCGCTGTATCAGACGCCCCGGTAGCTTCTGCGGCTCCTCCGAAGCCACTGCCCATATGCGCGAATTGCCTAGAAAAAACTCCCGAATCCTCGCGCGAAAGTTCTCGCTTGTCACGTTCAGATGAATCATTATCAACAGGATCTTGTCTTCCCCTGCTACCTGCCAGGTCGAGGTAGCACCACGCAGCCGCCAAGCTCGACTGCGCAGTAGCAGAAATCGCGTTTCGCTGGGGGACAACAAGCTCCGTGTGGCAGCCTGACGAAAAAGACGAGGCATATTCATCATGCTGCGATGAACATGCGCCCTCTGGTGCGGCGGCCGTGAACGCCGCACTGGAACCTCTGGTGCCACGAGTCGAATTTGTTGAGGACGACAGCGCTTTTCTCCGCGTGAAGTAAGCCGCTAGAAGCGAGGCAAAGGATCCGTTGTGTCGCGGCCACTCCTCACAAATCTCACGGCGTGACCCCAGTTTATAGTGGTGGTTCGCTGTTCGAAAATCGACCGTCCGAGTGGGGGCAAAGTGCGACGAAGAACCAAAGAGTTCGGCGGTCTCCAAAATGGAGAGCGGTGAAATCCAACCGACCGACGGACTGATGGAGCGAACGGCCGTCCGCTCTAGCCCATCTCATAATAGAAGCAGAGGACTTTTGAACACTCACTCCATGGTTTGATTTTTGGTTTTTACCTTAGAAAAGGGATGCATGTGGCAATCACATTCGTGCGATAAAATTCTTGCTATCGGCCTTGAGCACTAGCCTAAACCTCCCTCAAAAAATGGGGTATGCGGCCGAATTACTCCTGTGATAGTTTTTCATATTGGTGTGCTTTGGAGGAATTATATTTAAAACTAGTTTTTGGATCCAGGTCCACTACTTAACATCGCAAGGCATTTTTAGTGTTCTGGACGCAAATATAAAGCGCAAGCGCGTAATAGCTTCGCCCAGCAGTAGCGCCTTCACGCAGCGCTGGCCTAGCTAGGTGCGTAGCTGCGACGAGCGGATGCGCCATCTTCTCTCTTGGGATTGTAGCCCCGCTTCTGATGGTAGTGCGGTCTTGAAGATCTATCGACCCCGAAATTGTATTCTCCAAAAGATGATTGCTTGTCTGAAAGTACTAGAATAGAAAGACTAAAAAATTACGTCACGATTAATATCTCGTTTACCTAAAAACTTTTCAATTGACGCAAAATTACCAAGTTTGTAGCTACTTGAACATGGATTGAAAGTTTGTTTCACTAGTTGTTGTGCTTTCATAGTATCCAAGGAAAACTAACAATCTCTGGCGTCAGTGGTGGCACCTAGGCTAGCACTCAACCAAAAACGTCTGGTGAATCAAAGCCTATGCTACTCATCGACCTTGTCTGCGGAAGTAAAGACCAACCACTACAAAAAACAAATAGAGAATCAGAATAGATTGATAATTTCACCAAACTAGATCATTGGCCTTCGAATCCATATGGAAATTGGACCGCGTTCGTAATGGACCACAGAAACAATCAATAAATTGGCTCAACGCTCTAGCACAACACTCGCACTTTTCTTCAACGAGAAGCGTGGTCACAATGATACATTCGTCAATACCTATTTTCAAGCGTCACAAAGACTCTTATCAATGTCTGACAAACTCGACAAAAAACCCTATAATTTTTCAACTAACGCAAACGCCTGTGACTAAGACACAAAAGAATTAGCTTGTCGTAGCTAGGGAGTAAAAATTCATTACTTCAGCCCTATGTCACACAGGAGTGAATCAAAACTGTATTGCTAAGCCATGCCAATTAAAATCAAACTTTTGAAGACGACGCCAGAGCCTTATTCTCTTCAAGTCAATGAATTCTTGAAATTGATTTCGATGAATACAACAATCCAAGAAGTAGGAGTTTCAAAAATGCTCAGCTTCTATTCATTTCTTCCGATTCTGTTGCAGATTGAACCCGACTAGAGCCACATCATCAGTGCATCTCAGGTAAGTAGCCACTCTCTAGCTCTACCACCAGCGAGATAAGACAGTTTCTGCGGATCGGCCCCAGAAAAAGGAACGCATTATCATGAGGAAATTGATGCAAAACAAGATCAAGTAATAGATAATACTTTGAGTCCCTTTCTCATAAGTGTGCGTATGCTTCGACTCCTGCTAGAGCTCCATAGTTCAACGTTTCTATTTCTGGCACAGGCGTATTTCTCCGAGACGCGACCAGCGACGGGCGGAGTGCATTTTTAATATCCTTAGTCTAGAAGTCCTACGCTTGACTCGTCGATTTTTTGGCGCTGTACTTCTTAGCAGTTAAGGAGGTGGCTATCCGATACCCTTTATGTCGAGAGCGAAACTCACCGTCGTTTGTAGACGTGGAGGCCTCTTCTAGCGTTTCAATCCCCCGCACTCAAAGACTACGCTTTTTAGTGAGCGAGACCCATGGAGCCAGGTTTCCGTCGTGACAAGCGCAAGACACGAGGTTACTTTTTTGCAGCACAACCTCCCTGATCTCCTTTTAAACAGAATACTGAACGTCACGGTGATTGTGTCTCTCGTGTACAAAAACCGTTTCTTCGGCCGTAGAGGTGGTCTTGTCTGACGCCGGGTTCCACCTCGTAGTCGATAAATGCTCTTGTTCTACGTGTTGCGAACACCAGTACAAAGTGATGTGTGCGATGAATTAAGCAACAAATAGTACTAACTATTAACCTCTTTATCAAACATATTCATATTGCTACCATTTCTTCTGCGACAGGGGAGTACTTCAAGGCTGCGCCTTGAAATCCATGGATAAGCTATGGAATGTCGTTCTGGATCGGATAACTGCGCAAAAGTGAATGAAATTGCCTTTGGAGTTTTGAAATGACAACGGCATGAAGCTGCCCTAGATGCTTTCACAGTGACAACACGACGCTAGCAAAAACAGAAGAGAACAATCTACTGTGGCGATCAATCACGACAACTTCGGATAATGATTTGCGTTTGCTTTACTAATCGCTAAAGTCATCACTAACCTCTGAATCGTCGTCCCGCTTAGATTCCTCAAGCTTAGCGAGCGCCTCAGCGAATCCCTTGAGGTCTGCGCCATCCTGTTTTTTATCGGGGATGAAGGTCACAGATTCCCGACTCTTGCCGGAGACTGCCTGGTCGCGCCACTTCAGTTTCTTCTTGTCTGTTTTCTTCGCGCCGTCCTTCTTCAGAATCCCCTTTGTTAGAGGTCTTCTAAAACTCAGATTGCAGTGTTCACAAGAAGAGTCATTGAAATTCTTCATCTCTCTACAAAGTGGATACTCTCTACAACATGTATAGTTTCTCTGGAAAACAAGTCAATGCCCTTTGCCAGACGTCTCATTCTTCCGAAAAGGATTCGTTCTTTCTTCTATACATGAATACTATCCTGGATTGGAAACCCAAGAATGGTTGCGGATGATTCAACGTTACAAGAAAGCGACAAGCCAAGAATGGTTGCAGTGGAGGATACAATAACATGTTGACCCTTACCTTTGCTGGTGGTGGTGCCTTTACGTTTGGTTCTTTTGAAGGGCTTGGTTGTTTCGAAGGGCTTGCCTCTCCTGAGGACGCAGCAGACTTCGAAGGTACCGCAGGTGGTCGAGGTGAGCCTGGAACGTTTCGTGAGGAACCTGCCCCGGCATCATTCTCAGCTGGCTTGAGCGGGACCGAGTCCGCACTCCCGCCAGGATCTACCGACCCGAGACTTCCCGACCCTCCTGATACTGCACTATTTTTCGAATCACCGGAGAAGATGAATCTGGCACAACTTATTCCATCATTGAACTTCTGCTCATCAAATCATACACAAAGAAATGTACAACTTTAGCAAAAACCCTAAACACAAGTATTTGGTGCTACCATCTCATACTATTGGTGTGAGTGTGTGACTTCGCGGATTATGACGTGTGCAGGTGCAAGAAGAAGCATACTTAGATCGTATTAAATTGTTGGCAGCTACGTACTTATGGTATACTGAAGGTAAAAGCGCAGTTATTCGTAAGTGGTTTGGTGCTCTCAGCCTCCGGTTGTGGTTTTCGTGGCGCACGAAGGCTCAATCGTAAGCCGCCACCGCGCCCCGCTGTGGGCGCTCCTCCGACTACCCCCGCTTCATCAGAATCATCGGAGTCCGCATCTCCTGAAGGACGCGAGCCACCACCACCCGGCATTTTTCCTCGCATTCCTGGACTGAGTGAACCCCGATACAACGGCTTTCCTCCCGCATCCCGCTTCCGGTTGGTATGAAAGTAGAACTACATCCATAGAGCACAGAACACCATTAGGTAGCACAAAAACTATTTATTCTATTCATCAAATCGTTTTGTTCTTGAACGCGTGATGTGAGAAGTCGAAATATCTCCTTCAAAACTAATCCTTAGAGTTCAATTCTTTCACTATCTCGTAGTACATTTCGAGAGTCGTGATTTTAGATTTTACAACATAAATCGAACTGCTGGGACTTCCCGTGCCGCCAGTAGAGTGCCCCGTCTCACCAAGCTCTCGCGACTCCTCAAGAAATGAACGCAGATACTCCTACATTGATGGTTACTAAGGAAGCGACATCTGTCAACTTTCATCATGACAGCGTCGCTAGTAATCTGTCCCTGTCAACTGTTGTAAAAGACATCAATCAACAACAAAAATGTTTGTACGATGCCAATAAAAAATCTGTCGAACATTCTTACTTTGAGTAGAGAAGTTGAAGATGAAACACGGAGGTTCCCGGTGAACTAGCTTTTCAGCCATAAATCTTCTTCCTCTTCCTCCAACATCTTTCCTGTGCTCCCTGCCTCTGTCCATTGGAGCTCCCGTTCCTCTCGCTGTCCATCTGTGTGTCCTTTCGAGTACCCCACATGGAAGCCCATTCCGCCAACTAGAGAGACGCCGACGCCTGACATCAGGATCAGCAGCATTGAGGGCGCATCTACGGTTGGCGTCGCGGACCTTGATGATGTTGCGACAGATTCACTTGTCCTCCTCGCTCCCAGCTGCTCGACAATGCTGCTCTGTTGTGTTCCTCCAGTATAAGACGAAGGTAGGGAGCGCAAGAGCCGCGGCACGGCCGCTGGTTCTCTAACTGGTGAGCTAGCTGACCATCCCCGTGGCTTCTTGGGCTCAACGAAAGCGCCTCTAACGACGACCTCTGTTTCTGCGACTCTGTCAGCGTGCGAATGTGTTTGCTCCCATTCTTGATCCTCATATGAAGTCCCCCGCTCGAATATACCCTTATCTTTTACCTGCAGCTCTTGCTCTGCTTCATCGTGATGCAAATAGGTTGTACCTCTCCTGTCCTGTGTGATGACTTTTGCATCTTGATGCGCGTCGCGAAGCGCCTGATTTGCTCTACTATATTGTTCTCGATTCTCACCGTCTCCGGTTCTTCCTTTCTCTCCTCTGCCCGGAATTTGCCCATCCAACGGAGCCGTCTTCTCGCTACGAACTAAGACTGCCCGGCCACTAGAGGTCACTTGGTCCTCGATGGACGTATGTGGGCCAACATGCTGTGTTCCCAGTACATCGTTCGCGATCCCAGAGTCGCAGAAGGCCAATGACGTCGCTGTCAAAAGAGCCACTCCTCGTTCGACTGAACGCGAAGGGCGTCGCCGTTGACGCAACGTGCTGTTTCGCAGTTGACGAGGTCTACGTGGACGGCCTTGATCACGTTGATCCCTATCATCTTCACGACAACACCGCCGCGGCGAAATCTCAGCACTACTGACCATTGTATCAACACACCGCAAGGAGCACACGCAACTACCCTCAATCGAAAGCAAGCAAGGCGATGACGATGATGATCATGATGATGATGATTTTACCCAATCTTGAGGTCGAGTCACTGAGTCGGAATCCTTGCTCCTTGGGGGCCTTTACATAGCCTTTCACTGAGTCGGAATCATTGCTCCGGTGTTCTCAACGCAAAATCAGTGGTGTCGATCGTTGCACCTTTTCCTTGCGAGAAACAGCGAGCAAACAAGAACTACGATGACACTTGAACAATCACAACTACTTTCTGTGTCTTTTGCTTTTAGACCAAATTCAAGATTCAAAATGGAAAATCTAGAGGGTGACTACTTTCTAAGATCTTCATCTACCACGAGGAGTGCTGATTGTGTGGATGGAAACCGAGTTTGCTTATACCGATACGAATGCAGGTATGAGTTGGAACAGGGTGGAATGTATATGTAGCATTGCGAGGGGACTAGAATTGACACGAATCCTGATTGACCGACGTAGCAAAGCACAGAAATAGTCAGATTCGAGCCGTCTCAGAATCTCTGGTACCGATATATGCGGAGTCCGATGTTATGCATCCGTTTCCGATGCTGTTCAGTGCTTATGCCTCGCAAAGAGACATCATAATGTAGCACTTTTTGTTGGCGACAATACACTACATTGAATCACATGACACCGTAGAGATTCCTTAGACCGATGGTCCTTGTGCAATAGCAGAAGGTCTGTGAACAACCAAAGCGCCACGACAAAGTTGTTTGTGGCGATTGCACCGCGTTGCAGGAAATGCCTGGTAGACTTTTCCGCAAATTTCTCTGCTCTTCGATTTCTGAGCAAGCAGGTAAGACCAACTAAGAACAATAGATCTAAAAAGACCAAGAAAAACCACCAAATGCAATGTACAGCAATAAAGAGACGTAAGCAATGTGCTGAGAGGATTTTTGTGATGCTTGCGGCAACCACAACAAGCAGGAGCTTGTCCACAATGTTCAAGGCGCATCAATCATGGCAAGGTGAAGGAATCTCTGAAAGGGTTGTCACCACACACCAAACTCGCAGGTGGCCTTTGTGCTTCTTCTTGCGTAGTGGGCTTCCTCTTCTTCGCAGGAGGCTCTACGAAAGTCGGGTTGACAACGGAGGTAGAGCTGCCTTCTGACTTCTTCGCTGAAACATCTTGTAATGTAGTGGTTGGCTGTCGTGCCTGTTTTGCTGATTCGTCAGCCGATGCTTCACTGCTAGAAGTGCCGCTTACCCTGACTGCAAGAGGCCCTTCGACCTTTTGCCAGTAATTTCGGATAAGCGTTTGATCAATTTGGGAGCTTTCGACGAGTTTTCAGTTTCGCGTACTGCTGCTCCTGCAGCGACTGAGCTTGCTCGGAACTAGCTTTCTCTCGTTTTTGGTTCGGGACAAGTTTTCATCTTTTCGTGGAAGGAATAGTTTGAGAAATGTATTTACAATTTCTTGTACTACCCGGAGCGATGGATGGAGGCACTATAATTCGTTCGACGTTTTCCTTCGTCGGGGAAGAAGAGGAGGAGGCGGCGGCTGTGTTGCAATGCATGAGTGCGGGGTCCCATAGCCCCGGTGGTGCTGTCTACTTTGTGTAGCGTTCGTCGAAGTTGGTCGCGCAATCTGCACTCCACACAAGTGACTTGTTCTTTAGGTCACCTTCGTAAGCATGCAAATGATAGAGGCACTCCGCCAGCATTGAGATTTTCCAGAGTCCGTCTTCTAGGCAAAAACGCAGTCGCGCCATCTGGCACATGTTCACAGAGTTCGTTTTTACCCACGCGACTTCTCTGATTGCCCCCTTTTTCGTTTTCTTTTTCACCACAATTCCGGAGTCGAACTTCGCCTCCCATTGCACCATCGCGTGCCCGGCATGTAGTGTTGTGCGAAGATCCAGTGGTGCGGTTGTAACAAGAAGTCTTGTGATATCCTCTCCGTTGCTGTTATCTTCCACGAAGCAATGCACCCCCTGCGGCAGAGCAGCTGCTTTCTTCTGTGTGCCTGCATTTTGCGCTGTGCTCAAACTAGTAAGTACCACCAGTGCCAAATTGTTTGCCGAAGGTGCGTTTTTCATTTTCGTTTTCGTGACTTAAGTTCTGAGCTGGTGACCTGACTCGTAGATCATTGCACTCTCGAAATAGTGAAACTTCACTGAGGCTTCCTTGTTGCGTACGTGGTCCTCACAATATTTCGTGATTGCGGTGATGCCACACATGATTCTCTTCGGTTTCTCTTTGTATACTGCCTCTTTGCTGAAGAGTCGCGGGATTAGGTCCGGTCGCTGAGTCTCCGAAGCGTAGCCATATCCGCGCACGAGGCGCAAAACCTCTTCGCGGGATGGGCCGCTCGCTACGCCCAAAGGTTGCGCCATAGTCGCACAAACTGTATTTGCGTTTTATCTCTCTGTCCGAAGAATTTAATGCTCTTAAGATGTTGACGGGGGAACTAAGGTCGAGCGGAAGCAGCAGGTTATCAATGGCGGTAATGAATAAGGGTTTGCAGGGTGTGCGTGGCTAAGTACTCACGAATTACCTGGCAAAGTCTAAGTAACCGCTATAGCACTGCCTGTCTTTGTCTTGTTGAAATGATGGGCCTTCGCGATATAACCAGTAACAATGTCACACGGCAGTAAGCCTGTCCATGAAGGTGATCATGTCCATACTGAGTAAGCTGTGTAGTAAAAGCAGGCGGGGGGAATCTCGCTTGAGCCGCCTGATTTGATCAACATCTGAGACCTGAATACATTCTAACAGTCATCATAACCGATATGTTGTCTGAAACGGAATTGAATCGCCAGTAAGAAATAGATCTGAGCTTGAGGTAAATTTTTACTGCTGCAAGAAATCGAAATGATTTTGATGCTGCAAGAAAAATATTTTAGCAATACGAGAAATTTCTTTGAGTGGCAGCCACGGTGCAACATAAAACGTATACTGACGGAAGTGCTTACGGAGACTTTTCCGCCGTTAAGATTCTGTACTCGGGGTGATGCGCAAAACTACCCTCGACAGAAGAAGTCAAGTAACCTCTCCGTCTCTGTCTGGAATACAATATCGTGACCAGTGACCATACGACCTCTTTCACCTGCCTGCCTCACTCGGCGAAAAAATCGCCCATCCCACCAGCCGCAGAGAAAGATAATACGGATCGGTCCATTTCCATTCCGCCCGAGCGCCAGACAAAATTGCTGATGTGGTACATCTAGGTGAACATTCATTATGAGGTATGTCTCACATGCGCATGCGATTCGAAGACAATGAATTTCAACCACTCAATCGCAGTAAAAGCGCAGACCACCGGAATTTCAATGAAGTAGCTTTCGGTCACTTATATCACCATGCAGTTGATATTATTTATGCTGGATTTGGATGAGCTCTTTGTGTTAAAAAGCCCTCAGAAACAAGTTCAAATATACCAGGACAAATAATATCTCGATTTATTTCATCTATTACATCATAAATGATGGTTTACTTGCAACATTTTGCAACATTCGCAAAGTATGGACAATAAGGTAAGAGCACTACTACATACCAGAGTAGGTTCCATTGTCCTTGCAGGCACTGTGCAAACCTCTGGTAAAACTTGAAAATCCTGATTTATTTAATGTATACTTTTTCTATCTTAGCCTTGGTCTCCTATGACTCGAACAAGGGCACTGAGTTGCTGGAACATGTATGAAGATGTACTATAGTATTTGACTCATTGGCATGATCAGGAAAATGCACATTCTAGTTCATTTTCAGTTTTGTCAAGAGGAGAAGAAAAAGGTGAAGTTTATGAACGAAAAGCAAACTATAAAATCAAAATTCACATGAGAATGTTTTAGCGGCGTCATGCACACTTTTGTAAACTAAGCATTACCAGATGACTAATGAGAGCGAATGCTCCTCCTAAAAAGCCAAACGCTGTTGCGGGTCTGCGCCAACTGTCGTAGCAGCCTCCAACTTGGATGGAGCAGGCGCCGCAGGATGGGCGCGACTTTTGCTGTCCATGAGCCCAGAGAACGTTTTTTCGTCGTAGCGCGCTATAACAACCGGAATGTCCGACTCGCAGAGTACGTGCGCCGCCACCGATCCGAGATAGGACTGCAGTTTTTTCAGTCGCCCCGCGTCAGTCCCCATGCAGAGGAGGTTGACATTCTCGCTCTCGGCAAATTGCAGTATGTCCTGCGCCACGGAGCGTCCGGCTGTTGCTGCCTTCGTGCGAAACTCGATTTTCGACAACATTTTCGCTAGCTTCTCGTCTCGCGTGAGGTGCTTCCGCGACTTGCGGATGGTCCACAGGCGCGCATTCAGACGCAGTGTCTGCACGGCCGATCGAACTTTGCGCACGCCTACTGCGCCAGCTGCCGCGCTGCTGCTAGGATCGAGAGAGCTGTTGCCACTGTCAGACCTATAGCCGGCATTTGACGAGGGTGCGGTCGTGCTACCTCCGCTTACAGACACCGCTCCTGAATTATCATCTAGCGTTACCTGCTGTGTTCCTCCGACGAGATAGTCGCTTTCACTTCTCGCTTTGCTGTTACTTGAGTTTCTACTCCCCACCACGCTACTGCCCGCGCGCTTTGTTGCGTCTGCGGCTGTTGCGGGCCGCACTGAGGAACGACGGTGAACAGGTGCGTCGCGCTCTCGCATGAGTTCTCCTGGTTTCTTCACTGTGCTCTTAGATCCCCTCGCCGCCGTCGCAGGCCGTGCAGCGGGTTCCTCCTGCTCTGCCGCAGAGGAAGACTTGTTTGGTGGAGCAGCGGCTGTCGTTCTTGCTCCGCTTGTTGATGCGCGCCGCTTAATAGCAGTCCACTGTCGTGCTTGCTCCTCCTGCTCCCAGATTACCTCCCGGTCCGCCCACTCTGTCCGGCGCGCCTCTAGTTCTTGTATCTCGGCTTTATCCCGAGCGCGGTCCACCGCTTGCCTCTGCACAGACAATCGAGCTTCTCTTTCTCGTAAGCTACGATCGTCAGCTAGTTCGTCGTTCACCAGCTGTTCGCGGAAATTACGCTCTACCCAACGCCCCACCATTTTTCGGTAGTACTGCTCTGACGACTTGTACTCCGATCTATGCGTCGTGTTGGCGCTTCTACTGCTTGTCCGGGACGTGCCAGCGTAGCCTCCTGCTAGGTGCTCGTAGGGCGTCTCGAGTGGCCGCTCGCCGTCCTCCGTCTGCTGCGCGGAATCACCGCCACGCTTGATGAAAAAAGCTAGATTTCTTCTCTATGCTGCTTTTCGCTTAAAAAAAGAGTTTTGTATAGATTGTAAGAAATCCAAATCCTCCTTGGTCTAGCGAATTGAGTGTTCTTTTGCTTTCGCCAACGGAAACCTACACAGCAAGTTAAACGAGGACACAAACCATCTTGTTAGCCATACATATACTAACAACTTCGGGCTTCACTATGTGCAAAATAGTGATCTTGTCGTTGCGCGCCTCATTAAACGCCGACTTCTCGATGCCAGAGAGGCGAAGAGCATCGCTAATCGCTTTCTCACTCCACGGATTGCCATCGACGCAAACGAGGATATGGCAACCCCTGCTCCTGGCCTCAGCCTCCCCCGCAATCTCGCGCTGCACGGCGTCATTCTGACTCTCCACCCCGCCCGTGCCGCCGAAAAAGTCGTATCTGGCGAGAGGAGGAGCAATTTCTTTGAGATGAGAACAGGAGATTATACAAAGTAACATTTAAGATGCAGAATCGGTATCCGCAGACTGAATCGCCCAACGTGATAATCTCAGCTTGTGTCACACCTATCTAAGAAGTCAGACGTCGACACTGCAATGTGTAATTGTAGACGTGTATGCAAGAAGTGTACTTTTGAAATCTTCTTTTTGCGAGAACTTCAGACACGGACATGTGTTTTGCGAAAGCCCCAGGATCAAAGCGATTCCGCACTATGACCAAACTACAAGAGGCGTTTTGCATACAGTGATGGATGCTTGATGACAGGAGCACCTCATCTACGGACTTAAATCGGCGAGTTGCCTTAAACCCCAGCACCAGGAAGTCGACGTACTTACTTGAAGCCAATTGTTCCTCTTCTCCGGTTGGCGAGAGTTCCTTAGAAGAAAAAACGAGGAGTAACTATGTATTCCAAATATTCTTTATCTAGATGCGCGAAAAAGAAAAACAAAACTCTCATGCTTGAGCTGAACTATCCTTGGCTGTTCTCGTGGCGACAAAAAAAACGCAACCGCAACCTGCAGCCAAACTACAATTAGCTCGCGAAAAATTTTCTACCCTCTTTTCTACCTTTGTTTTAAACACATGCCAAACTTTCTACTCAGGAGTCAAAGGTATGAAAGATAACGTGGCCCATCACAGTCAGGTCGATAGATACTTGACTCTGCTCTTTTGAAGTGACGTTTCCTCCTTCTAGGTTCAAATGCCCCAGCCCGACTTGGTTCTGTATGTACGCAGGTCGCGGTAGTCGAGTCGCTGCTGCGGCCGGTGCCGCTTGTGCCGCCAATGCAGCTGTCTTTTCGGTGAACTGCAAAACCGTCTTTCCGATGAGCGTGGCCCTGTCTCCCTCCGCCAAGATCTTACCAACCACGTGAGACCTGTAACGGTGCGGCCCCAACACACACGCATGGCCGTCGAGTTCACCTCAGAGACAATTGGTTAGTTGGTGGGTTGAAGCAACTACTTACAACGTTCTTGCATCGATGAGAGGAGGAGGACGTGGAACCCTTGCCTGAAACTAGAACGTTTGGTGGGCCCCTTGCGGCTCGCAAGGAGTCTCAATCTGTGGGTATACCCGCTAAAGTCTTGGCCTTGGACGCGTACGGCAAGCCCTGTTGCACCGTCGGATCGTACACGTGCAAGACATCTAGCGTCGCCGCAGGTTTATGCTTCAGAAAGAAGTCCGTGCACAGGTTGAGCGCGTTTCGAGTCGGAATCGTGCCATCATACGCCACTAAGAACGACAGCTGCTCGTTGCGCCGAGTTCGCCAGCCTTGCAGCTGCGTTGGCGCTGGCGTAGCAGGGGCACTCAAAGGACGCGACGCCATTGGCAAGTCAATCGCTTATTCAACCTAGAACTCAAGAAATTTTACACCAGTTAGAAGATGAACGAAGTAATATACATGCTAGTATGGAGATGCTGTCCTGGAGGCAACCTTAATGGTGCACGATCACGAATGATGACGAGTCAAACAATACTAGTAAGTTCAAGGTGAGTGCAGCCGCGATGTACCATAATTTGCAAGTAGCATTATTAACGCCAGACGCGACAATTTGAGAAACAAAACACAAATTGGGAAAATTCAAGTTATTGCATATTCAGTCAAGCCGTCGTCTAATTATTAAGGCAAATTCCAAGCATGTTATTTCATACGGGGGCCCTAAGATCTAACCAGGGCTCCTGGAGGGGATATTTTTCAAATTTCTACATGATATTAGAGCCGCTGTTGTTCTTCACTCGGGACAGACGCCTCCACTTCCCTCCAAGGATATCCCTCTACTCACTGCCCAGAATGGAGAAGCATCCTCCACTTTTTTTCACCACAGTTGTGGCAATATCGCCACTGCTGTGATTATTATTTTTCTTCAGGTTCTTTGTACTTTTTTGCCTTGAGAAAAGTTTTTTCATCCAACCGACAGCTCACAGACCAATTTTTTTGGAGGTACAGGGCGCGTTTCTTATCATGCTTTTGCAACAAAGTCCTTCCACACTTCATATGAATACCTAGTGTGCAAGCCGTCCTCTCTGGTGCGCCATTTAGTTTTGTCATGCTGCTTTCAGTTGGCGAAACTTTGACGGATGCTGCCGTTCTCGACATGTGTGTCTGGCTCATTTTGTAAAAGCACGGAAGAATAACGAGACAACCACGAAGGATGCGATTCCACTGTGGTGCAGAGTAAGTGGAAGAAGAACTTCACGAGCACAATTATTCAACGGAAAAAAGTCATAAAACGGCTTTTGGAATATATCGAAGCCGACCCGGATCGTGGTAACTCCTGGCGCTACATTCAATGCCAAGCAGTGGCCTCATGCTGATGATGCGAATCTATTCGGCAATCTGCCTAAGATTTCCCTGACGACTTCTACCCGCTACTGAGTGGCCCCATACTAATCGAATTCAAACAATTATGCGATGCTGATCAAACAGCGCCGCTCTCGTTCACACAATACCATATTTACTTCATCACATTTCATTCGCTTCTACTTCCAAACTAATGATAATTTTCCATCAATGATCTTGCTTATGCTATCGTTTCATCAATACATTTGTCCGTGCTAAGCTTCAGTCTTTGCTATTACCATGTTACCTATGCTGAGATAATTGGGGTAGATATACGCAATTTTCTTCCGCCTTCAATAAACACCCATGTAAATAATAGAATTCCACTGGACAGAGTTTTCAGAACCAGAAAATGAGAACATTATGACCAAGTAAGATAGACTGGGGCATTAAAAAGTCGGAAAATGGGCAAAAAAACCTAACACGTACAATCGCTCATTTCTTTGAAAGAAATTTCGGTCGATGTGAACCCGTAGAGGCTGTGGCTGACTCAGTTTAGGGCATAGTTTTAAAGAATTACTTTTGACGCATATAACGAAAAGCGCAGCCACTAACTGAATAGCGACTGAAAATTGCTGGTGATTTCACGACATTTGCGGTTCTTGACTCTTCTGGTGAACAAACGCCACTTCGCCAAGCACCTCCAGTGTACTTTCTTATGCACAAAAGAGAAAAACCCATCAGCATTACATTTCACTAGTGTTTGTTCCCGCCACGAATTTTTCCTTCACTTCTCAAACTACGCCAAATTATGTCTTCGATTTCTTCCTTTTTCGGCCCCCACGCGTTCAGCCGCCCGAATATAAGCCCTACGATCTGCCATCTTTTCACGCCCGCATCATCCACATCGACATACCACCAGTTTCTGTCCCTCCCTCGGCGCACCGTTCCTAGCGTTAAAGTAGAAGGATGGGGCCCCGGACACTTTTTCCCCTTGGATTTCGTCTTCGCGTTCTGGGTTCTATCCACCGGGGCGAGGTAAGCGATTTCCACTACTGGCGTACGCCCGAAGCGATCGCGCTGCAAAGAAGCCGACGAAGACGCCGAGGAAGCAGCAGGCTCAGCAGGTGGCTCTGATGGCGCTGGAGCTGCGGAGGAGGAAGACCCGGCAGAGGCAGCACTCGCAGCCGTTACATTTGGTCCCACCGCTGGCTTTTTCAGCGCATATTTCAGGCCGTCCCGCAGCGAATCAACGGTGATCAACTCGCGGACGTCTTCACACACGAAGCGTCCCATGTGATTCAGAAATTCCCAACTTTCAACGCCTAAGTACTCGGGGGTCCATATCGCGCGTCCTCTGCGGTCTTTTCCGTGCAAGATATGCGTCCACTCATTCGCCAGCTTCGTAGTTAGCGACTGGATGCAATTATCCGGCATATCGTTGTCCAAAATCCAAGTTGTGTCTTCTTCGAAAAATACTTTCGAAACGGCGATGAGCACGCGAAATCCCCGCCGGTCCGCAAATTGCGTTTTCTGCTTTCTCAGGGAAGACGCACACTGCAGAGACGCAGAAATGGCCGTCATCATGAACGGTGCCAACGAAGTCGAACCGCCGCAGTGCGCGTCCTCGATGTCGTTTCCACATCGCCGTAACTCTCGAACATATTCCCACATCCGGTGGTTATCACGAAACAGCTGAGTGGAAAGCGGTGAGATAGTAGGCTCAGACTCGGAATCGGTGTCAAAATCTTGGTCACGCAGACGCTCCTCTTCTCGACTTCCGACCTCGCTGCTTTTCTTGTCGGTTGCAGCACCCTTTTCCACGCGGCGACGCTTCGCTGATGCGGGTTCTCCATCACCATCCCCCTCGTCAGCGCGTGGCTCAACCTTTTCAGTTTCCTTCCCGAGGTCGTCCTTCACTTGTCGCAGCACGGCATCCCAATAGTCGACAAGCTCCGCAACAGCCTCGATCCCCTCGAAAGCCACCTTCCGCCCGATTTCAGCCTTCTTACTCGTGATGAAGTCGATCGCCCCTTTCGAGCCCCACTTTTGCAGTAGCTGGCTGCTCATTCTTTGAGCAGCGGCAACGCGAGAAGCGCCGTCTTTTATATACTGGGGGCACTTTACCCCGTCAACCACGAGAAAGCGACCTTCGCGCACCGTCAGAGCATCGCAATCGTCCTCGACAACTTGGTGCAGACGTATCAACCTCTTAGCCCATACCTCAGCTTTGGCTTCGAGATCCACCATCCAGCCCCGGCAAGGAGCATCATTTATAGCGAGCAGCTCCATGCGTGCTGTGTCGCAGCTCGAGAGCAGCCGCTGCTTCGCTTCAGCGAGATCTGTGGGACTTTCGTTCTCCTGCGCCTCTGCGTCCGTTGGTGGAAACTGGAAATGCCGATGCTTAAGTGCGGCCTCCAACTTCTTAACCGCCGCGCTAGCAGAATCAAACGGCGAGAGGATCTCTCCTGCTTCGGCGAGGGCTTCACCTTTTTCCTGAGGAGTGCCCCTGGAGCCATATATACTATGATACATGCCGCACGACATCTTTACAGCAGTGATGCTGATGGAGCTATCCTCTTTCTGTATAGTAATAGTGGCTACTTAATACACTTTCTCAAATCAAATCAAGTGACTTACGCTTTCTATTCGATACAGTCAATCCTTGTCTAAAATGCAATGCGATCGATGGTTGCGTCTTTGGTCCTCGGCAATGAAGAACCGCCGCGCATACCTGTTTATAATGATTTCATGAGAATGTTTTTAGCTCTGCGTGACGTTGTATTATTTTTCTCACGAAGAGGAGAGGTGATATATTTGCTGCTACTAATTCATATGCGCCTTCAGAATTTTAGTTGCACTATCTTTGTGTTCAACTCTTTAAGAAAATGATTCACTCATTCATTCATTCCTTCATTCACTAAATCATGTAAAACTAACTGATCTGGCAATCATGTTCATGACAAGGAACACTATTATTGACCCCAAACAACGGCGTTGGTTGTTGTCTTCACGACAGCGGGAGGGAATCTTGTTAGAAATGGATCTCTCTGTGGCAGATCCCTTGATCTTCCTCTTATCCACTTGATCCCTGCGTTGGAAGTTTTGGATTTGGTGACAGTGAAGATCTCCTATTTGCAATCATATCGATCACTCGTCAATCAGCCAGCTTTTCACCTTGAGCTTTTGATCTTGAAACTGTACAATGCTCATTCTGTTCTTTGCTTTTCTCGCCGAACATCTTTACCAACAGATTGGAAAATTGATCGTGCAGTAATCTCGTTTTCTCTCTCTCTCCCTCACTCTCGAGGAAAGCAGTCCTACGGCATGCTGCTCACAAAATCCAGATCTCATGAGCCTGGATCTTGCATCCCTCGTAGCACGGGATCAAACGGGAATTTATTCTATTTTTATCCTTGTACTGGAACTGAGTCGCACAAAAAGCCGCAAGCTTGAATTTTTGAACCCCTGGTGTTGCGGAAAAGCTGTCTGCGCGTTTGCGATCCTGCCAGCGTCATCTCTTCGTCACAGAATAAGTGCGACTTCTTCGAATGTTTCGAGAAAAAGAGAAGCTCCGCAGATTGAAATTGTTAGTTATTCTCAAAAAAAGTGCAGAATATACCGGTTGCTGCTTAAATATTTGAGTATTGAAATTAGAATAGCAAGTTCTTGTTTGTAGAAAAGGATCCAGCCCCTGACCCTCGCCTGAATGATTCATATAAAAAAAAATGGTAAGAGTAATATCATTGACCAACGATTTATTGAATGATAATGGTAATGTCCAAATGGTAAGAATGGTTTCCTGTTCTTTATTTTGTTTATTGCGTTGATATCTTTGAAAAGAGTTTTTGCTGTTTTGGTTATAATAGACAGAGAGTTAAGAACTAAGGCGACTGGCAATGGTTCCGTTGTCATCGAAATACATGATGATATAAGGCGAGGTTGACAAGAATGCCGAGCGATAGAAACCTAACGAACTCCTCAAAACGAGGGACATTTATTTGCATTTCGTACCCCTAGAAGCTATTTCCAACCTACCTATATATCTGCATCCCTGGGTGACATCACTGACAATCTACACAAAAAAGGGCCTTGCAGGTACGCATGCATTCAAATAACTGTAAAGTCGTATCGTTAAGTAGCTCTGAGGGTAATGCATTTCTAAATTCAAGGGGGTTAGATCTAATTGATGAATCAGAGACAGAAACAACGTTTGTCGAAGGCTACATGACACAGAGACAAGGTTAAGGTTGTACAACTTCACTCATGCTCCGCTTTATTCTTCTACCTATTCTCGCAAGCGATGGGAAGGTCTACTACTATACACCTCTCAACTACATTCCGAAGCGCTTCTTCCGCATCTCAAGGACGTGTCCGGCTCCTTTATTCTCGAGTTCCATCCGCATTGCGTCGATTTTATCTTTCAACTGCGATATTTCTTGTCGTCGTCTGTCGGCACTCTCTTCCATATTCTCTGTTTCTTGCCTCATTAGAAGTCATTTTCATTTCCGTATCTGCTTGTTTTGCGTATAGACGTGAGTTCTATGCTTGTTCATATAAATCACTTCCATTCTTCTTCTCTAGCACCTTGTGAATAAAGGCAGTACAAAAATAGATCGAACAACAACTAGTCGATGCGTTGATGTATCAACCTATTCTATAGAAGTGTACATTTTTTCAACCATGCAGCCTAGACTTGAGAATTATCGTTAAGTATGTAATTACATCAATGAAGAATGATCCAGTATTAGAGCCGTTGGATCTGTGCAGTAACGCCATAACTTGAGACGGACTATACGACGCCCGATCATCTCCTTTCTGGTGTTCGCATTCTCACACTTCATATCCATGTATCGCAGAGAGCTCTCCATCGTCCTTGTGAAGTGTCTCCGCAATTGCGATATATCTAGTACACTAGCCGGGTTCTGTGGCCGCGTGTGAAGCACCTTGTGATGGTTGTGAAATCAAGAAAGAGTGAAGTTGAAGCTAGAAGCATCATTTTTCAATTCCACTTTCTATATGCTGACGATACCCACAAGCAAGTCCGCATCACAAATTTTCCGTTAGCAGTATAAGATATCAAATTTTGAATGAGAACAAATACATGAAGATACAACTACTACCCCTATAGCTCACGAAGTTGTAAGTGTATAGTATTTGTGGGAAAAATGAAATACAAATCTGAGGAATTCGACGAAGGAGATTTCTTTTCCTTGGTCTGCGCCTTCCTCCCCCTCGGCGTCCGCTGTTTCCTCACTTTCTACCTCAAACAAAGCGTCTGCCAGCAGTGCCAGATGCTTCGGCTGGATCCCAATTTCGATCAGATTCTCCTTCACCACTGTGTCACTTAGCATTTCGTTGAACTCATATCGACTAATATAGCCACTTCCGTCCACGTCGATGTCACGAAACACGGAAGACAGCTGGTCTGCTACACCAGTGATAACTGCCTTCTCCTTCTCCCCAACGGAAACGGAACTAACGACCTAGCAGCGAAGCAATATACCACGACATTGAGATCGGAAATAGTCGCAGTATATGCACTATGATTAGGTAACATTCTTATCTCACAAATATGGATGCTGTAACTGAATCGTTACTCGAAGAAAACATCGGCAAACATCGCATTGATAGTAAGTTTCAATTCCAGTCATCATCCCACCCTATTCTTACTAACTAAAAGTAAGTACCTCCACGAGCACACCGATAAGCATGTTTAGGATGGTGAAACTGGAGATCAGAATGTAGAGGAAGAACATGACGAGATCGACGGCGGTGCCTCCCTCCTTCATTCGGTACAAGAGCGGCGCGATGTTGTCGATTACCGTACCCGCTGAAAACAGCGTATACGCGGCTTTCCATATTGAACCGAAGTCATCGAAAAAGTCCGGATTGGCAGAGCCTATGTTCTGCCGGAAAATGATAGCAAACACGTAGAGCGCCATAAACAGCAAGAGCAGGGTACTTCCGACCGCCTTGGTCGCCGTCGAGATACCTGAAATTTTCAGAACACATCAGTTGCAAAACCCTTTTGAAAATATTAATGAAACGAAACATGACCACGGAAAACTACATTCTCATCACATTCGCCTCGGTTGATGTCAACAAATTTTCATCACCTTTCAGCAGCGTGAGAAGCTCTGGCACGCTTCTCATGAGCCGCACTAGCCGCGTAAGCCGAATAAGACGCAGTAAACGCAGAATGGAAAGGCTGCCTGTTCCACTACCACTGCCACCACCTCCAGGGCCCGTAATCAATGGCATTACCCACGTTTCTAGAACCATACAGCCTACGAGAAACGAATCGAACTTGAACCTGTAGGAGAGGACTACGTGGAGCTTGGTGACTCGGAGCTTAGCGAGGTAATCCTCAGTTGATGGCATAAATAGTTTCCCGTTGACTTTATTCCTTGTTGTCTTCAGCAATTTGTTCTACTGCCTCCGCAGTTGGAAGTCTATCTTCAAGCATCATCCGCCGTTGTATTTTTTTCCTTCCTGATGTGTTGAGCGCTCAACATAAATGGTCTTAACAATTTTGCTACCAGAAATCGTTAAGGCAATTTCCCTTTTTCTCGAACGCGACAAACCGAATAAGCACCTCGCAAGTAAAATACAAGGCAAAGAAATTTTCCATGATAACGAAGTCTAAATTAGCGTCACCCAGTGTCTCAACCGCCTTTCCCTCTGACGTCACGTTGTTATCCGTGTCGTACCCCATCCACAGACCTGTGGTTATAAGGAGGTTAACATTGACGAATTAGTCTCATTGTCTTGCTCACTGTAAACCATCAGGAATACACAAGGCCATGACTTACGAAAGAAGATTGAGGACACTTACGATTACGATTAACGCATAAGAAATTACCATTACGATTACGATTAAAGCAAACAACTGAAGAAAAGAAAACTCAGCCGGAAACTTTATTCATGTACTCCAAGAAAGATTAAGATCATACCATTAAAGACAATTATAGCGAGTGTAAAGAATTCGAATGATTGCGCTCGTGCAATCAGAGCGGAATATGATTCTGTTTCCGATTTGAAATAGTCTCCGCCGTCGTCACCTGGGGAGTCGAAAAGGAATTACGGTCGTTGAGAATGAAGTACGAGACATTAGTAGAACTACGTGCATACACATTTATTTGTATGAATCAATCGAGCACATGACTCCCATGAATCTATGGCATCATCAAAATGAGCAATATCAACAACGATTATCTATTACAAGTACTCTTTCACGAATTCATATTTGTGACCAAATCTAATTCAAGTTGAATAAGGACCATCGCCGAGCAAGTCTGCGAAGCCCTCCATTTTCTGGAGTTCCTCCGCCACATCTACCTTCTCCATCTGTTTTATGTCGGCAAAAACCGCACCGGGAACCTTATCTGGTTTGATTGCGTAGTCTACCGGGTCATTCTCCTGTCCTATCACCATATCTGGCATGCCCTCCGGCCGATATCCCCCGCCTGTTACTTTCACCTCCTCACGCGGACTCACGGGAGATATTCTCGACGCCATGATCGGAGAAATCCTTTGATAAGAACAAGGTTTCTCTTCTTCTTTCTGCCGCGTTTTCCGCCTGCTCTAGCGCAAATAGTAAGTAAAAAATCCTTCTCGAGGAAGAAGTCCTCCGCTTCCTCGTCGTATTATTATGACCGAGCCGCGTGCTTCCGCGCAGAAGCCAAGACTAAGAACAATCGCCGTATACCGAAACCGCTTCGACCAAAGATTCAAGCACGCTTTTTCGCGTCAGATTCGTCCTCGAGCTTGCACGCGCTTCCGCACGGATGATGCCCTCAGGCTACGCATCGTTACGCCCAGATGATAAATACAAGAAGAGGATTTTTAAAAACTTGAATAGGGTGTATTCTCACGTTTAAAAGTTCTTTCTCCACACCAGCCAGACCATGTGCTTGCGTAGTTCAACACCCTATCTCGAGACCTATGAAGGTTATCGCAGGTCGTTGCAGATGGAGGTAGGTGCTGTCTGAAAATGAGTATCTGATGTTAAAAAACAATGCTCATTTATGGCAGTCCTTGATGTTTTCATTCATCAGAGGATGGACATTAGCAGCAACAAATTTAAGAAAATGATTTTTTTACGAGCTAGTGTAGTTACGACATCTTTGTCTGCGCACTCTCACCGTTTTCAACGACACAATTCAGCCTTTTTTCGCAAAGACCTCACCACTTGTCCATCACGGAAATTTTTGCCAGTTTTGCTGTCTCGAAACTTGAAAATACATCTCTCACCCTTTGCAAGCGAAGACAGCACTCGCAGCTGTAACTTTTTTCTCAACAAGCCACCCCATCTCTCGTGGTTTTTCGTTATTGCTACTTGAGAACACTGAAGTCTGCGAACCCTAGGAGGAGGGCTCCAACTTCAACATTTCATGTCCTTGAGGAAACTTATTACTGCTGCAGGCAGCGCGATTTTGTGAACCCTAGTAAAAATTGCAAGAGCCAGAGACATTTTTTCTGCAATTCCATTTAGGTAATTCAGGGTCCATCGCCTCAGGACCTCAAGTCTTTCTGGAACAAGCGATCTCTTTTTCCAGTTTCTCGCAAAACATGCTTATATTCGCTCAGTAATTGATGATAGCGAAGCCCAATCTCATGAAAGGTTGAAGACATGAGCATTTGCTCGTCTCGACTCGCTTTTCTCTCGCGCTCCATGCGCTGGTTTAACAAACGGAGCTCCAACTCCATCTCCTGCTGTGAACTCGTCTTTTTCGGTCTGGTATCGGCACCTTGTTGCTGTGTGTCACTGCGGTTGTCGGTTGCCATGTCTTCCAGGCGCTTTTCTAGAGCAGCACAATGGGCACGCTCCTGCCGCAAGGCCTCAGCATGCGCCTCCAGTGCCGCCCGCGCCTCCTGCTCCGAAGCGTCACTATCGATGACTTGCGATCGCACCGTTTCTAAAGCGTTTTTTAGCGCCGCGACCTGGTCCCGGTATCGTTCCAGCTGCATCTTTAATGTATCACCGTCGTGCACAGGCAAATCCTGCTGCAATTTCTCGATCTGTGGTGGTCATAAAGCCATGTACGATTTCGAGTAGGCTTTTCACGATTTCAAGCTGAAGAAATTCAGCAGAGTAGAATGAAGCCTAAAGCCAAACTCAACCTGTGCCCCTAGCCATTTATCGTTGTCAAAAAACGCACGATGATTTAGCTCGAGTGAGTGAGTGAGTGAGTGAGTGAGTGAGTAGTAAACTCATGCAAACGGGCATGGAATTGTATACCTCGATCTCTAAACGTTGTTTGACTTGCTGAAGTTGCTGGTGCGAGCCTAAAACTTTTTCGTGTTTCTCGTGTAGAATGGAAGCACGCTCTTCTAGACCTGCTTTTTCAGTTTCCAATTTCCGGACTTTCAAACGTAGCGTTTCTTCCGCTGACGATGACGGGTCGACACCTCCGCGACTGGACTTTCCCACCGCGGCGCCATCCGGGCCTCCCTCTTCACCATCCGCTAGTGCGTCCGACCTGCCGCTCTTAGACTGCTGCCCTTCTCCAGTGCCACCTGCCTGTCGCACAAGTTCCTCGTACTTCGCGCGCCATCTTTCCGCCTCGCGGCGCGCGCGCTCATAGCGCTTTTCTAGAGCTTGATAGTCGTCCGCCTGTGCTTGCAATACGTCTGTGTGGTCCCGCAATTGCGCTAGCTGCGCCAGCAACTCCTGTTCGCGCTCTGCAAAGCGCACGCGCTCCCGCTCGCGCTGCGTCTCCTGCTCGACTGCAGCGTCGTGTAGGGCTTCCTCACGCGCTCGCTCAGAACGTTCGCCCCGCCGCTTCGCCGTACTCAGCTCACTTCGCAACCGCTCCAACTCGTCCTGAAGGTGCGCTACACTCGCCGGACTCTCAGAACTCGCGATTCCTGCACTACTGGAAGCAGGACCTGTAGGTACTCGTACTTCAATGATGGTGAAACAAATATAAAATCATAGACGAGCTACATTCAATCGTACAAGCGAACGATGGCCAAACCGACCGTGAAAAACCGTGTACATGGCTAGCGACACTCTTGCACGAGCTTATGATTACTGAATCACTTCGAGAAATGTAAGATTGAAAACGTTCAGCTTATCCCCTACCATGCGCGCTGTTTTCTACCACGTCCGAATTAGGGCGCCAGGAAGATCCTCGACTTCCGCCAGCCTCGTCCCGAGAAGCTCCCGCAAGAAGGACGTCATCGCGGCGCTTCCGGCTATCCCGTTCGTCTTCGAGGGAGTACGTGGGTCCAGTACGCTGCTTCCCGAATGCCTCCACTTCATCGTGCAGTGACTGAATGATCTGCATAACCACGCGCTGCGTGCTACCTGATAGCTTGATCACTCCGGCTATATGCTGATTTTTCTCCGGGCACTCGACAGCGAGCAGAATGAGAAACGTCACCATCCGGTACAGGTGATACCACTTATGAACGCAAAGTTATGCCTTGAACGATCCCTAGACCACTTCGCGATAAAGTAGAGAGCTGATGTTGATTTAAACAGATTTTTAATACGCGTAAACAAGTTTCAGCATGATCCAAGAACTCTTCTAGTTGTCCAAGCACCATGGATTCGGTATCTTCTAGTAGTAAGCACTAGTGCACTTCGAAAAGGAATCAAGTCTGTGTATAGATTTCACCGTAGAGTTGTAAGTGGATGATTTTTCGCATACAAGTCTGTTGCGCCACGCACCACTTTTGCCTGTCGTCCAATAATAGCTGCGAGCGGTTTCGTCGACAGCAAGAAGAGCTCGCGGCGCGGCGCATCTACCAGACTGTCTGCTATGTCGTTTCGGACGAGTTCGAACCCTCCAGATGCGAATCCACCTGCACTCGTGCGCTGAGAGCCATGCCCTGTGATCGCAGATGCCACGTGTCGGAGCAATTGACCGTCCATCAGCTGCGCGAAATCTCCGACGGATCCACGCTGAAACGAATGCAACCATTCGAGGACAGCAGCCTTTTCGGCAGAAGACGGACCCGTGAAATCTAATGAATCCTCCATGTTGTGGAAAATTGAAATTCTTTGAATCGGTTATGTTCGTGTTTTCTTGGAAGAGTTAAATACTACTTACTGAGAAGATTCTATCGAAGTATAATCCACTTCTACTTCATGGCTATTTCATCAACCTCTTTTTCTATACTTCAAGTATACCGATCACCGCTAGGTCTACTTTTCTTTCAGCTTATATAAGACCTTTTCCAGGAATTACTTTACTTGTTAAAAGACTCTGCAATCAGTCAAAGACAGGACCAGCATGTTGTAAAGAAGTTTGTAGATCACACCAATCACGCACCGATCTCGTCAGCAGTGCAAAGCCATACCGATCAAAACATAAACAGTTTGCTCTGAAATATTAAGAGCAATAAAACTTTGCAAACACTTCCCCTCCGAAACCTCAACCTCAACCTCCAACACCCAAACCCACAACCTCCGACACAAAAACAAACAAACCCCAAACCCCAAACCCATGAACCCAAACCAGGAAACCAAGAAAACGCGAAACCATGAAACCGCGAAACCATGAAACCAGGAAGCCATGGGATTGAATTGCACGGAAAGGGCTTAAAATCAAAAGTTTTGGGATCTTAGCCCTTCAAACTCACGAGATTCAACCACAAAACGACGAAAAACGTGGAAAATTCTCGAAATTGGAAAAACGCGAAGCCAAGAGATTGAACCGCAGGGCAAGGGCTTAAAATCAAAAATTTTGGGACTTTAGCACTTCAAACGCACCGAATTCAATCCCAAAACGACGACAAAATGCGGAAAATTTTCGAAATTTGAAAAATGCAAATCCAAGAAATTGAATTCCAGGGAAAGGGCTTAAAATCAAAAATTTTGGGGCTTTAGCGCTTCAAACGCTCAAAATTCAATCCCAAAACGATGACAGAACGAGGAAAATTTTCGAAATTTGAAAGAATGCAAATCCAAGAAATTGAATCTCAGGGAATGGAAAGGGCTTAAAATCAAAAATTTCTGGGATCTTAGCACTTCAAACGCACGCGATTCAATCCCCAAACGATGGCAAAACGTGGAAAATTTTCGAAATTTGAAAACGCGTATCGCTTACATCTTTGCCGTGCTTAGTTTCTTACTTTGGGGAGGAGGGGGATCCTAGTGGGAGGGATGTTATCGGACGCTCCAAGCTAGTATATCTACTATGAGCAACATGAATTCACGTGAGCGCGCGGAGCTACAAACACAATAAAAAGAAGGTTGCCAATCGCTTCCTTGCCGTCGAGAGAACGGGGCATCGCGACAGCGTGGTCGGCGAATTCTCAAGAAATTACCTTCCTAATTCAACACAAGCCTCGAATCAAGCCTTTTGCTTGCTCGGAGTTTTACTTTTGAAAAGCAACAGTTCACAGGATAGCAATTGATAGAATAGGATTGTCCGCGGACATCAGCTGATGTCATTGCTGATACGAGTAAGTGTTTCCATTGGATTCTTTGGGTGATTTTCTGACAAGTCTTCTTTTTCGGGAACCATGACATGGTTGTAGTGCATGACAAGTTACTCAATTACTCGGAATAGATAAACTTTACAAATTTTCTGTCCATGACATTTCCGCGCGCATCCGATGCGCTACCGGGCAGCAATGAATTGAAAAAAAAATAGCTCGCCTTCCGCACCGCAGCCACCTTCTTCACGAACTATTGCTCCCAGCACACAGCACGCGCACTTCCTGCAACCAATTTCCACGGGAACATATGTAGTAACGTGTTCATTAACTCGCTTGCGTTGCCTGCGTCAGTAGTCGCAAGTGGCGAAATGGCAGAAAATCGTAACCGTCCGCACGAAAGAACTTGGACTGGAATTCGACCCAGTGAAGGCGCAAAGTGTGCATAAAGCACTCCATCACGTCCATTCCGATAAGTACTATGAAGCAGGACGAGGTGGGGAAAAGTACCGGTTGGAAGTGGGTGGAGCATCATTATAGCATAGCTAAAACTACCTAAAAAACATCTGTTGATTTAGCCGAAGCAAAGAGCAAATACCGGGCCTTTAAGGATTGCCTCCATTCACAATTCCTGTTCATAAAAATCGCGACGGAGACGACCATGAAACTGAAGAAGCTGATGTAGATCTTCACCGCGCGTACGAGAAAGAAATCGTCCCCTGTCAGACTCGAAGTGAAAAGCATTTTAAAGAAGACAACGGAGAGCTGCTGGTGTGCAAGAGACAAGGCCCACAATCGCAAATATGACGCTGTGTGCGATACGGTGCCTGTGGTAAGATCATGTCGTGTAGAAATACTGTAACGAAATATTGATATGACGATTTACCTCCGTTGGATAGGAGCAGGTAGGTACGATGAAATCCGAGCGTTCGTAATTCCTAGTACCGAGAACGAATTCGATCGTTTCGATGATTTGGTGAATGCAGGTTTCCCCCATGTCAAACTTCACCTTTTGCTCTGGCTCGTGTTGTGTTTCTGAGAGTGGCATAAACGTCTGTCCTCGCGAATGTTGCATGGTCCGCCGCTTCGCTGTGGAGATTAGAACGATGAGGCAACTTTAGAAAAAAAAATAAAATCATTGGGTTAAAAAAGGCCCATGTTGATGTTGTTAGTGTGAAAACGAAAACAGAGAAGTGGACCATGCGGACCTCTATGAACGCTCCTGGTACGCAAACTTCAGATGTGTACCTATTGCCCACAGTATGAGCGGTTTCGGTATAAGGAGGCAGGGAACACTGAAAACCATGCAGGAGAGTAAAAAAGCTTGCGTCTCCGCCGCGCCTGCATAAAGCGGCGTCTTGTTTTCTGTCTGCATCACCATTGATATCAGCGTGTTTATGATAGATGGCGGTTCGTTCATCGGGGTCACCCACTGTTTTGATAGGGATCATGGATGTGAGATGAAACTAACTATTAGATGCGATGCCTGAACCTTGTTTCCATTTATTTATTTCCTACTCACTACAACAAGGCTTTTCAGTTTGAAGTACCTTGTACAGGATCATGTAGTCCATGTATCCGAAGAAGCAAATCATGAAGGTCATCATCGGGACAAACTCGCAGATGAAGTCCACTCGATTCCTCTCGTAGATGACGTTCGATAACCTGAGAAGCAGCCCTAGTATCATGTGGGCGACGCCGAGCAACACCGATATCTTCATCTTCATGCTATTCATGAAATTCAGTTCGTTGCTAGCACCCTTCCACGCGGGATCAACACCGAATGGATAAGGGCCAAAGTTCTGTGCGTAGTACTGTCTTCCGCCACCTTCCTTCTGAATAAGCTTGTCTCCTCGATTTGACGGATCGAAGTCCGGGACAAGGTACCTTTGGTTGTAAACTAATGGTCAGTATTATTGCTAGGTCTGAGAAGGAAGTAGTCTTCAATCTTTAGTAGACCAGAGTGATCATGCTGATTTATTAGATGTGGCGTTTCCGATTCCTACTACTATGCATGAGAAATATTGAAGTCTACGATGCTCCTCCTTAATCAGATGCTCATAGTACTGTATCGGATCTGTTTCTTTGCCGGTGTTGCGCCACCTCGATCCAAAGAGGTTCATTCCCGTGGCAAAAAAGTCGTTGTATATGAAACCAGCGTATATCGCGAAAAATCCCATCATAATGCACTGAGTTGTCAATATGGAAGTACAGATTTTCTAGTTTTGAATTCGGACGCCATTTTTTCGTATCAATTAGCATTACTACAATCCGGCTCGCTTGCTAACTGCGACAACACCTTCCCGGACTTCCTGATTCCAGATGTGAAGCGAAGATGCACTCTCTTGTTCAGGATGAGCTTTTAATACCATGTATCGGAAGTCGAAGACCGCTGGGTATTGAAATTTGATCTTGTTTTCGTGCTGGGTGATTGCGATGCCAATGGAAAGCAGCATCAGTCCATGCCCTACGTCTCCGAACATGACACCAAAGAGAAAGGGAAAGGTAACGATGGAAAAAAAGACTGGTGTCATTTCTTGATATCTTGGTATTCCGTAGGTATTCACCATAGTCTGAAATGGCGCAAGAAAGCCGTTGCTCTTGAAGTACGTTGGAGGCATCTGCTGGTCGTGCCCATGCCCGCCGCCACCGCTATAAGTCACACCTGTGGTCGTGACGCAATGTTTGGGCACTGCTTCATAAGGTCCCCGTAAATTAGAAGAAGGATCAACGTCAAGTTCTTCAAAAAGCAAAAATCACAGGGGCCACAAGAGTGCGTATAATTTTCAATAAGTACGGTCTGTTATGAGCATGGCGCTGCAGTGCGTTGACCTGGACTCGGCGATCAAGACTCTTCGAACGAAGTCCTCTTCTGCAGTGGGATACCATACTTGTGCTCGGAGCGTAGTTCCCTCTCCTTCGCACATATCTAGCACTGCGTAAGTTCCTAAAGAGCGAGAAGTTCAAGTTCGATGAATTATCGCGGCTTTCTTTAGCTCTAAACAAGCATATTATCGTTTTCATAAATGTTCTTGAGTCATTGAAAAGTCTTGTTGAAAAATTTATCAAACCTATAATCCAGAAACAGAGATGTCCTTGATGTAGCGCATGTTCACACAGAACATACTAGTTGGTACCTTTCTCTTTTATGAGGAAGAGCCGCCAGTCCTCCAGCAACGAGTTGTAGCTTCCGGGTTGCCTTTGCAGGATAAAATTCAGCTCGTCTTTCAGTAGTTTTTCGGAAGCCATGAGTGCTCTTTCTCTCTCGTTGACCTCTACTGAAATCTGCCGGAGTTTCTCGCGGCCTCTCGCCGCCGTCGTGACCCATGGGTAGCAGTTCGCACCAAACTGCTGGCATGCTCGCAGAATCCGCGCATGCATGGCGGAAGAGCTGTTTCCCTGATAGTAGACCACGAAAACGGCTTTCTGACAGTCTTCGCCTGTCTTTGGATCGGTCAATGGCTCGTGAATTTCCCGAAAATGCGTGAAGGCGTTACCCCGTGTTGATCGGAAAATGAACCGCGCGAACCGCTGCTGCTCGCTCTAAAATTGAAAGCAAAAGAAATACTACAATAAGTTGAAACCAAAGGAACACGCGAGGGCAACACCTTTGCTTTACGAAGGAAAAGCAAAATTAAAGTCTTGGTGAGTATAGCTCTAACTTGTTTGGGACATGCAGAAAATTCCAAGGTAGTCACTTATGAATCAAAATTCTGAGTGCAAGCAGTAGTAAAAATGTGTAATTTAGTACACCTGGTTTATGACGCCGGCCGCATTATTGAACTGCATCGAGGAAGACGCGCTAACAAAGGGCGTCCCAATAGTTTCTTCGTCCACTCCATTGGCTGAGTTGCGCATTAATTTCTGCGTTTCCGCGAAATCTCCATCTAAAAGGCCCCTGCGCTCTATACCAGGCCGTGAGCTAGACGAGGATGACCCGCCACCTAATCCATATCCTTCTGACGCAATATATGAACCGTGAAGCTATGGAATTCTTAGTGTACAGCATTTATGTGGAGGACCCACTCAATCCCAAAGGTAAATTGGTATACGCACCATGCAGAAGTAGAGGTGCAAACTCGCAATCGACACGCATCAATCCAAAGAACCCCCGGAACACCAAAATGACAGGAAATGAATTAATATTGACGGAGAAATTGCAGAAGACTCTCTGTAAACTCACAGTACCATAACAAACTGCTCTGATGAAAGAGTGCCATTGACGCGGCTTCCAGGACGTGTCGTTCTTCTATTGCCGCGTTTCTCGCGGAAACTAGTTGCTGCTTATTGTCGTCAAGCCGCGTCACGTTGTGGTAAGCCTGTCGTACCTCGTGCTCCACCTTATCCAATTTATAGGGCTCTGAACTTTGCGCTGCTAGAAATCCCTCAAGATCGTTCTGATACAGAGGCAATTCTGCTTTTTTACACTTTTCAATCAGCCATCGCACCTCTCGCTCCACATCCTCTATTCGTTGAATAAACTTCTTGTACCTGCAAGAAGGGTGAGATGAACGCCAAATAATGAACGCAATAGGGAGCTGCAAAATGAGGAAATACGGTAACAACAGAGCACTGTCAAATATTGCATGACGGTCACAACAGAGCACTGTCTAATAAGATCACATACATAGCGCCCATAACTCGAGGTAACGGTAAATCAGCAACAGTTACTATGTATATAGCTACGGTCTTTGCGGTGCCACTTGGTTCGCGTGGACATCCTGGAACATCAGGTTAGCACTGGATCCTAGCACGTCAACGAAATGTCTCGCTTTCTCCATAGGCAGCACTAATGTGCCACTGCACATATTCTCCGACCGGAAAATGCCCATCGTATTTCTTTTCTCGAGTACTATTTGATGGTTGTTGCAGCCTGTGAATCATTCACATCAAGTTGTTGAGGTTGTCATATAGTCACGGGCAGCAACAGCAAACCAGACGCAGTGTTACTCGCCTCTGAGGGTGGCTTTCGCTGGTGCCAGCAAGGCGAGTACCGTGTCACAGATTTTAAGCGCTATAGACTCCGGAATCTATCCGAAATTTGCAGGCCACGTGTTGTTTTTCAAGCAACCAAATTATGAAAGGCTCGGCCTGCGAAACGCTTTCTGCTCACCCGGCGCACGTTCTTGGAAAGGCAGCGATCTAGCTACACGTTGCGACAACTAGGACACAATGTGCAACACCCGTAGTGACACGATGTCTTCAGGGGAGCTTTCGTAGCGCAGTGGCTCAGGGACTTCGTTCGAGCAGATCTGCTCTACTTTAGCAAACATTCCGCGTCCGGTTCACGAGTAATGCGCCAGCATCTCGACAATATCCGGCAGCGAATATGGATAGTTGTGATTCTTCAAGCGTTTAATGGAGACAACAGCAGCGGCGCCTCAATAACTTGCGTGCTCCGTGCACCGCTCTAACTATGGACCCCGGTCTTCGCAGTGGCAAAGCCACACAGCAAAGCGACAGCCGTTGTCGTCTGGGTATGGGTTGCGACCTATGTCGGTGCCCGTAGTAAAGCGGAAATGCTGCTGCTCCGATGTTTTATCTAGACGCAGTGGCTCTCCATGAGACCGAAAAGAAACGACATGGATATTATTCCAGAATGCAAGACGATATGCATGACAAGCAATGACAAGAATATGCGTCAAAAATATGACGCGCGAAAATGGACAAAATACTTAATTGGATATGTTTACTCGCTAACGGACCCTTATGCACACAACATGTCTTGATGGCTACCTATGGTGTAGGAAGATAAGGAATTTCTTGTGGACCGATTGCACGTCAATGCTCGTGAACTCTCTATTCTAATAGTCCTTGCGTTAGAAATTGAAATACTTATATAATGCTTAGTCTTAGATAGTACATACGTGATACTTAGCTAATACTTATACAATATAACGGCGCTAAGTCAGCCAAGAACTGCACGAAAGCGGTCACTATTTTCGCCGCTTAGTCCTGGAAGTGCTCCGCTTCGCGGCTTTTGTAACTTGCCCCCCTCGGTTTTTCTGTCTTTTGGTTTCGTTTCATGTGATTCCCCGCGCCCCTCCAGAGTCCACCGCATCAGCCTGCAGATGCGTGCTGGGGGATTCTGGAGGGGCGCGGGGATTTGGAGGGCGCCCGAGGTTCTCTGCTCGCAATTGGGGGAGGGTTTTCCTTAAAGAAGAGCAGTAGGCGGCGAGTGTTCTGCGGATTCACATCGCGCCCGGAAAGACTGAATACGGTCCGGATTTTTGCAGTCCTTGCTTGAATTTTCTCCAACACTTATCTAGTACTTATCTATGTTTCAGGGCGCGGGGCGACGGCCCCCTCCCCCTAGCGGGGGGGGTGCGGGCGCCCTGGGCCCCTTTTCCAGCCGTCTGCCGGGGGGGAAGGCCTCAAAAGGGGGCCCAGTGACCTCCCCCCTCCGCTCCCTTCCAGCTGCCTGGCTGTTCCCTAGGGGCCTCCGATGGTGGTGGGAGGCTTCAAAAGGGGCCCGAGGGACCGCCTGCGCCCCCGCCCCGGTGCCTGCTTGTGCCCTGAGTGCATCCGTTAGGCTTCGCCGCCGCAGCCGTGCCGCCTGTACCCTCCGGGCCCTTGGTCATCGGCTTGCTTGCTCTTGCGACCGTGGCCGCCTCCGACGGCCTTCTACCCCGGAGACCTCCCGCCTGCGAGGGTCAGCAGAGGCCAGGAGGTCCCTTAGGAACACGCTGAGAGGCCCAAGGGGAGGCCCGCGCCAAGTTTTGACGCTTTCCACCACTAGAATCCGCGAAAAATCCGCGCGGGAAAGCGCGCGCGCGCCACCACAGACCAGGCCACAGGAGGGGAGGGGGGGTCGCCCGGCCCTGAGTCATATATATTCATTCACGCGTTCTTTCCCTCCCTCACTGGCCAGCCCTTAGCCGGTACCTCGGGGGCACGCAGCAACTGAAATCTGTCAAATGACAGCTTAGTGTGCTTATGCGTTCTATCGCCCTCTTGATTACCGTCATCTAGTGCTTCATTATCCGTTGCTCTCCTCCTTCTTTCCGGTCATCCACGGGAACACAAAGCCACGCTAAGATGCTTTTAGGATACGAAATGTTTTCTTCAAGAACCCTCCACACGTCCTGTATATCAAGAATTTCTCTAAAAATTGTTTGAAAAGGGTCACCTAAGACTCTCGCAACCAGTGATACTGAGTCTGAGTTGTTCGTGACCGTATTCTCTGACAATTCTTCACTACAGCGTCGGAATATTAAATCGCCAAATTCCGCGACGCAAATGACTTACTTGGCAGCAGCGGCCCAAGAACCAGGAGATTACAGCTGGCCGCTGCGCCCCGTAAGCCTCCGATAAAACAATGACTCGTAACCTGCTAAACCAAGACCACGTAGTAATTCGTATCGTTTAAATTTGAATCGTGGATAAGTCAGGCAATAATATTGGAATAGTGTTAGTGAAAAGTGAAGAAATATATATCTAAGACATGAATTGTGTCCTTTGTGCGTCCGGACATCAGAAGAGAGATCTGCATCTGTGATATTCATGAAGACGTTGATTCATATCGATGGAGTTTATCTAGTAGAATGATGTGTCAGCTTCAACGGACGCCAACATTGTTAAAGGGAACGCCCGTCGAATGACGGTGTTGATACGGAAAGAAGAAATAATTGCGAATACACATCCAAGCATATATCCCGTCCCTTGGTGCGACGACAATATTTCCAAAGCATTCACATGAAGGCCGCACCTAGGAACGAAACCCCTGAAAGAATCTCACCATTCAGTAGTATGGTATTACAGGCATTCACCCACTAAAACCGAGTGCTCCCGACTATAGAACCCGCTGCTCCTTTTCTTCCCAGAAGAAGAGGATGATGAAATCGAAAAAAAGTAGTTTCCTCGTGTGCTGATGTTCCCCGAGCATGCTCATGTTTAATGGTGTCGGTGGCAATGCGCCCGTCTTTCCCTGCAAGAGAAACATTGTCATGTACTTTTTTTCCCCGACACATTCCCTACGCTGATGCAGAGCAATCCTAGTCCCACTTCTTCGTCGTCCCCACCAATGAAACTCGTAATCAACTTCCTCCCTAGTTGTAACGCATCTTCTTTTACTACTGGCTTTCCTGAAACAACTGCTACTTCGTCTACAAGCAGCCCCCTCTTACGAGCTTGTGTCGAGCGACAGGAGCATCTTGTGGTTGTACGGAGCGAAGAGAGTGCCGTCAGCGTGGAAGAATTTGGATTGGAACTCGACCCAGTGAAGACGCAAAGTGTGCAGGAAGCACTCTAACGAGTCCATGCACAAAAGCACTGCGAATGTAACCATAAGCCAAACCGCAAAGCCGAGGAAGACGAAGACTGGGTTTCCGCTGCCGATAGCACCAGCTAAAGTCTTCTGGAAGAAGACGAGGGAGTATGAAAGAGAAAACAATTGCTGGTGGGACAGCCTACTAGGTAGGATGGCCTATTTCCTAAGAAACTTTTTCTCTAAGTAACGGATTGGTGGCTTGCATCTATTCGGCGATGTGCCTGGGATTTCTCTGACGACTTTTAAGTAACCAATTCAATCCAAATAGATATATCTTCTTTTGTTCCAGTCATTGCTTCATAAAGAAAGTTGCTGATGCGCCAATGAAAGTGCCCACATACGCAAGTAGGAGGCTGTGTGTGAGACTGTACCAAGGACGTACTCGATGGTGAAGATAATCTGCTCAATGGCCTCCTCAGCGAATGGCGGGTGTTCCTCAACTTCCTCGTGGGTTCCGGCCTTGTCTGGCAGGTGGGCGTGTTCCTCATGTCCTTTTGACTGGATAGGTATGAAGAAGGAAAAGGACAAGGAAAAACATTTGACTTCTAGTTCGTCACCGGCAAAACAAAAGGAAAAGGTATGAACTTTACATATCTGTTGGCCGCTTATTACGACTCAGCTGGTAAAAGATCAAACCACTAATCCAAAAATCTTTTTCATAATGTAGAGAACGACGATCTTCGGGAAGAGCAACCACGGGACGGACAAAAGGGTAAGGCCGAAGAGGGTGCTTTCGACAGCGATGGCACCATCCCAGAGTGGAGCTTTGTCCGGCTGCTTCATGGCCATAGAGATCAAACTGTTGATCAGACTTGGCGGGTTGTCGAGCGGAGTCACCCACTGTTTTCAAGAAAGGGATTGAGAGGGTTAACACCAGCGGCCCACAAAAATATTGATTGCAAAAGCAGTTTGAACAAGCTAAAACATTTATAAATAAATAGGGTGTATATCAAAGATCTCCTAGTTGCGTACAACTTGACATTCACGGTCCGAGTTATGACAATAATGTTCTTCACACTCTTCGTCTCGAGGTAAAGCAAGAGCAACAATAGAAAGCTAGGTTTAACAGTTTGTTACCTTGTACATGATCATGAAGTCCATGTATCCGAAGAAGCAGACCATGAAGATGAGCATGGGAATGCATTCACAGCACAAGTCGACGACTGATCGCTCGCTAATCGCGTTGGCCCACTTGAGAAGGACACCTACAAGCATCTGTGATACACCGAAGAGCACTGCCATCTTCATCTTCAAACTGTTCATAAACAGCAACTCGTTCTGCGCACCCGCCCATGCCGGATCAATACCTTTATTCCACGGGGCAATCACATGATTATTTGCCCTGTCCTAGTTGACAAGAACAAGGCCGACTCATGATAACGAACAAACGCTAAACTCAAAAAGTATTTGAGGAAGATAAAAGGTGAACATATTTACCAATTGGAACTGGTCCTGGTCCGCCCTGGTTCTTTACGTCGTAGAGCGGGTAGTAGTTCTGGATTGGGTCCGTTTCGGCTGCGTCGGTCGCCCATCGTGTGCCGAAGAGATTCATACCAAGCGACACAAAGTCGTTGTACATGATACCAGCGTATACAGCGAAAATGCTCATGAGGAGGAGCATATACCGCGCTGAGTACAATCCGGGCTGTGAATACTTGAGCGACGCCGCGTTCAGGATGCACCAGCACGCAAAGCAGAACATAAGCGTTCCGTGACCCACGTCGCCATACATGATACCGAAAATAAAGGGAAACGTCACCGCGGTTCAGAATGAAAGGAAGAGGCAGGAAAAGGTGAGTAGAATTAACTTTATACGATACTCGACGAGAAGATATAAGCTGTAGCAGCACTAGCAAGTATCACTGCACAGCATCCCCAGGAATTAAGAGCAACCACTTACTCAAAAAACCTGGTCACACCTCAACAAATTTCAAAGTTTCGGCCATACAAACGGCACCGGGGACGCCTCTTTATATCTCGGGACACCGTAGGTGTTCACTAGGTCTTGGAAGGGCGCCAAGAATTCGTTCGTTCTGAAGTACGTCGGTGCGTTTTTCATACTTCGAGTGGCGTCGGAGATGAGGTAGGCGGCACCATCAGCACTGCTATGCTTGACCAAAATAGATCGAATACCTAGTTGCAGGGTTCATCATTTCACCAAAAGGTAGGTTGTAAAATATGTTCCTTCATTTACTCCTTGAAGCATCCACTCTTGTCAGACATTTGTGTAGTGCATTGCCGTAGTACTTTCCTCATCGGATTCCGGATACCAGACGTTGATACGCATGGTGGTCTCGCCGTCGCACTGGTTGAGGATTGCGTAGATACTCTTCTCCTTGATAGCGAAAAGACGCCAATCCTCGATAAGGGAGTTGCCACTGCGAGTCTGGGAGAGGAGTCGCGCACTCTCAGACACGATGAAGCCCTCGTAGGCCTCCTGCGCCTTCTTCTTATCGGCAACAAGCTGCGTCAGGACGGCCAACCGCGAACGAGCGTCTTGGCCGGAAACTGTGTTTTGGAAGAGAGTGACAAAATTACAAGAGAACGCAGTACTGCGAGTAAGACAGAGGCTTACATCAACAAATGTATTTCGCAAACTAAATACGCACACAGAAAGAGGCGTGACTTGATTGTTTAGTAAAACACAAAAGCAGTAGATTAGGCTATCAAAAAGACACTAAATCATGATCCATTTTATATTTTTAGTACAGGGCCACTCGTAGTTGTTGACTCCGAATTGCGCACAGGCCTTGAGGATTTTGTTGTAGAGGACGCCCTCACCAACGCCCTTGACGTCTTGGAAGAAGACAACGAAAACGCTCTTCTTGACTTCCTTTCCGGTCTTCGGGTCCACAATGGGTTCGCTAATGGGCGTAAAATTGGTGAACGAGTTTCCACGGGACATGCGGAAGAGAAAGCGTGCGAATCGCTGCTGGTCCTCCTCGTTAATTGTGCCCGCAATGTTCGAGAACGTCATACCTTTCCTAAAAAAATGTTTAGAAATACAAACTGAGCAAGGACAACGTGTTTCAGTATCTCAACGATCACGCTGCTTAGCACTTCAATACAATACAATAAATCTCGCACAGAGGTCAGTGCAGACTGCCATAGGGGCGTCGTTAAGTATTCCTAGCCCGGGTGATGCCAGTATCTACCATATTTCTCGACGTTTGTGCACATTAAGCGAACAAAAATCTTACCGCCTTCAATTTTCGAGCCATCAAGCAATTGGTCCGTGTTTGCGCCAGTGCGGACAACCGAACCAAAGGTGCTCAACGAGGTCTCCACAACCCATTTTTCCTCGATAGCTTGGTTGCGTTCTGTTGGTTACGAAAGGTGGAAGCATGATATCAATCGCAACAAGCCAAAAAAGACTTCTCATCCTTTAACAGTTCGGGAAGAGCGTAGACTCCAATTCGTTTGATTTTACCGCAATCCGTTATGAAAAACAGGTGCAAACAAAGCAATCTTTGTACCAACAACCAGACGCATTAGGTGTAATATCACAATTTAACTTACCAGTAATCAAAGCAGCATTGTTGGCTTTGAAGTCCACAAATTGTTTATAGACAGTTTTCAAGTCGCTCTCCACGGCATCCATCTTGTAGTTGTCGGACTCGTCGAGAAAACCGTCCACGCAGTTCTTGAAGTACATAAATCCGAATTTGTTCACCTCGACATGCAGAAACCTGTGTCAGGTAGGAAGTTTGAGGGAGCGACTAAGAGTTGACAAATTGATGCTACACTGCATGAACTTTAGCCGTTCTTTCGAAAGCACTTACTATAGATCCCTTGTTTGAACATGAGTACTAGAGTCAACGTGCATACATTATCGATTTCACCTCAGAATGCGCTCGCACTCGTCCAGGCGCTGGATATACTTTTTGTAGGGGCGCACAGCGTTCACTTGGCTTCCCTTCATGTCGGCAAATTGAATTTGCGTGTCTTTTCCTAAAATATTGACGAAGTTCGGCGCCCTCTCTGCCGGGAGTACCAAGACTCCGGGTGCCATAGTCTCGGAGCGCAAGATACCCATCTTGTCTCTCTTGCTGTCGCTCTGTAAGCGCGACACTAAGAAACTAGAATTTACTTACTTGAAACCTACTGGGCGTTCTTTCTATAATCTGAACTGGAGGTGAGAGGAAATCGAGAGAATCAGAAATGAAGAATTCGCAATTGAGTGCTGTAGAAAGAGCCGTGTAAATCAAAGCGGGTCGCCAGAGGACCCAGCGTTATCTCTGAAAAAATCTTCGGTCATTGGCAAAGAACATCTAGGATCTTGTTCTCTCATGATAGTCTTCTCGACTCTCGACAAAAGTGTTACCAGCAAGAAAATCATCCGGTCTTCATGACAAAAAGAGCGCACACAATCAACTTCCGTCTCATGAAAAGAAACATGAGTTGCCTGATCCATGACTAGAAAGGTGGTCGTTGTACTGCTCAGTGTGGTCCGGCGCGTGTCACCATACACAATTGACATTGACACACGTCAAAAACGTGGCTGAGAATCTACCGACACGAACCATGGTATCCTTGTTTGTCGTCCGAAGAATGACACATGATACAGGAAGAAGTGCCTCAACTGCTGGGTCCTGTTGTCTTCGTTGTAACCGTTCAGCAGCACTGCCAGCCTGTGCTTCCAATTATACTGCTGCTTCTTCCATCGCTGCTACACAATTCAAGTGGAACATAAGTGTGCCTGCTAGTCACCTTCAAAAGCGGTGCCTTGTAAAAATGCGTCTCCAAAAATTCTCTCTGTTGACTTCCTTGGCCTAAGACTGTTATAGTTTTCATTTACCGTATATATAAGTCTCAGCCTAAGTTGTAACGTAATGTGCGCCAATCTTTCAACACGAAGTGCAAAAAGCGCAGGACCTTGACTTACTTCTGGTTATGAAGTCTATACGACCATCCTTGAGGCTGTTCTCGTGCCAACCATAACTTGAACTTTTAAGTCGCACGATCGTATTCTACACGACCGTGATACTGAATACAGGAAAAATCGCTTGTCGAATACTAGGAATCAAAGCATCTACTCGAATCAAATCTACAGAAGGAATCAGAGAAAACCACTGCGTACAGAACCTTCTACTCATGACAACAAGTTATTAGTCAATGCCATCATGAAACGTAGGGCCTGTTTTTTTCATGAACAACGCCGCGATTCATCTTCGGCAGCGCCTTCCGCCCATAGTGCTAACGAAACTCCCTAACTAGTCTGTTTCCAAACGGATGATATTTTAGTGCCTCGATTACTACGTCACAGACAACGTCCCCATCTGCGTGAAGGCTGGCGACAATCCGACCGGAATATTAGTCCCGAATATTTCGTAACTACAGCCCTGTGGATGCTGCGCGAATCGGCAATAACAAACGATACCGTCAGACAGAGCTGAAGTCAAAAATTATAATGAAGGAACTGCATATTAGTATGAAGCACTAGTGAACCATTACAATTGACGAAGGGCTAGCTATTTTGTTATGCATTTTGCCAACATTTTTAAGAAAGTAATCAATATATAATGATATATTTCATGACGTTGTGTAGGTTTTCGTAAAGGACGTTCACATAATCTGTACAAAAGTCTCTGTTACCACGAAAATTGCACGGCCATTGAAAAGACTAGTACTTCCTGAAATGCTCCCGACATTGAAGACTTTTTTCCGGTCTGAAGGTCCTGTCAATGGCGCATAGCTCTCTGACGCGAAGCTTGTGTGCTTCGTCGAACAGTCGGTTGAGTTGGAGATCCGCACGAAATCGGTTCCTTGCAAATTAGAGCCCTCCACCGCGACAAAGCATGGCTGACCGCTAGTACATGTGAAGGCTTGTGTAGTCGTCGCGGTGGGACACGCTTTGTTATGCGGATCGGTCCAACAACGCAAAACCTATCAGAACGTGAGAGGCGTATTCGTCCCTCATTACGATTCCTGCCTCTTCTCTGTGCGTTGCGCGCTCCGACAAGAATATCACCTACAAATATAATTTTTCTAGAGTGTCTTGTATTTATACCTGTGGCTTCATTAGATGCAGCCGCGCAGTGTTCCCCGCGGCACCCTCAAGATTCTGAAGCCATATGTAGTTGAACATGTTCTGCGTGGTCATATTCGTGTTGCGCTGAATCGCGCGATACGATGTGATTTCTGCCTTCATGTCCTGCGTTAATTCTTGGAGCATTTTCTGCTTGTCGTTAAACATTCTTCGTGCCTCAAATACTTTCTGATTCTCCTCTACTTTTGCTTCATCGAACATACCTGAAGATCGTCGATGAGGAGAAGAAATGAAGTCATGCGCGGGCTAGTACATCGTTGTACAACGCTTTGGCTGCTGTGCTAAACAAGAAAATATATTTCTATGAAGTTGACTACAAAACTTTTACTAGTTCTTGGCAGTGTAGGAATTACAATGAAAAGAAGATCACAAGGCAATGGCAAGCTACTTCTAAAAAATCAACTACGTCTCCTCTTATTCGCGGCTTTAACTTCTGCGTCCCTCACCTCAAACTCCACTTGCTCAATTTCCTGCCGAACTTGCTCCGTTGCAGTGAGCTCCTCTTCGAATGCAGATGGTAAATTGATTACCAGTAACTGCAAATCGTCCAACAGTCCTCCATCCTGTGAAGGCAACTTTGAGCATCAAACTACTCACTATGTTACTGCATCCGTCATCAGGTCCAGCAGTTACAACCGGTGACAAGTAAGAAACCAACAACTACTCTTTATTCTGCTTTCGAAGATTAGGCTCCGACTCTTCCAATTGCTCGTGCATCCCATGCACAAAAATCATGGATGTTGGTGCCATTCATCGTCGTGGGAAAAAACTAACAACCTAATTAGCGTCTTCACAGTTTTTCGATGAGTATAGAAAAGTACCGCCTCGATCCGTTGCGTCAGCTGCGTCTGCATAGCTGCTTCTATCTCCGTTCGATTGTAAAAAAACTCGAAGGCAGTCCATGTGCTGGCAGTATCTCGCAACATGTTCCTTGACACAATAGCATACGCAAAATCGTATCGCAAACCCCAGTCGTAATAAATCCGAAGAACGCTCGTGAGGTCCTCCACCAACCGAGGGTATTAGCGAAAAGACTTATAAGTACATTATATGAGCTCAGTCATAAAGTCACCATGCAGTAACAAGCTTCCGTGAGAGGAACATTCATGAAGAGGCTCGCACATCATCTGCCCCTCCCTTGACCCGTCGTGGACAAGAGCAGCAGGAGGCCCTCGGCACGTGTCGCGCAAGCCACAGCCCTGCGCCCAACATCCCCACCGCCGCATAACCATGAGCAGCCCTCTTTCAAGTGTCTCGGCCATGTTTTCCACAAGTACCTCCACCCGCTAAGTGCCCCAAAACTGTCTCCCAGAAGTGCCTCACGAAGTGGCCCATTAAGCGCCTCGAGCTTGTCTCCCTTAAGTGCCTCGAGCTCGTCTCTCTTAGGTGCCACAAGCTTGTCCCCCTTAGATACCTCACTCTTGCCGCCCGGAAGTGCCTCGAGCTCGTCTCTCTTAGGTGCCACAAGCTTGTCCCCCTTAGGTACCCCACACTTGCTCCCCTTAAGTGCCTCGAGCTTGTCTCCCTTAAGTGCCTCGAGCTCGTCTCTCTTAGGTGCCACAAGCTTGTCCCCCTTAAGTGCCTCTGGCTTGTCGCTCTTAGGCGCCTCACAATTGCTTCCCCTTAGTCGTGCCTCGGCCTTGTCTCCCGTATGTGCTTCCTATGCCTTCCTCAAGTTCAACAGCCGACGCCCTCCTTAGGCCGCGACCAGCATATCTGCAGCACCAGCAGTCACCACTTCAGCGACGGCCAGCTTATCTGCCACAGTTACTAACACTAACTAAGCGACGCGGCGCTTATTTGCATCAGTGCTCGCTTAAGCGAAACGCCGCATATTTGCATCAGTCACCGCTTAAGCGATACGGCCCTATCTGCATCAGTCACCGCTCCAAGGACGCGCCGTTTATCTGCATAGCGACACGCCGCTTATCTGCCTCAGTCACCGCTTAAGCGACGCGCCGGATATCTGCATCAGTCACCGCTTAAGTGACGCGCCGCTTATCTGCATCAGTAACCGCTTGAGCGACACGCCGCTTATCTGCCTCAGTCACCGCTTAAGCGACGCGCCGGATATCTGCATCAGTCACCGCTTAAGTGACGCGCCGCCTATCTGCATCAGTAACCGCTTGAGCGACACGCCGCTTATCTGCTTCAGTCACCGCTTAAGCGACACGCCGCGTATCTGCATCCTTAACTACTTACGCGACGTGTCGGATTCTACGCGGCATACTCTATAACCCAGCGCTAATGACTTACGTAGGGACACAAACGGATCCATTATAAAAAGGTATCCCGCATATGAATATTCAATTACATATCGATAGCCCATGCGTATGTCCTTTCTTCAAGTTAACGGTCAAGATCCAGAAGCGTGTATTCGCACAACTATCTCATATCAAACAGACCCATTTCATACTATTGGAACTGCAGGTCAAGAATGACTTCGAGGCCGTCGAAGGTACGGGCTTCCAAATGCTTGTACTTATCCCCGGGGAACTGCACGGTTTGCTGGTCCTTAGGGTAGATTTTGAAGCTGTGTCCCACCCCGAGCATGTGTCGTCCCGCAGGATAGAGTTTTTCCTGGCTTACGCTCTTCGAAACGCTGGAATAATTCAACCCCATCTCTGTGGCTTCTAGAACGGAGAACGAAATAGCAATCAGCACAATCGCGGTGATGAGACCGGAGCAGCAGCAACATGCTGCGCAATATCTAATCGCGCCGGTGTCCGACATGGTCACAGTTCGTCTTCCGCCCACTTACCAGCAACACAATCGTTCGTAGGAGGTAACGAACCCTGTAAGATCCGCGCAGAGTTCGATCTTCTTACTATCGGCAATCGTCCTGGTACTACGTTGTTGTTCTGTAACACAGAGACGGAACCGTCATGGTCGGGTATCAAGCTCTCCCAGTAGCCGAGCAGCGAGCCGTATCCCAGGCCCCCATTGCCGCCGAAGCATGGCGTTCGCATGTGTCTATTTCGACGGGAGCCATTGCTTCATGTCACAACTTCGCCACCTCCGCTAAATTGGAATCATAGCACAAGTGAGGTTTCAAAAATCACATTCACCTTCTATAATCATGTGGAGGTGTGGTCGGGATGTGGGATACTTAGATCAAGCAGGCAGGTGTTAGCGTTGCCTCGTTTTCGTGTAGTGTAGGAAAAAAGATGAAAAGACAGTTGCAGCGCTAACGCACACTCCACGTCGCTCGAAAAACACCTATTATTGACTCATCACTCGGTCGCTCCTTCCTAAAACATCACTCTCAGCACTCAAATACCAACTCTTGTCGCTTCTTTTTTTGCAGGCGGAACGGGACGCAATGAATATGCGACACATCTATGCAGATGCCTTCGTGAGCACGCATTCGTGCGATATCAAACATGATTCGGGAAAACCGTCGCTAAGTGACTCGGTGACGTCGTCCTCGCGAGTCGCTTTCTTAGTATGGATACGTTGTATGTTCACAATACGCTATGGGGAAGAAACTAGGACGGGGAGATTTGTCGGCCGCGGTCGCCTTGCAGTATGAGACAAAATATATGTCGATCAAAGACAACAAGAAACCAGAAAACCCTTGGTCAAGGCCAAGATGCCGGATGAAGTACTCGAACCGTCTTACTTACACACGTTCTGTTATAGTTACTAGGGTTATCTCGAAGAGACTCCATAAACTTCTACGCACACACGACCCGATCCACATCTGCGGGTGAGATACGAATGCCGAGCAGATCGAGCGAACTAGTACTAGTTTCGTCGTGGCCAGCTGCTCCGCAGCTGATTCCATCGCTTGTGCTTACATCCCGGTCAAAATATTTCTCAAAGCATCCTCGCTTCCCAATAGAGCTTTGGCGAGAGGAGGCTATTCCTAGTCCTTGCTCGAATGCCGGCCATAAATTTGTGACCTCGTATCTTTCACGCAACTGTCGCTTGCACATACCCCACGCTAAAGGATCGTGGTTTGGATTCTGTGCCCAGACAACGTACAAGTCGTTGTTTCGACGAAAGAGGTCTTCCAGCGTCGCGAGCAAGAGATCTACATGGTGCATACTGTAAACTAGGTCTGCGCAGAGACACAAGTCGGGCCGTGCCTTCACCGCGTTTGCTACCTCGGCTTCCTCTGCAGTCAGAAAGACCGCACTGGCCCCGCTTGGACTTTCCACAGTAGACGCCGGACTGTGGAAGTCTACGCACGCACCCATATGAGCAGCTGTTTCTATAGGCTCACTTCTTTGTCCGCTACAAGAAGCACTAGAAAAATCAATTTTATCATGCACATCTTCCATCGCAGCACAATCTGGAGATGATGTCCTAGTAGCTGAGGTATCACTTTCACAGCTGCCAGAGGAGTCTCCTCTCGTACTAGAGGAACAGATGGAGGTAGTGCTGAGCTGCACAGGACTAGTCATACTACAATCTTTTTTATCTGTCTTGTCCAGAAGAAGTCCATCCTTTCCCCAGCAGAGCACACCAGCGATTGCCCGCACCCCGTACTCGGTCCGCAGAAAAGAGTTGCGGGCAACATTGCGTGCGAGAAGGGGTTGTATACTAGGTAAATCGGAGAGCAAGACTTTTTCGCATGGGACGACAGCTGCGGCAGTAAGTCCGACCGCGCCCGTTCCTGCGCCTAGCTCCAATATGTGCGGATAGTAGTATTCCGTAAAGAAGTCACCGTGCACCAGAAAGTCGACCAGCAACTCGGCAGCCTCCCATACCGTGCAACCAGTATGTAACGGGTCGTCTTGTTGTTCGGCGAGAAGTTTGCATTCACGACTTCTTGATGTATCACCAGATTGAAATATGCTCTTGGCAGACGTCCTCCTTGTGAGTTCATCTTCGAGCTTCAAAGGGCGTTCAACATTTCCTGTGCTCCTGTTTGCCTCATTGTTCGCATGTGATGGACTACGATCACCATCTCCTTTATAATCACTGGGGCTTTTGATCCCCTCCGCCGCAGACGGTATTTCTAGTACTGAAGAAGAACCTGAAGGGCATTTTAGCTGCGATGCGTCTGACGCAGCAGTCGAAGGACCCTCCTGGTTTGCGCTCACCCTGATATCGATCTCCGGTCGTTGTTGTAAAAAAGAGAGACACGCTCCGCGAGACGTAACAACTTCAAAAGTGTCTCGGAAACGTTCGGTAAAGCTTCGGTCGACACGCCGTCGTTTTGCGCTGGAAAACATCTTGTGCTAATGTAAAGATAGGGTAAAAACTAGATAGACAGGTAATATAGCGGTCCCTTGTTCTACGCTTTACTAGTCGCGAATCAGAAAATGTCAGGTAAAATTCTTTACGACTTCCTCAGGAGTCATCCCAAGCATATCTTTATATCGTTGAAGCCTCTCAATATCAGTGTAAGTACCCCATGAGAACGTTGTGTCGACCTGATCCATAATTCAGGGCTACACCGTGATGCGTAAAAATCGTTTGTGTAAATCATCCAGAGTGGATTTCTAGCAGTAACAAAAATCACGAACAAAATCTCTTTCGTGATTAGACTTCTTGATCTTGCGCGTTTCTGATCTATCATTAACTAAGTAGCTAGTGCTGGATTCGCATATGCTGGAATGAGTCATTGTGTACTTGATATTCGGTCGTGAGAATGAACTTGCAATGTCCTCGACCTGCGCATTTCGAATTCACGCGGTTTAGCCAGTGCGCAACCGCAGAAGAGGCTCTCCAAGAACATCAGGCCGTAGAAGTGCAGTGCGGAGTCAGACCTTTTCATTTTGGCCAAAATATTTGTTTCTTGCGTGCTTTGCCAGCTTAAATTCGACTGACCCACATCGAGTATATGTATCAACATAATATCAATAAGCATGTAGCCCTTAGAATATCAAGAAACTTGGTGTAATCTCAAACATGAAGAGTCTTATTCTGACAAAGACTGCGCCAGGTCGGATTTGCGGAAGAGGCTCACATAGAATCAATAATCATTTTTACGTCTTGTGCTATGAAGTGTATTCATTTTTGACTTCCCTCATTATGTAGGTCCCACTGCGCCCATGTAAAGCGCGCGCTCTTGCCGACTGGGCCGCGTCCAACCCTGAAGGAGCATCTCATCGAAATACTCATCCACAAAGCAGCCCACTCCTGAAGCGAGTACCTTTGGGCCTTTTGTCAGTGGACTTCCGTCGCTAGCTGGCATCGCAAACTCTGATTGCCACCGAAGCGATGCATCTCCAATGAAGATAAGGAAGACACACACGCGGAGCGAAGGTGTGAGAGTTATTCTGCAACAGAATGCTACTTCTTTCGACACATGATAAAAGGAAAGCATACATATGCTGAGGTGAAGCAGCAGCAGCACCTAATCATGGGCAACTTGATGAAGGCCAGCCTCGTGGCGATTTGTAGTTGAAAACGTGCAAAAAAGGATAACAAAAAGCAAGAAATTCCCCAACCTCCACTGAAATAAGTCCCCAGCCCTTGTCTTTCGCGCTGCTCTAGATTATGGGCGCAAAAAAATGCAAAAAGGTGCACAATTTGCAACCCCCCCGCAATAAGTTCCCAGCCCTTTCGCGCTGCTCTAGGTTCTTCACGCAGAAAATGCCTGCAGTGTTCTTCCCTTTGAAATCCGCACCGAAATCAGCCCCCAGGCCGGTCGCGCGCGTCTCGGATGAGGCCTGTCTGTTTTTCGCAGCCTGTCTGCTGTTCGCAGGTGTCTCCTTTGATGATGCTCGCTATTTGTGTCGTGTGGTAGGGTGCTAGGCTTTTCCCTTTTGGAGAAATATGCTGGCGATTGCTGTGCTTCGGTTTACCTTCTCGAATGTGATCCCTGCGAACCCGTGGCGGACATCGTTGCAGTGTATAGCTTCGGCGGACACGCTGCGCACGCACTCGCTTAGTTCCTCCCCTTACCGTTGTGAGGAGGCTGGTTTAATTTTCTAGCTATGTAAATACGCGCTGGCGCTTTGCCCAACTGCGCCGCCTGCCAGAAGCGGCCCGCGCTTTGCCCAACTGCGCCGCCTGCCACAAAAGCCGGCGCCTGCGCTTGCAGTTGTCCCCGCCCGGCGTTTAAAAATTGGAAGCGGGCAAGCCTTGCGGCCTACCAATATCAGACCAGAAGCAGGCCTAGCCCAAAACGCAGCAGACTAGAAAGCTTCCCGACATTGAGAGGACTCCGTGGCCATCTGTTCTAATATCAGAACCGCGACGCCGCACAGCGTCCGCGCTGTGTCTAGATTCCTCCAGTCTAGACGTAGCCATCTGTCTGCGAATGATTCTAATAGAGTTACGCTTGCGCTACGTGGTGAAGGATATAGCCTCGCGCAAGGCTTCGGCGGCGGCCTCTTGCGAGCCTGCCGGAGGCTTTGCGAGGCGGCTCCAGCGGGCCCGAAGCAGTCCGGCGCCCGTTCTGGTTTTTTCTATGTTCTTGCGGCAGTTTGGAGCCGTCTCTAAGTGTCTCCCAAGTGACAGGCGGACACGCCTCCAATTGATCAAATTCACACAATTTCGACCCCGCACCGACAAGACCCCCAGCGGCTTCATTTCGTGGAGGAGGTGGATCCTCTTCCCCTGATGAACGAAACCAGAAGCGACCACGGCCGCGCGTGAATTCTAGTCGCGAGAGCTTCCCGACTCCGAGCGGGCTCCCCGTCTTGAAGCAGTCCAGAGCTCGGCTGGAGCTTTCTGAAAGACAAAGACGGGGAGCGCACTGCACTCGCCTCATAACCCACCGCCAGCCACCGCGCGGCGCCCTCGAATCTCAGGAGCGAACCAAGCACGAAGAAGACCGAGCGGGACACACTGCGCACGCAGTGCAGCCCGCCACCAGCCACCGAGGCGCGCCCTCGAATCTCTTGGAAGAGAGGAAAACGAGAGAGAAAGAAAAGAGAAGACAAAGGCAACACAGGCGGGACCGTGTCGACCGGGTCAGCACTGGAGAACCACGCGCAGCCAAAGCCGCAGCACCGTCATGCCATCCCGCCCTTTGCCTCTCTTGTTCCTCTCCCCGCTTCTCGCTCCCCGAGATTCGAGGGCGCGCCGCGGTGGATGCTGGCATCCATCGGGCCCCCTGCGGTTCAGAAGACCCAAGGAAAAGGAGAGGGAAGAGCAGAGAAGACGCGAAAGCAGCGCGCCGCAGCCTGCCCCTTTTGGGTTCCCCGCTCAGCGTAAGCGCCAAGCCTGGCCCGAGTTTCGAGCATGCTGCGAGTTTCGGCCCTGCCTCGAGCTCTGGGCGTGCTTGGGGCTCGCCTGTTTGGTTTGAGGTCGGGCGGGCTTCCGGCGGGTTTGGTCGGCTTGCGCTTGGGTTTTGAATGTGTTCGGTTCGCGTTTCCGTTTGGCATGGGTTTGGTTTGAGTTTGGCCGGGGTTTGGTTTGCATTTGCGCGCGGGGTGGTTTGGGTTTCGTTTGAGTTTGGTCCGGGCTTGGTTTGAGTTTCGGCCCGGTTTGCGTTTGGTTCTGGAGCGGCTCGCGGCTGGTTGAAGTTTGGTCTGTGCTTGGCCTGCGTTTGGTTTCAGTTTCGTTTGCGTTGGGTTTCAGTTTCGCTCGCGTTTGGTTTCAGTTCGGTCACGGTTTGGGCCTCGTTGGGTTTCTTTGGCTTGGGTTTGGCTGAAGCGGTTCGCCTAAGGCTACCAGAAAGCGGCGCACGCTTGCACAGCTTTCAGCCCGGTCCTTCTGGTCTTGGGCTCGTTCCTGATGGTGACTGGAACAAAGCAGGCACAGGCCAGCAGCTTGAAAGCTGTAGACCCCGGGGCTTTTTTCTGTGGTGACTGAATAAAAAAACTCGGCGAATTTGATAGATTCGGGCCCTTGCTTCTTGCCATCCACTCCCGAAAGAAAACAAAAACGAGGCGAGACAAAACAGGAGCGGAGTGCTTTTCTTCGCCGAGCTGCCACCGCAGAACTTAAAAAATGTGGGAGGGTTCTTGCAATTTTTTGAAGTTCTGAGGTGGCAGCTTCGCGAAGAAAATCACCCTGCTCCCGTTTCGTCTCGTCGGCTTTTTTTTGCGTGGCAGATGTGGCAGAGATTTTTACAAGGCATAACTTTTCCAATTTCTACAGGCGGCCGGATCAGTTTGAATAGCCTCCAAGCTTTTACAAAAATGGACAGAAGGCGCGGCAGAATCTCACGAAAATGCTAGCAAACCAAAAAAAATAAAAAGCGGCAAAAATTGGGAAGCAGCAGGCACTGTAGGTAGCTGGGGGGAATCTAGTTGCGCTAAAAGCTTAAACACTGGGGGAGAGTGCTCCAGTCTTATGCCTCGAGGTCGCCGAGGGGCCGCCTTGTCTACCCAGCTCCCGCGTCCTCTGTGAGCCCGCGGCGGCTCTGCTTTTGAAGGCGACAACGCCGACGAGGGTGCTGAGTATCCGAAGGGGAAGCCTGACGCACTTGGGATCCGTTGGGCCCCTAGCCTATCACAAACCGGGGCGAGCTCTGGCATTCGTCTCTTAAATCGTTGCGACGGCTTCGCCTCTTAGCTCTTTCCTTGATGTTCCAGATTTAGAGATAGAAAAAGACTGAAGCAACGCAGTCCAAAACAGTAAAAGCCCCCGCAGTGGTTTGAAGCTTAAAAAAGTTCCAGCCTTGGAAAAAGCTCCCAAGCTCCTGAATGTTTGGGCGCTAGTGTTTGCGAGTCTTCTGGCTCTTTAGCAGGACGAGCATCCAAAAAAAGCAAGGCTCTTCCTGCCTCTTGTATGGGGCGACTCTGCTTCTGTCTTAGAACAAGAAAACGAAACGAACGGGAGGAGGATAACTCTTACCATTATGGTAGCCGTTCGCCAGAGTCGTGGCCCTTGGCTCTGGCTCTGCTATTACATGGAAGCCCAAGAAATAAGTAACCAGAAGGCGGGCGCGTGACTAGTGGGCCCTCGGGACCAGAAGGAACGCAAGCCAGAGGAGTAATAGTAATTACGTTGCACTATGTCACTTTATGCCAAGTCTGAGCGCAAGCGCGTCCGAGTCTTCTGGTTTTTTAGCAGGACGAGCATCCAAAAAAAGCGGGGCCCTTTCTGGTTCTTGTATTGGGCGACTCTGCCCCTGTTTTAGAGCCAGAAACAAAGTGAAACGAACTGGAAGTAGAGGGTGGCCATAATAATAAAAGTCATTTTCTGCAGCCGTGCCTTTTGGTTTTGGTTTTGGAACTGCATGGAAGTCCAGGAAATAGGTAACCAGAAAGCGGGCGCGAATTTGTGCAGACTCGTGGGCCCTCGGAACCCGGAGGAACGCGAGCCAGCGCGGCAACCCCCTCGAAGCCGATACCTGTACGAAAGTCGAAACCATTAGGGGAGGACATTTCGGGACTTTGAAACGGCTAGGGGACTTGCAAAACGGCCAACAGCCTGGCAGGTTTTTTGCGAGAGCGTTCGCGGCTTTTTCGTTTCTGAGTCTCTCTGTTACAGACAGGGAGCTCCCTAGGAGGCTGGTACTATTGTGGTGAGAGATGACAGGTGAGAAGCTGG